GGTATGCTGCCAACACTGTTTCCATCACAAATCCAAAACATATAAGCATGATACAAGCTGCTTGGAAGAAAATTAACTTTATTGTAGCCAAAGCCCTGTAAGATCAAAAAGTAGAAAATTAACTTTATTGTAGCCAAAGCCCTGTAAGATCAAAAAGTAGAAGTAAAAGTAGAAATCTGTTGCTTGTAGTTTAAATTCATAGGTGCCATGGTATTTAGATTGTTTTAGCCATGATCTCTGTCAGTCTAGAAAAGTTTCTAGCTAGAGTTTTAACCTCAGTGGGGTTAAAACAGAAGTCTTCCTCTTGCTTCTCTACTGTGCTCCTTGTTGCAGTTGGTAACATCACTCATCTGTCCTATTGCTATGTCTATACAGATCTGCAGCCAGTCATTTACATTACACTGAGATGAGCTTGTTGTTAAATAAATACCTTATTCTATTTTTATTATTTCAACCTCTTCTTTTTGTTTCACTGTGTTACGTGTAGTCACTTGTGACTTTCCTATCTGATTTGGCCTTGCTTTTCTCTCCCACTAGCCAATGCATAATTCTTTCCAACAGATGTGCTCATATGTCTTCATTATGCTTGTGTGTTTTCAGAGTAGTCATGTCTCTCTTCCTTTTCAAACCAATCGATTCTCTATCTCCTTTTATTTCTAGAATAGACTTATACAGGGTAGACCATTGACAGGTATAAACAGTTGTTTGCACTTGGCAGTTGTCTTCTGCTATTCGTTGCAGACTAAATTGGAATTTCCTTGGTGTGCTTTTGGTAGTAATCACTTTAAAGATGTTACACTGTCATTAACCACTGGTGATGGGCTTGTTCTTAATAAGTACAGACTTTCCTTGACTTCATGGAGCATATTTTCTGTCTTAAAATTCTGCTGATAGGATTCTGTGTAAGATAGTTTTGTTTACACTTGATTTTGGTGGTTGTGTGTAGATAGGAGAGTGGCCAAAGGTGCAGATCTTGTCATCTTTGCTGTGGTTTAATGACTTTCCTACTGTAAAAAAAAAAAAAGAAGTCCTAGAAACGTTTAAGGATAAATACTTTCATCTGCATCGACAAACTTGAGGAAAAAGAATTTCCTTGTATGCTTTCTTGCAGATCTAATTTCATAGCATTAAAGAGAATAATGAAAAATCGGATAATTGCAGAAAAGAAACTCCAATTGTCAGTGGTTGACATGAGAGACATTCTCTTTGTGTGGAGAACACTTTGGAGGGATGCTTTCTTTTGAGTTACTTTTCTTTGAGACAGATTTATGTTGTTTCAGGAACCTTTTCAGTTACAAAAGTGATCAGATACTGTTTTGCACTTTTGTCATGGTCAAATGACAATCAGTTCCATTTCACTTGTGCAGGTGGATTTAAATTTCATTTTTAGAACTTGTAGTATTTGTTTCTGTCATTATTGGAGAGGCCTTAGGGTATTCCAGCAGTTTGAACAACCCCTTTCTTTAGCTTACAGAATTTTGGCTTTCAGAAAAATGGTAGTTATTAAGGAAGTTATTGTCATAGTGGAATAGTCCTCAGTTATGAAATTGAAGTAATGATTAAAAAGATGTGTGATTTCAGCTCGCCAACAATAGCACATAAAAATCTCAACTGGAAAATCAATGAGTAGGGTGGCCTTTTTCTTTTGTTGTGAGATTTTTTTAACCTTTTCTTTTCAGATGCCTTAGAAGCCCAGTGTAAACCTGTCCTACTAGTCTATGTCTATGTTTTCCTCTAAGCCTGTGGTAATTGGATTGCAGCTGATGTTCCTTACCCTGATTTACGGATTTAGGGGACAGGATTTTGATGATTTTTCCATTTGTAGATATACTGCTTAAGTCCTGGCTTTCCTTTTATTATTGGCATGGATGAAAATTCACGTCAGAATGCTTGATTAATTATTTAAAGAAGATAGTGCATAAGCTGGTAATGGCTTGGAGAGCATACACATGCCTCTTTGAATGTCAGTTGACTTATTGTCCATTTCACTAAAAATGTTTCATTTTAGGCTTACTAAATAAAAATATCGGTAATTTTAAATATTTGAGGTCATCTGAAATAATATTGCCAGCAATCAAAAAATACTAAGCTTTTATTATTTAAGGAAAATATTGGTTGTGCTCTCAGTGTTGTTTCAAGGTTCACCTATCAAGCTGAACAGTTTCCCACCATAATGATTCTCACAGCAGAATTCCTTAAAAATCTGTAGCCCTTGGTGAAAAATAACTGTTGGCAATGTGCAGATACCTTCCAGGCAGGGAGAGCAGTGGATGTGCTGTGCCTCAACTTGAGTAAGACTTTTGACACTGCTTCCCGCAGCATGCAGAGGCTGACAATGGCTGGATTACATAAGTGGACAGTGAAGTAGATTGAGAACTGACTGAATGATTGGACCTAGAGGTTTGTGATCTGTGACACGAAGTCCAGCTGGAGTCAAGTAGTTGGTCATGTACCCTAGAAGATGATACTGGGGCAAGAGCAGCCCGGCATCTACATTAATGGCCTGAATGTTAGGACAGTGTACCCCCATCAAGTTCACAGATGGTACAAAACAGAGAGGAGTACCTCAAATACCACATGGTTGTGTTTGCATTCAGAGGAATGCAGCCGCCCTGGAGATTTGTGCTGAGTGGAATTTTCAAGAGCAGCAGAATTCTGCATCAGGAACAGCTCTGCAGAGAAGTAGCTTGGTGTACTGGTTGGCAGCCATCTGTGTGCCAGTAATGCCCTGCCATGGCAAAGGTGGCAGACAGCCTCCTGGGCTGTGTTAGGAAGAGTGTTGCCAGCTGGTTGAAGGAGGTGCTCTCTACTCCGCACTGGTGAGGCTACATCTGGAGTGTCCAGTTCTGGGCTTCCCAGCAGAGGAGAGAGATACTGCAGAGAGTTAAGTGCCAGGGTCATGTCAGTGATTAAGGGTCTGGAGCTTTCTGTTGATAAGGAAAGGCTGAGAAGGCGGTGACTATTAGCCTGGAGAAGGTTCAGGAGTGATTTTGTTAATGCAGTGAGGGAATGAAGAAGGGAGAGACAACTGCTTCTCAGTATTGTCCCCCAGCCCGACATGGCACTGATGTGGCACAAATTAAAAGTAATGAAATTCCAGTACATCCCAGAAAAGCAGTTCTTCACTGTGGGGAAAATCAAGCATTGGAAGGCATTGTCCAGAGAGGTTTAATACCTCCTTGGTAGTACTAAGAGTGTAACTGCACATGGTAGTGGGCAACTTACTGTCTCTGACACAGCTTCAGCAGGAAGTTTGACAGAATCAGACAAAGAATCACAAAATGGTTGGGGTTGAAAGTTGACTTCTGAAGTTTGTCCGGTCTCCACCATCCTGCTCAAACAGGGCTGCCTGGAGCCAGTTGCCTGAGACCTGTCCCGATGGCTTTGAATATCAGCAAGAATGGAGACTCCACAGCCTTGCTTGAAATCTGTGCCAGTGCACAGTCACCCTCACAGTAAAAAAAAAATGTTACCTTAAGAATAGGAATCAACATGAAGTTTATTTGTCCTCTGAGAAGATATGTCACAGGGAACAAACAAGGTGCTGAACAATCAGATCTTCCATTGGAGCTGTATTATAAGATGGTGGTTGTTATGGTGCTAGAAGCAGAACCATTAAATAGTTCAGGTTGGAAAAGATCTTAAAGATCACTGGGTTCCACTGTTAAACTAGCGCTGCCAAGTCCACCACTAAACTGTGTCCCTGACTGCCACATCTGCACACTTACTACACCTATTAAACCTAATACTTCTGGGGGTGATGATTCCACTGCTTCTGAGGCAGTGTGTTCCTTCATTCTTGAAAACCCTTGTACTGAATAATTTCCCCCCAGTACCCAATCTAAACCTTCCCTGGTCCAGCGTGAAGCCATTTCCTCTTGTGCTATTACTGGTTACTTGAGATAAGAGACTGACCTGGCAACAACCTTTTCTCACGAAGTGTGGAGGAATAAGGTCTCTACTGAGCTTCCTTTCTCCAGGCTGAGCAAACCCATCTATCTCAGCTGTTCCATAAAAGACTAATTTTCTAGATGCATCACCAGCTTTGCTGCCTTTCTCTGGGCACACTCCAAGCACTTTATGGCGTGAGGAGTCCAAAACTGAACACAGGATTTAAGGTGTGACCTCAACAGTATGTTGTACAGTGGGTAATCACTGCCCTAGCCCTACCGGCCACACTATTTCTGATACAGGCCAAGGTGTCATTGGCCTTCTTGGCTACCTGGGCACTCTGCTGACTCATGTTCAGTAGCTGTCAACCAGCACCTCCAGGTCCTTTTCTGCTGGGCAACTTTCCATCCCTTCCCCCAGCCTGTGGTGCTGCAGGTGGTTGTAAAGTGCAGGACTTGGCCTTGTTGAACCTCACACATTTAGCCTCAGCCTAGCAAAGAGTCCTCCCAAGCCATGAGCCACCAGTTTCTCCAAGGAAATGTTGTTGAGAAACAGTGTCTAAAGGCCTTATAAAGGCCAGATAGACAACTTCCACATCCTTTCCCTCCTCCACTAAGTGGGATACCTGGTCGTAGAAGGAGATTGAGGTTCGTCAAGCAGGACCTACTTTTCGTAAACTCATGTTGGCAGCCCTGGTCACCTGTTGAAATTATTTCGGCACGGAACATGACTAGCATCACCACCAGTCCTTTATTAGAAAGCTTTTCATGCCTTATTTCAGTGTATTTCTTTCAAACAACTCTGCCTCCTTCCCTCATAGGCAACTTCACACACTACCAATTCCTTTTCTTACAGGTAGCTCCACACAGCACTGACTCTTTCTCTCCTCTCTGCATGACTAGCTAAACTCCAACCTGTCCCTTTCCTAGCCACCTTACCCTGACTGTCCCTCATTACAACATCTTATCTGTCCCTTGCAAGACCGCATGTCCCTTACCTCCTAACAGCATAGCCAGCACATTGTCAGTCTCAAGCTCTAACTTGAACTGCAAATGGTGGCCAGCTAGCCTGCTCTTTTATAATACCCAACGTCATTGGGCAGGCAAGGCTGTTTCCACTCCTTGGTAATCAGTACAGCTGTAATTCATTGGGAAAGATTGCCTTCTATACTATCCTTCTCAAACTATTCTACTACAATTGCAAACTATTCTACTACAGTCACGTGGTTGTCCAGTATGTACCATGGGATAGTACTCAGTATGATCTGCTCCATGGCACATTCCCCAGCACTGTGGTCAGACTCACAGGGCTGTAGCTCCCTGAATTCTCCTTCCAGAATTTCTTGTAATTGGGTGGCACATTCACTGACTTTCAGTCAGGTGGAACATCCCCAGTTAGGCAGAGCTGCTGGTAAATGATGGAAATTGGCTCAGTGAGCACTTCTGCCAGCTCCTGCAGTTCTCTTTGGTGGATCCCACCCAGCCCCATAGACCTGTGTGTGTCTGAGTGGTGTAGCAAGTCACTAAGAATTTCCCCTTGGATGATGAGGGCTGAATATCCTGAGGACACAACTGCACTGAGACAGAGAAGGCATTAAGTACTTCAGCATTTTCCTTGTCCATTACAGAATGGAGATTGTCCTTGCCCTTCTTTTTATTGTAAACATATTTTTAGAAACTTGTATCAGATCTTCATGTTACAGCTAGATATGAGTAAAGGAAATATCAGAGGAAGGAACTGGAAAGGTAGGAACACTTGCAGTTGTAGAGCAGCATATTTGTCCAAGCATTCTTGGAGGAAGAACTGCATGATAACGAAATCCAAATGTAAGTCATTTATTATTTAGACTATTTTTGAATTTAAGGTGTTTTGTGTGTTGAAGTCTTGCTGGGTGTTGTCCAGTTGCAATTAGTCCCCAGTTTGGAGATACTGCTGCAAAAGTGTTAGCTTTCCTCTCTGCTGCCTTCCACTTTTTTTTTCTTTTGGGTGTAAATACCATATTCAGACTAGCAATATATCACAACAGGCAAAAATATGGTTTGTGAGCCAACTGTCATGCAAGTGAGCTACTTTGGCTACGATTTTGGCAGAAGCAATCTATTATTTTCCCATCCTGCCTACAACTGTGCAAAGAGGAAGGGAAGGTCAAGCAAGTGTTTCATGGAGGTATTTTTTGTTAAGTATTTTACAAAGCAGTAGTTTTCAGAGATACTTTAAAATCCAGAGATACTAACCAGTGCTTGCAAAAAGCATTTTTTTTCCTCAGGTTTTCTGTAGATTTTGTTGTCAAATCACAGTAAAAAGATTTAGGGTATTTATTTCTTCAGAAATCAGTATTGTTTTTCTGCTGTGATTTGTAAGATTTTGGGTCAATTTGTGATCTAAGTGTATGGTATAGTATATACTTGGTGCATGTTTATTTCATAAAGCTTGCCAATACTTAGTTTGGCATTACACTAAGAGTTTATGTATTTGTATGATAGGCATTTGTGTGCCAGGTTTCAGTTTATATGTATGTATTTTGTTCCCTGTCAACTGTTTTATGGCAAGTCCTTTTGGAAACTTGATAGATACTACTGTAGGTGATAGGAAAAATGAAGCATTAAAAAGCTCTTGTAGCTATTGTTTGTAAGCAGACATTTTGTTTATCGAGATAAGAGCAGGTTGGGGGTTTTGAGTGATATTTATTTTCCTTCTTTATTCATGCAACCTACTGACACTGTCCCTCCCCATGATTGAAAGTGTGCTGGATATTCCAGCAGTAGAAGGAAGGATAAACATGTTGGCTACTTAGTTATCAGTGGAAGGTAGCTGCAAGGATGGAAAGTTAAGCATGGGAAGAAAGTTCATTTGCAGGGTGCTTCAACAACTCTTGAATGTCATGGAACACTTGCTAGGTCCTCTTGACTTGCACTTTGACGCTAATTGGTGGATTTGTGCTGATGTGAGTTAGATGGAGAAATACAAAAGCAAGGACAGAATTAAGTGTTTGGTATAGGCTGGACCTAATGCTAGAGCCATTTTCTGAGCATCTGCCATTTTACAGTTACAGATGCAATGCTAAAGCATGTACCCTAAAGCGACACATTCTGTATGCCAGCTTTGTAGAAGGTGTATAGCATTTTGTTTAGGTGAGTCGTTTACTTTGGATTACTTTATGGGGCTTTTTGTAAGGCTGTTTCTTGTTACAGATGCTAGAATTCTTGGAAGCTGAAATAACAGTACAGAAGTTACATTGAAACATAGAAGAAATCAAAGAGTATTTTGTTTGCAAGGATACAGTACATACCTAAATATGGGAGATACTGTATGTAGAGGCTCTTAAAAGAAGAAGTTGCTTTCAAAAACATGCAACTCTCCAGTTCATAGAAATAAGGCTGCTGAACACTGAAGCTTATGTACATGTGTAGAGGTACCAAAATAGGGAGTATGCAAGCAGCAACTCTAATGTATTTTAGGTTTGTCAGTTGCATTTTGTCTCATGGTACCTCTTAATCTCCTTACCAATATGCAGGCTCCATGTAGTTTTATTGATACTCAGTTCTCTGGTCATAAAACCTCTTTTCTGTTTATAGATTAGGCCATTGAAGCTCTGCCCACTTCCTTTGTTCTGTTACTTATCCTTGACAACTCCTTAATGTGAACTGTTGCTTGTATGTTCCAAACTTCTCTTGATCTTCTTCTTTTCTTTGTTTCCCCTTTGGCTGTATGCCAGCTGCGTCTCAGTTGTTGGCAGCAAGTCGGGATGTCCTTTAAAATAAGATGGTCCCAGAGTTTTGAGATCTTCTGATCTTCTGAGCAGACTTGATAACCCTTTTTTATGTAGTATTCCCTTTCCTTTATTTTGAAGCTCTTACAGTTGAACTTCTGTAGCAATGAGATGAGTGTATAGTAAGTTTCTTGCTGACAAGTGAACTGATATTTATCAGCTGTAGTTCTCTGTGTTTGATATTAAATTGCCTTGAAGCTGGATTACAAATTTAAGAACTGTTTTGGAGCACTTCAGAGCATGGGGTAAATGACTTGGGAAATAAGGAAGTACAGCAGAGGTTATGGTTGCTCGTAAGTTACTCTTCATAATGGTATTGTTCTTTGTGTGATCAAGTGTCAGATTACCTGCTTACAGAAGACAAGGAAAAAAACTTAAAAATGCATATTGCTGTATTTCATCAGAAGAGTACCTTCTGGCTTTCTATACAGCAGGAAAGTCTGATGCAGATCTGATGGATTTTATTATAGCAGATCAATGAGTGTATCAGAGCTCTTACTCCAGCCTTAGGCCTGCACCAGGACACATGCACTCAAGAAGTGGGCCCATGGGGATCTCATAAGGTTTATCAAGGCCACGTGCAAGGTGCTTCACCTGAGTTGGGGCAACCCTCTCTATTAACATAGGCAGGGGGATGAACAGATGGAGCAGCCCCCCACAAAGAAAGATTTAGGGGTGCTGGTGGGTGAGAGGCTGGATGTGATCCAGCTAAATCCCTGTCACAGGAAGGACATGGACCTGTTGGAGTGAGTCCAAGGGAAGGCAACCAAGATGTTTAGAGGGATGGAGCACCTCTCCTGTGAGGAAAGGCTGAGAGAATTGGGATTGTTCAGCCTGGAAAAGGGAAGACTTTGGAGTGATTTAATGGGACCTATCAGGCATTTTATGATTTTTCGAGCAGTCGAGCAGGTGCAAGTAAGAAAAGCAGATGTTGCTCCTGTTGTCTTATTGTTTAGACTGTATCCTTCCTCAAATAGAATTTTTAGGTGTGTTGCCTTCAGCCTGGTGATTTGGCTGCCTCTGTTCTAGGTAAAACAACTGTAAAGTAGATTTAAAACTACACAGGAACCCACCTTGGAGAGATGCTGTGGAATGGCTGTCAAGAGAGAAGTGTGTGAGAACAGGTAGTAGCTGTTGCTCTGCATTTGGATCTGTCCTAGGTCCTGAACTGTATAGTCTCTCACTGACAATTTCGGCGTTGGAATTGAGATTGTAGGTGAAAAAGTTAACAGAGGGTGCAAAACTGTGGAAGATTAGATATACTTAAGATTGTAAATGTTTAGCTTCAGAAAATCTCACTATCAAACCAGTAAGCAAAATTGTAAAATCAACAATGAATAAAAGGTACCTCATGAGAGATTCTACATTCTATAAAAGTATCAAGTGATTGTGATTCAGAAGTAGCCATGCTACTGGAGTGTTTCAGAATTTTATTTCAAATTGTGAGAGATTCTTTTGTGTAGGAAACTTGAGGTAATTCTTGACCTTTTCTTTGCATTTCAGGATTGTGGGACTTTTTTTTCTTACTTCCTTTTTTTTGATGTTGTTGTTTTCTGAAAACAGACAGGTTACTATGAGACAATAGTGAAATTAGATGGTAGTGATGACAATGAGTATTATTTAGGCTGAAGGAACTAACTGAGACTGCTTATTTGTCAGAAGACTCATTTCTCCTCAGACTTGAAAAAAAATCAAGTTGTGGAGAAAAAGAAAAATAAACTGATTTTTCTGTAATAAAGGTATGAAAAATAGCATTTAATTGCTATAAAGACAATTTGGAAAAGACCTCAAAAAGAGTTTTTTAGTAGGATTTCAGAGGACATGGTGGGAGTGCAATCGTTGGCAGTGTTTAATATCTCTCCACAGAAAAGTGATGTTGAGAATGCAGTGGAATTTGACTAGAATCATAGAATATGCTGAGTTGGAAGGGACCCATAAAGATCAATGCCCACCTCCTGGCTCTGCACAGGACCATCCCCCAGAGTCACACCATGTGCCTGAGAGCATTGTCCAAACATTCTTTGAACTGTCAGGCTTGGTGCTGTCACCACTTCCCTGGGGAGGACGTTCTAGTGCTCAGCCACCCTTTTAGATGAACCATGTTTTCCTGATATCCAGCCTAAACCTCCCCTGACTCAGCTTCATGCCATTTCTGCAAGTCGTGTCCTGGTCACCAGAGTGAAGAGATGTGTACCTGCTCCTCCTCTTCCCCTCATGAGGAAGTTGTAACTGCAGTGAGGTCTCCCCTCAGTCTCCTCCAGGCTGAACAGTGACCTCAGCTGAGGCGAGGCTGCCCCAGTGCAGAGCAGAGCAGGACAATCCCCTCCCTTGCCTGGCTGGTGATGCTGTGCCTGATGCCCTTGAGGACATGGTTGGCTCTCCTGGCTGCCAGGGCACTGCTGACTCACAATCAGCCTGTCATTGACCAGAACCCTCAGTTCTATGATAGACCAGGAAATGGAAATTCTGACCCTTTGGAGTTCTTTCCAGATGCTCTTTTTACTGATTCTAGAGTACCTTCCATTTGACAAATTATATTTTAGTTTTCCAGGTGACATGGAGTGTGCACAAGCTTTCTTTGAAAAAGTGTTGTTAAAGGTCCTGTACAGTGTCCATATTGGTTCATCTGTACAGAGCTTTTGATTGTTGCGTGTAAGCATGTTCTCGGTCGTGCCCTTCTTAGTGTACCTGTGGGTGTTGGTTATATCCAAGAAAGTATAGATCAATTCAACTGACTGGCTCGTCTTAATGCAGGCATATATTTTAAGTGTGATAGTTTTCATCCCTTATTCTCTTCTTAGCTTTGTGTACTATTGTAGGTTTGATTATGCTGACTAATTTCCATAGAAGTTTCTCCTATGCCTGGTTTTGCTGATGTCTGCTGATCCAGATGGTGAACAGATGAAAAGCTCAGTATGTCTCTACTTGGAAGCATAATCAGAAACATGGCATGACACCAGGAGAAATGCAAAACTCAGAATGAGAAAAAAATACACTCTTTCCACAATGTAGAAGCATGTTTATTGTACAGTCAAATTTTACTTTGTTTTATAAGCAAATGGTGAAGATCACAGAATAGGTGAAGGGGCTTCTGGAGGCTGTCAAGTGCTCAAAGTAGAATCAACCAGAGCAGGTTGCTGTGATCTTTGTCCAATTGTATTTTCAGTGTCTTCAAGGAAGGAGAATTAGCAGCCTCTCAGGGCAGCCTGTTCTAGCCTTTTACCACTTTTGCAGTTCTTAGGTTTAATAAGAACTTTCTGTATTTTTTTTCTCCATTGCCTCTTGGCCTGTCACTGGATATTGCTTAGAAGAGTATGTTTCCATCATCTTTGGTCTCTCCCATCAGGTGGAGGTGGAGATGGAGATACTCACATGAAGATTCTACCTCCACCCTCCAAGTTTTCTTTTTTTCACAGCTAAACAATCTCTGCTTGCTTGGTTTTTCCTCATACGACAGAACCTCCATTTCTTTAAGCATCTTAGCAGCCTTTCTCAGGACTCACTCCAGTATACAAATGTCTTGTGCTGGGGCACCCAGAGCTGTTGGTGATATTCCAGATATGGCATTGCAAGTTGTGTGTAGAGCATGAGTCATCTCCTCCAAACTGCTGGTATGGGAGAGCTCTTCTGCACCCCTTTCTCTCCAGTTAACTGTATCCCATGGATTCTTCAAAGCAGATTGATGAGCAGGCTGTTCTGGATTGATGAAGTCTGTTTCTAGGAAGTCTAGGGTTGTGATCCTGCTTTTGTCTTGCTTCCTTCTTTCAGGTTCCTGAACTTCACCTGCACTGTCACTGCGTTCAGTAAAACGATGCAGTAATGAAACACCCTCAAACTTGATGATGACTACATGAGTGATAATAGCTTGCTGTTGTGGTCTCCTTGGCAATCTGAGTTTGGGATTTTGCTTTGGGCAGTTCAGAAGCAAATGCTTCTGCATCTTGTCTAACCAAGCTAATCATCAGCAGAAATAGTTCACTTAATGGAGGAAACAAAAGAATTGTTTGATACCACAAACCTGACTGTTTCATTTTCATTGTTTACTGGGTGACTGCTGCCTCGTAAGGGAATTTCCACAAGCCCTTGAATGCTTAAGCTAACTGTTTTGAGTAAGCACTTATGGAAACAGAGTAACAGAATATATTTGTCATTTGTCTGAACACAACTACACTTTGCTAGACCTATCCTGTCAACAGTATACTTCTTCCCAAAGATGCATAGCCCTTGAACCAGAGCAAGCAAGTTTAGACAAATGCACTGAGTTAAAGTCACTTGGAAGTTTTAAAAAACTGAAGATGTGTTAGGATGTGGTTTACTGAATTCACAAATTTTTCAAAAGTGTACTCAAAGATTCAACAGCGAACAACTGTATCTAATACTGTACTAGCTACAATGGTCTTTGGTACCATGTTCCAGAAGCAAAGGTTTTAGGTCAGACAGCACTTAAATAAGGCTTTTATTGTTCCTATTCTGCGTCAGCAGCAGAGACGGAATAATATTTTTTCCATTCATTAGAGACACATTTGGTGTAACGTACAGTCTAGAACTTATGTACATTTAACACTAACATAATGTTAATCCATGTTGAGTAATTCAGTAACAGCATTGAGGGGAGGAGCACACACTCAAAATGTAAAGCTTCCCTCTCAAATTTAAGCTCATGAATTGCAGTTGAAGACTTGCACCTTGAGGGAAGATGCTCTGTTTGCATTTCTTCATCTCTTTTAAACAGAGAAGAGCAGTGGTGTTGAGACAACTGAACAATGTCCCTGTAATAATGCATCAAATAGTCCAAGTACTAGCTAATGCTACTTCTGCTTTAGAACGAATAAACTAAAGCATGCCTTTACTCCTCCTACTGCAGGTGCTAGAAGCCCGATTAAAAGTTGCAATCATTTAACAGCTGTTTTACTCATTTTAAATTGTCAAGCAATTGGTTATTGCCCACCTTCCCCTTTCCCATCCTTTTTTTTAATTTGCCTTTAATTTGAGGCAATTATTTCATAATCCAGGGTTGAACATTTTAGGTATTTATTTTGTTCTCAACAGATTTTCTATAAAGGCTGTAATAGCATAATTCACTCTTTCTTTGTGTCCATCTGCCACAAGTATTTTTTGTCAAGGTGTCTTTATGATCTGTACTCATTTGACTTGCACTTCCTTTGTGGTCCAGTTCAAAACTTGGTCTCCAGTGTTATAATGTCTTGAAGCAGTTTGCAGAAAGCCTGCCTGAGATTTGCTGATAATGAGTGTTTGTTTTCTGTGAACTAAATTATATCAACAGCTGAGTTAGAAGTTGAAGGCTAAAGGCCTTTTGCTAGCAGAAGCTGATTGTCAGCACAGAGTATCAAGATCTAGCAGCAGCTTACAACTGTTAACCAGCAATATAATTAATAATTTAGCTGAAAAATCCAGCTGAGCCATATCAGATCTTGTTCATCTTCAGGCAGTAGAAGAGTTGGGCTTATAATTAACACATGCTTTCCAACAGAAATTACTCATAATCTGCTTAACATTGTTTTTCAGTAATATGTTTGCCCACGTTTTATACTTCTTTTTCTGAGTATTAAAACCTCTTAGTGTTACGGTATATAACAGTAGAACTATGATCATATGTATCTTTGTTATGTGTAGATACATTGTGAATATGTTAGTGTTAAGCATAGTAATGGCAGGTTTTTCATAACTGTTTATAAAATTAGTGTGATAAGGTATTCTTTATTAATTGCTTACTTGTTCTGAAGGTTTGTTTGGATATGGAAGAAAGTATACTTCCCAATTCCTTGGGGTTTCATTTTTAGAAAAAAATAAATGGGACCCAATTGTGGATTCCTACTATGGCATTTCTATCCCGAACTGTTTACATGTAAGATTATTCAAGCCCAAAACTTGCTGAAGATAAAGACTGCCACAGTGGAGCAGTCAGACTGTGCTCCTACTTGCAGCAATTTTAATGGTTGTTGTATGAAGGAGGGAGATCTTAGCACCATCAGTAAACCCATTGCTGATCTTTCCTGTTTGTTAATTGGAAAAAAAATGTGTGAGTGTCATGACAAATGAAGTAATCTCCAAATTACTATGGAATTAGTCCAGTCTGGGGGGAGGGGGGTTAGAAAGACTTAATTTAGGGATTTTTCAGATGTACACATAAACACAAAGAAATACTTGCAAGAATTGCAGGGACTGGTCCAGTGAAATATTTACAAGATGAAAAAGTGTTCATAATGTTTGCAGACTAACAAATTTGGAAAATTCTCAAGGATTTTGGCAGGAAGGATTAAATTTGAAATGTCTTGGCAACTTGAATTAGTATATTTTAAAACAAAAAGAAAAATGCTATCAAGTTGTCTGTGGTAGGTGCAAATCATACTGTGTTTAAAAGGCATAATTATTAGCACAGATAGATAAAGAGTATTGGAAGTTCAATTTTGAGGTTTGCAGGAAAGTGTTTTCGTGCTAGTCTGGGTTAAATAGGTCTGCTATGGCATATTGCTGTGAAGTTGCCAAATAATACCTGGAATGCAGTTAAAAGTTTGACCTTTGAGTCATATGAGACGTTTCTTCTTCTTCCTAACAGCAAACAAGAAGTACTGTTTTCAGTTGTAGTCAACATGATTTAGGTGTGGTAGGGACTGAGAGAGCCCAGAAGATACTTTCATCCAGCCTTTTAAACTGAAAGGGTGTAAATTTCATAAAAGGTCGTTAGGTCCAGAGCAGAAGATTGAGTGGCTACAGAATGGAAGGGGCTGCACTGTTCTTCGTGTTTGACAGCAGAATAAGCTGCATTAAATGCTAAGCAAGAAAAACTAGTCTAATTAAAGAAAAGCTAAATAGTGAGTTGGACTGTGGAGTTTGATTGTTGAAATTTGAGCAGTAAAGGTTATATGAAGCTTTTTTTCCGTGCTTCTTAAATGGTTTATTTACTGTTACCTATTGGAACTTTACTCTTGGGGGAACCTTGAGCAGTCATCTCCATTCTCTTTGTAAGCTTTAACTCTCTGGGGATGGTGGGGGAATTCCCGTTCACTGCTCACTGAATCGGTTCTTTTAACTCCAGGATAATGGTGTTTGTTCCTTTTAAGAAAAGTGGTGAGCTGGTTTGTTTCTGCAGGAAGTGTCTTGAGGAACATAATTCATCTCAATATAGGCCAAGAGGGGAAATGTGGTGACATTTCTAGGAGGCAACTTTCTTGGCACATTCTGCCCGAATTCTTTGTTTGAGCTTCTATTCTCACTGCTGGCTGTTGGTCAGGCTTCAGTTTTTCCAGCTTTTAACTGCTGGACCATGAGGCTTCTATATTCTTGCAGTCTGAATGCTGTACAGGAGAGTAATCACTATGCTTTTAGAACCTCCGAATTTTTATTTAGAACAAAGTTGTTTCAGTGAAATATTAAGATTCTTCTGATTCTCAGTCTGTTACTGAAAATGTAACTTTTCACTGCCTGTAATTTTCAGATGTAATAGTTTTGTTTTTCAACTAATCTGAACTATGAGCTATTTGAGTAAGGTTTGTGGTACAGAGGAATGTTAGTAGCTGTTGCTTGAAGTCCTATATAAGGTGATCTTATATATAAGGTACGCTGCACAGGTAACATAAGACTTTTTTCCTTTTTTTTGGAGGACTTATAATCTGTAAAAGCCGTAGGTTAAAAAACTTGCATTTCAGACTAATCTCAGTGATGGTGACAGAACAATCGTATGTGCATATGGTGTCTTTTTTGTATTATGTCTTTTTTTTCCCCTGGGTAGTAAAGGGAGGAGAAAAAGAGTGTGCTAGGAATGGAGTGTGGGCAGGAGAGGATAAAAAGATCTTAGAGAAGTGTGTGTTAGTTAGATCTGTAATGTAAAAGGATGGACCCTACGTCTATAAAGTGAGGGTAGAAAAAGTCCAAATAAAAGGTAAAGAAACCGCAGTTTCTTCCATCAGTTGAATCTTCTGCTTAATGATATATTTTTAAAGCTTACTTTTTGTCTTGGAAGCCTTGAATCTTAGTGTGATAAAGACTTCACAAAGCAATGTTCTGTACTAACAGGTTGTTTTACTTAGAATTGTCAATAATTCTAGCTTCTAGCATTGCTGTGGCACTAACTTGTAATAGATGCCTCGAGGAACTGGTGCAGAGGCTACACAGAGTTAAGGGGAATAAAATAGACATTTATTGAGAGGCCTCCAAAGGCCACACCCTGACAGTACCAGTGCCAGAGTTGTGGCCCCTGCCTGGATGGCTCTAAGGTGGAAGCAAAAGAGGGCTTGGTCACGAGATCTCACATCTTTATAGGTTTTAGTCCATTTGCATGCAAGAGTCAACTGTGCAATTAATAGTCTCATATAATGTAGTTTCATCCTCCTTGCTTGCTTGCTTGCCCACCCTCCACTTTTCCCGTTGTTTATGCTTAGGGCCTGAAGTTTGAAGAAATTGTCCTTGAGTCCCCATCTGGAATAGGACTGTTTTGTTTTCACCACCCAAGCACATCAGAAAAGCACACCCAAGCAGAATAGAAAAATTTAAAACTTAAGGCATCAATTTCCCCCCTTTAGGCCAAGTCCTTGTCCTTGACCTTGTCAAGTCTCTATTCTAAATATTACGACAAGTAAGCTCGTAGAAAGCTTGTTTCTCTCCTAGTGTATATTCTGCCTAAATTGATGAGAGTAAAGGCCCATAATTCCATGGAACATTGGGAAAGCATAATTTCAAGTGCTTTGTATTCTGGTTTGTACACTGAAATTCTACCTGTGATTATTCCCTTTGCTTATGAGGAAAAAATTTCAGGGTGCTTCTGACATTTTTTCCCTCTGTGCTTTTTACCATGGGGTATGGAAGGGAGTTTTTTTATTTTGTTCTCAGTGCTTTTTTTTCTCTTTTTCAGAAGTAAAAAACTTTTTAGCAAGAAAAAGTTGAAAAGAAAACAGAAGACTAAATTGAAAGTAAAAACACGCAGCAAGGTAAGCCTATAACTAACCTTACAAAGTTCTGACTCAAAAATGACAGTAACTTCAGTTGAGAGAAATGCAAAAAAACCTAAGTGTGACTAACAATTTGTTTGTTTAGAGGAGTTAATAGTAGACCAGTATTGTCTGTTTACTGTATTCTACGTGACTGTGATACCAGTGTTAACTTTACTCAGCTGCTTTTGTTACTAATGTTCAACAGAAAATAATATTAACAGTGTTTTTAATTCTCCAGTTCCTAAACCCTAAGTGTAGCTAAACATACTGGTCTTAGAGGTAAATTTTGAGATCTGTATCTAGCCAACAGTTAGAGACTACTGCTGCAAAGTTTTGGCCATATTGGCTAAAGGAGAAAAGGGAGCATTTTAAGGACTCCAAAGTTACCTCTGAAAATTCCTCCATAATGGAAAATGTAATAAATGATACCTGACTGTTCCTAGTAATGTTTTCTCCCCATGTAACCCCTACCTTCCATCACTTTAAATGCATGGGAACCATACAGTGAACTTAATTATAATGTTTACATCTTTAGTCTTTAGAGAGAATAAATTTATGCAGAAGCAGTGCTATTTCTAAATACTGCAGTGCTACATACTTTCTCTATTAGAGAGCTATTATTTCTCTATTTAAGCTAGGGTCTTGGAGGGATTTTCATGAAGGCTTGCTGCAGGCATGAAGGCTTGTAGTCAGTAAAGAGCTCATTTTTGGAATGAAGGACAGAACCAGTGAAATATCCAGTGAAAACACTTTCTAGTCAGCTGAATGTCCTTATATGTCCATCTTATCCCTATTTGCCAAACCTCATGTATTTACTGTATCTCAAGACAGATGACTTTGGGAGGGTGAAGTAAACCCTCTATCTATTCATTTGGTATTGACTTTTTGGAAACTTACCAGATTATTCTGCTTATCTCAAGTAGTGCAGCTTCAGACTATGGTATAGAAACAGCTTATCTTCATTTCTGTTCTCAGCACTGTACAGTAAAAATATTGAACTTCTCAGTCCTTTCTTCAGTTGCTATAAGGAGTTTTAGCTCTGTCCTCTCCATGACTTTATCAACCTACTGTCAACAAAGAAGACCAAGTTAGAAATTCGAAGAAATTTTGCAGAATGTAATTAGTCTGTTGTGTTCTGTCTGGTGATGGAAACTTGTGCTTTTAAAATAAGATAACTCTTCAGCTTTGATCATTGCTACTCTGTAAAGGGACTCTTGCCCACTTGGGTGGTGGGGTGGTAGTTTTACTGCCAAGTAGAAAGCTAAATACAGAATGGCTGTTCACATGCTTAACAGTTGGATGTAGTTCTTAGATTTAGTTGCATTGGATAAATGGAGTGGCAGGATCCTTGGCCAAGACAATGTGAAACATACTATTTCTTATGAATAGTTGTGGATGTGTCACTAACTGATAACCTCCTCACCTCATCCCTATGGAAGGTTGTTCTCAAGATTTTTCCTGGATTTGAGTCAGTTTCTACTTGAAGCATTGAGATTTATATCTTTGAAAGTAGTGGGCTTTTGTATGTCTTTTACTGATGCCATTATTGTAGATGGTGTTTGAGGCAAACCAGGGTTGACCATTAGAGCTTTGGTCTTCATTCAGAGTAACTCAGGTACAGAAAGGCACTCCAGCTTGTTTCTACACGATGGCAAAAAATTGTGTATTTCCTGAAAAATGTAGCTGAGAAGGGAATGATGGAACCCGCTTCATATCTTGAGGTTATGAAACTGACAAAGTGATGTGGTTTTGTTTTTTGTTTGTTTTGTAGTTGGTTTGTTATTGGGAGGGTTTTCTTGTTCTTGGCTTTTTATATACTTTTCAATGCATCCCGATGCTTACCTTGGTAGAATCAGCACAGTGGTTATTTTTACACTGAAATGTCTGAAAATGGATGTGTCTATTGTCAGGAAAATACGAACTTCCATTTGGAAGGCTTAAAATAGAGCAGATTGTAAAGTCTTTCACTACTCGTCATCCTGAGCAGTAGAGTTTGTGTGAATTGATTTTGTTTTTGAAGAAACAGGGTCTGAACAGAGATGGAAGCTTTCTCTTAATAGACTTAGTAGAGGCAAACAGTGCCTTAAATCAAGAATGAGATGAAGGAACCCAAAACCCAAAAAATTGTTATTTATATCCTGTGCTTACAAAAAATGATTGAGTAATGGAAGAGGAGAGAACTCTAAAGAGAAGTAATTGTTGAGCAAGTGGAAGAAAATTATTCCCACCATTTGAGCTTTAAATATTAGAACATTTTAGGTATAAAACTAATTGGTGTTTAACAGAGCCCAGTGGTTGGAGCCTTATTCTTTTTCTAAGCTGGTTATTTGAACTATCACTAATTTTTGGTTTTGTGGTTTAGTATCTATTTTTTAAATGGAGGTATAAAAGTTTTCCATGTATGCAGTCTATTTTGACTTTAGAAATTCACTGCTGACATAAGTGACTTTTACATAGAAAACAAGTATCTGATTGTTAGACATGGGTGTAGCACCTTGGATTCCAGTCCCTACCTGCTTCCTCCTCATTTTTTTCCTTTAGCAAAGAATATCATCAGAAAATTGTAAAGCCATGTAATTTTCCCCAACTCTATGAATATTGCTGCTGACCCCCCCTCTCCCTTTCAGACACTCTGGATATTTTTCTCCTTGCTGTGCAAAGTGCTGCTTAGGACACTTGTGTGAAAGAGAGACTTAGACAGAAAACCACAGTTCACCATCTTCTGTTTTCATAATGTTATTTGAAGAATACTGAAAAACTGGAAACACAGCTTGTACTTGAAATGATTGGCATCTGCATGTTTAGTTTATGCAGAAGTTCTAAACTGTGACTTTTTTAGCTCTATACAAATGGGAGGAATATAACTTTGAGGAGGAGGTTCGTGTAGCAGACAAATTCAGTGTAAGGTAATGAATAGGTATATAAAACAGATTGATTGGGATGAATATTGTCTCATTTAAAACATCTGTTGGTTCTCAGATAATTTGGCATTGTTTTCAGTGGCTTTTCTATTATTTGGTCTTTCATCCTCAAGAGGGCATCCCTTTCTAAGAGGTCTTTTGACTATCCGAGGAAGAATTTGGTGAGCTTCTCTTTTCAGTGTTACACATAGATTAGATCAGATGGTTATTATAACCTGACCTATCTTTAACACCAGATTAACTTTCCTCTCCTAGATTATAGTCTATTTCCATCATATTTAAGAATAAACCATTACTACAGTCATCTGATGCAAGAGGAATAAAAAAAAAATAGGTCAGAAAATAAGCTATGTATGGATTTCATCTTTAGGGAAAACAGTTTCTTTATGTGTGAGACAAGTGTAAAGGAGACTCTAGAGGGTTTTGGTTTTTCCCACTCCTTTCCTTGAGTGTACTGGAACATTACAAAGGGCTGACTGAGAACAGCAATTAGAAGTAGGTTGCTCTTATCTTTTGAACCAAACCTGTGCTGTTTACCCTCTCCTACATAATTTATTCTTCCTTTTAGCAGGGACTATATGTTTACAAGGGCAAGCCAGGCATCATGGTGTGGGCATCTGTGCTTTGATCTCTCTCTCATAAGTTAAGAAAATAAAAAGTAACAGGAAATACAATCTTCACGTGTTAAAACTGTGTTCACTAATGGTGGCTATTTAAGTTTTACAATGTATGTTTCACCAATTACATTGATTTAAGAAGGTGCACATTTAATTTTTGGTGATACCAAGTGAAACAGCAAAGATGAAGATTCAGAACGTCCCATTGTGTTACAGCTTATGTGAAAACTATTGAGTCAAACAGCAAAATTCTATTTTCCAGTCTGTAAGCTCTCTTCTTTTTGAAAAGAAGCAGTAATTTCATTTTCCAAGAAACCACATGCTCTGGGAGAAAAGCTGGCATAGAACTATCATCTCATATTCTATTTATCTACTCTGGAAGCTGAATTTATAGTCAAATTTAATGAGCGCTTTGGATTGCAGTATTCCAGCAGCCGTTCTTAAGAATTGGACATTCAGAGGTGGAGAAAGTGATTGGTGATCTTCACCTTATTCACAAGTGTCATGGGAGTCTCGATAGTCTTTAACACCACAGAAACAAGCTGTAAGACATTGTTTCTTTCTGAAATAATTTATCCTATAGTTCAAGAGCAGTCTGTTTGAATTATGAATAATTCTAGATCTGTGCAAAATTAATAAATTGCTTTAGTGAGTTCTTAGAAGTTGATTAGCATTTTGGTTTACTATTCTACTGTTTTTCTTGGCAACATAGATGTATTTTGTGCCAACATGAAATGCAGTATCATTAAGAGAATTGTAAGTTAAAGTAGACTCTTTTAGTTTGATAGTGAGGTTTTGTAGGTACAGGTATTGGTTAGATTTTCTTACTGATCTATTCTACCTCAAAATCTATGGGTCAGCAGCAAGATTGTGCAGGTGGTATCATGAGTCTCAATGATTGGGAAGTTTTTATGACTGTGTAGAAGGCAATCATTAGCTGCAGAAAAGACTTTGAGATGATGATGGGATGAACTTAAATCCCAGTTTTCTGACTTGTTCAGTGTATCTGACCTCAGTGAAGCTAGGAATCTGTTATCTGGAAAGGACAGACACTTGTTTCATATGGAAAAAGCTTCTGATGTCTGTTTTCAGTACTTTCCTCTGCCAATATTGAAGAAAGGAAAAAAACAAAGAAAGCTGCTCAACTGAATGAGCATTTGCCTTAGAGGGGCAGAAAGTTTTAGTGGTGTGGTTTTTTTTTTGTCATCAGCTCCATTCTTGCCTTATGTTAATGAAATCTAAGAAAATTATGTCTGTAGAACTTGCTTATATATGTCCACTTTTGAACAGTTTGTTTTGAAGACCTAGCAACTATAAGTATTATAGTTAAACCCTTTAGACTTGAGCAAATCCATCACAAATCACATCACTTATGATGAAGTTTCTGGAGGATGTTGTGCTGTATGGAAGTCTGAGTAAGAGATTAGTGTATGTAAGTATTGTTCTTACACTGTTGTAGAAAAGCAAAACACTGAACACAGAATAGTTAATGTGCTTTCTGATTAATAGTTGTAAAGTACTGAGAATAAGGAGTTTATTTCTGAAAATTAGCTTGTTATTAAGTAAAGAAATCATTGATTTTATCTAGCACTGCAATGTTTAAAATTATCTGTGCTGGTTTAACAGTTTGGCCAATCTGTTTCAAATGGGACTATATGAGCAACAGAACTTAGGCTCTTTTGGATCAAAGACTTAGCTGAGCTGACTAGAAAGAGTTGGAATGGAAACTCTTCCGAGAAGTTAAAATTACAATATGTGATACTAACTAGATAAGTGACCTTTCAGATAAATATCTGGAGCCTCTGAGGTATCTTTCTCTTCTTGTAATTGTCAGTAAAAAACTTTACTAAAGTAAGTTTACTAAGGAATTTAACTTTTGCTGTTCAACTGATCTAGCTTAAAAGCTGAAAGCTTATACGATGTATTTGCCTTACCAGGAGCTGTACTGAAGAGTTACGTCTTATAACCATTCAGTTTTCTTGTGTCAAATAAACTTCAAAGTATGTAGGAGCTCATTATCCATGGGGTCAATCCAAATTTATTTTGATACTCTTTGATACTGGAATAACATATGAGGTTGTACCTTGGGTTCTTGCACTGATTAATATTGTGGGATTTTTAACAGGAGCTTTACTATTTCAAAGATATTAATATTCAACAAGGACTAAATTTTGCTGTCTTTCAATCCCTAATGGCAGAAGTTCTGTTGAGCTAACGAGAAAAACCTGCCAAACTTGAGGATGCATGTAGGGAACTTTTCCAGCTTTTTCTTTTTCCTCCTTCGTTATATTTATATTTTTGTGCTTACTGCTGACACTGATGCAGATGAGAAAAATTAACACACAATCTGTGTTTGATAAAACAGGTTGCATACTAAAGCATTGCTTCTTAATGTTCTAGCTTGCAGTAACTTTAGTAATAACAGAAAGGAAGGATAGATAAATGTATACAAGTAAAGTCAGAATAATATTTTAGTCAAAAATAGGGAATATGTAAACAATAAAGTATTTTTAAGTAATTTTCAATTTTTTTGTTATGTTTTGTAGCATATGGTGTTAAAAGGTCTAGCTTAGAATCTTATTTCTGTGTTATTTCTGATATTAATAAAAATGTATGTGCAGATAAAAATGTTTTGTGGCAACCATATTGTAGAAAAATAAATCACCTCATTAAAATATTACCCAGTTCACTGGTTTTCAAATTTCTTTTACATCTTGTCTGATAGTTCCATGTTCTCTTTCTTACCACTGCTCTCAGTCATCTGTTTCAAATCACTGTAGTATAATTCACTGCATAATTTTGTACTAGATGAATGTGGCAATGCACAATATTAATACCCTATAAATAAAACAAATTTAAAAAAAGACAAAAAGCCTCTACTCTCACTATGCCCCTCCTCCCTCTATCTCTCAAGAATACAAAAAAGAATCTAAAATGACCTTGTGAAGTTAGTCACGACCCTGAATCTGTCTGGCCTAATAATCGCCCACATTTTGCCTTGCATGGTCAGACAAATTTGTCTTGCACTCTTAACCTGGGCCTTCTCTCCTTTCATGGTCTTTGTGGTCTGTGTCTGCAGCAAGTTTTTACAGAGAATTTTTCTTCCCATATGCGTGAAATCCAGTTTTCAAAGCCTAGGCTCAAACCAGCCTGGTCTTTGCTAGTACACAACCAAATGGAAAGAGTAACCCTGCCTGGGAATTAATTCTTGTGTAGTTCTGGTTTTTTCAAGTCAGTCATTACTCTTCACCCATCTTACTATTGAAGACTGGGAGAGTACAAAGCAGACTTGTAAAAATGTTTTTTCTTACTATTTTTCAAAGTCCAGTGACAGTCTCATGAAGGCTACTTTGTGTCTTGGCCAAGGTTGACAGTGATACACTAGTAAGAGGTAACAAGGTGGGCGAGGGTAGTGATAGTTTCTCAGACCAATTTCCCAGCTCATACTTTGTGGCTCAGGCCTTCTGAAAACGGAATGGTGTCTTGTTAAGTCATAGGCCTTGATTTCTGTTTTTAAGAATTAGTCAGTTAGATTATTATTCTCAAAACTATTAGCTGCAGCGTCCTGACAGGAGTTTATGAACTTGTCATCAGGTTTCATTTAATGGCAAAGCCAAGTGGGTTTTCTAATTTCTAGTATATGTTTAACAAATAGCTTAAATTTTTAGTGTTTGCCAGCAGATTAAAACTAACAACTAGAATAACAAGACAAGCATTTAAAAATTCAATTATAACTAAAACCCCCAAACCAGACTCTTGTTGAGAAGATAAAGCTTGATTTTGCTAGTCCTATCATTGTGTCACAGGTTTGGACCACTGTGTAGACTGAGCTGCTTTTATTTTTAGTTCTCATCAAGTTATGAGAGGTAGAGACTAAAGCTACATGGAATCTGTTGAGATTTCTTCCTCTTCTTTCTTTCTTCCCTACCTGAAATATAACTGGTACTTCAAGAGGAAAGTTGTCTGAAGTTTGGGAATAATTTGGTCTATGAAAATTATTGAGACTGTTGAGGTTATTTATATTTAGCAAAGCTTGAAACTTTACTAAACTAATAAACTAAAACTAATCTTGTTTTTCAGACTGAAAACCTAGAGAGTACAATAACCATACCAGATATCAGATTACATAGCAATCCTTCAGCTTTTAATGTTTACTGCAATGTCCGCCATTGTGTGTTGGAGTGGCAGAAAAAGGAAGCATCTGTGTCTTTGGCTTCAAAGAACAGTGTCCAGAGTGGGGATTCGGACAGTGATGAAGAAGAGGAGCCCAAAGAACCACCTATTAAACTTCCAAAGGCAAGTGACTGATACCACTTAAAGTGTGCTGTGTATGTCATCTAAGGCTGATATGTTATTTTTGGGGATTAAAGAGCAGCAGTATTAAGCCAGCTGCTTAAAACACTGCTGTAGTTTTATTTGTAGTCCGTCTAGTTCAGAATTGTTTGAATTAGGAAGATCTGTATACGTGCCCAAATTAAAGTCAATTAAATGCCAAGTAAACATTCAAGTTGCACTTTAAAAGTGTTGGTACTTGAACACCTACAGCCTCAAAATCTACATAGAAATGATGCAAATAAGGCAGCTCTTACATCTCTGAGGGGCTACCAGCTCATAATGGTAAAGAGTGCTTTCTTTTGCTTTACCCTCCAAAAAGAGTAAGTCTTTCTAATAATGGAAATACTTTGGTGGAATGGTTCCTAAGATATTTTGCTGGGTATGCATGTAATTCCACTAATTGTCAATTGTTCTTTACCTTTTTTGGCTTTAGTTCCCTTAGTGGTACTGACAGCTCCAGATTTTAATGCATGCTAAAATTTTGATGCTATAGTTAAACAGGTAGAGTGGGTTTTTTTGCTATTGACTGCTTCTGTGTTTATAGTAGGATTAATGGTGGAAAGTCAGAAATACAGGACTTACTGATTTTTTTTTCAATTTGTTGATTCACTTGTTTTTTATTATGTATTACAAAACTATGCATTTAGTTTCATTAATTACTACTTTATCAACACTATGAATTGTGCTTTGTTTTGTTGTTTTTCTGAATCTAAAAAGCATGTTCTGATTAAATTCCCTTGTTTATATTTGCTTTGAAACCAATACAAATGCTGAATTAAAAAGGTGGTTGCGGCTGTGGTTATGTAGAATGTTTGAATTAGGCTTAGAAAATTGGGATTTTATAGATTATTTTGTTTAGGTGTTATCTGAAGGGCATCGTTGGTACTCCAGAAAATAGAGGTGGTGAATTGTGGAGAAGCATAACCAAGTCAGCCAACGGCAATTTCATGATTGATGATTGCAAAATACGAGGTCACTAGAAATAAAGTCAGCATTGTTTATGAACTGCATCTGAGTCCTCGTAGATTGTATCAAATGAATCAGCAAGTGCTTGTAGATTCTTATTTTTAAGTAAAAGGCAATGTAGCTATTAGCATTTATAGTGAATGGAGTGACGTTTATAAGAAATGCTGATATTCAAAGAGGTTCTAAGAAGGATGAGATTTATCAGTGGTATGGACAGAAGACTTGCACGTGGAAACCAAAATATTGGTATTGTGTCGGACAGTTTATTACAAAGAGACTTGGAAAAGTAGCACAGCTTTAAAAAGATGGTGGCTTAGAAAAAATTACAGGGAAACTGTAGATAACAAACTCTCTCAAGATAGAAAATTTTTGCAATTTTGTTACATTCAGTACAGCAAATATAAAATTGGCAAAATTCACTTTGTTTTCAAACTTTACTTTTAGTAAAGAATCTACAGAATACCAAATTTGAGACTTTTTGGTTCAAAAATGTGTTTAGATGCCTGATACAACCTCAGTATTTTTCATAACTATCTAGGTAATACAGAGTTGTTTAGGTCCCTTGGAGGTAACAATTAGACTTGCATTCGTGCAAGCATCTGCTTGGAACTGTCTCACATGTAGTAAAACTTCTAGGAACTGACCATGTAAATGTCTTGGTATCCTGGATACAGGTGTCTGTCTCATGATAATGAACAATATTGTGTAGGGCTAAATTTCTTAACTGTAAAGAAGAAAGTCATTATAAAGTTTCTAAACTTTACAATATTTACAATACAAATTTCTGATAGTAATTGTTAGTTTATTAAAAAGAATACTGATGTATTTTGAGTGAGGTGAAAGATGTAAAAAAGGGTGGCAATGGTTTGTGCTTTCACAGATTCTCCAGAGTGTGGTGATGGTTTTTTGTTTAATTGAGACTAAGTTGAAAACATTCTATGTTTTTGTAGTTTAGGGTGACTTCAAGTGTTCTATTGAAATATTTTTCTTTCAGATCTTAAACTTGAGGAAGTCAGGTTTGTTAGAGCCTTTGAGTAGAATGTTGGAATCAGAAGTTGTAATGAGGAATTCTCTGTACTTAAAATGGAATAGATTCAGTTCTGTTGATAAGATTTGTAATCTGCAGAGTAAAGAAGACGTGTTTCCCACACCCTGCACCCTCACCCCTCCTCAGTATTAAACTTAACACTGAGTTACAAATGATCCACAAAAGCCCTGTACAAAAAGGAGCAAATACTGGATTAAAGTGATTAAGGTGGAATTAACTGACTTAAATATTCTTTGTTCCTGCACTGTCATACATTTGCTAATAAGCTTAAGCAAAAATTAAAATTTTTAAGTTGTAATGAAAAAGAAAAGACAAAGAATTACTTTCTTTAGAGACTGACTTTAAGTCTTTTGAAATTCTTTGGGAGAATGTTACCTTTGTAAAAGTTCTTTTTTTTTTTTTTTTTTTTGTATATGTATGTATTATAAATTAATTCAGAGTAGTGTGTCATTTTAATTATAGAAATGTGAGCATTTCATATAATGTTCACAATGCTATGAGTGGAAAGATAAAAGAAATAAAATAACAACTCAGATAAGACTTCAAGATTAAATAGGATGAGTTTTGCTAATTAGTTAGGCGTCACAATGTCTGTGTCCAGGCTAGAATTTTGAGTACCTTTTGTTAAGCAGTCTTAGACTTTTGATCTGAAGTCTCAAAGGTGTTGTAAAGAGAATGGGAGAATGGCTGCACAGAGAGCATCAGTAAGAGTAGTCAGGCTGTGACACAGAAGCTGAGGCAGAGCCGTGCTTGTTTTGGCTCAAAAACCCTTCAGAGAGCAGTGAGAACAAGCTTAAGATGTCTTGAAAATAACTGTTTGCTTATTCTGTCCTTCAGTGCACAGTCTGGAGGAGAGAGGTAGAGACATACACACACATATGATATACATACATAAATTATTATGGTGAATAAATATATTATATGAAGCCTAGCTAGTCTCTTGATCTCAGATATTTAAAAACCAACCCAAAACCTGTGCAGAATTGACAGTGTCTCAGCAGAACTTTCTCTTACCAATTCCCACTGTAGTGGAAGTTGACCAAACTTTTTCCACTGTGTTATGTTCTCTACTTTCTCTAGCTGCCTCTGTCAGCTCCTAGATGAGGTCTTCTGACTGAAGATTGTGAAGAATAAAATAAACTTAGTTTCTCGCAAAGACACTATAACTGAACAAGAAGGGCATTTCTAAAAATGTACTACAATGTATTTTTTAGCCTTTAGGATGATGGGGAGTTTTAGATCCTGGAAAAAACCATCATGCCGTTATTATGTTGACAGGTGGTTTTTTCCCCTGTAGATTCTGTGCACGTATTTTCCCCCCACTCCATTGCAGATGTGAAATGTAAGATGTAATTAGCAGCAAAATTACTGTTGTGCTTTGAAGACTTGACTTGGTTATGTTTTTATCCTTCCTCCAGGAATAAAATAGATGGTAAAATAATTTCTGAAGGATGGGAATCAAAAGTTAGCAAAGACAATTACAAGGAATCCAATAGAACTTAGAGTTGACTGCCAGAATATATATGTTGTAAGCATGAGTGGCAGTTGCATTAAGGATGTTATTTATTTTCACATTTTAGTCTTTTTCCTAAGATTTTATTCAGGGGTAAGTCTCTGTTAAACACTCTATACATAGGGGCTCTGCTCCTAACCAAAACACATAGTGAAGTTTTAAAGATACAGTTATTTGTAATGTGCTAACCGTCCTCTCTTTCCTTTTGTCTTCATCATTATTAAATACAGAGTTTGAGAAGGAAGTGCAAGGGAGCAGTCAGTGGAGAGAAGCAGGACTGTAATCTCAAATAGTCAGAATTCTAAAAGGGGAAGTTAGAGGTGGCTGTAACAGTGCTTTTACACGTTCTATTAGTTGGCTTAATGCATGTCTGTGATGATTACAATATGGAGTTTTAGTGTCAAAAAATTAATCTTTGTTTTTATCACAATATAAAAAATAGTCTCTGAGGCTTTGGAGAGGAAAGTGCTAGAGCTGCCAGTATCAGCTGTCAAATGTGTTGTTATTCAGGTTGTGAAGCCAGGTTGCAAGACCATTCTAGTTCTCCTGCTCACATTAATGAGCAAGGAAAAAGAAGACTGTCAAAGTGTGAACTGGATAGAGATTAGAAGGGCTTAGAGGCACATTTTGCCTTTTATTCTGCAAAAAGTTTTGACTTCCCTTATTCTTTCAAGAAACTATTACTATGCTTAGAGATGCTCTTTTATGTAGTGGCTGACTTATGTGTAACATTTGCTGGTATAGTTGTATAGGTGGATTCTTGATTTTGATTCTCGTTTGATTTAACACTATTTTATATTACAACTTTCTATTTGAGTAGTTGTCTTGTTCAGTGAATACTGGGATATACTTTTTCTGGTGAAGATCTAAAAATACTATATTGACAGCTGTTCTGAAAAATCTCTTCTTTAGATTATTGAAGTTGGATTATGTGAGGTCTTCGAACTGATAAAGGAGACAAGATTTTCTCATCCCTCGTTGTGTCTCAGGAGCCTACAAGCCCTACTTAATGTGCTCCAAGGTCAGCAACCAGAAGGCCTGCAATCAGAGCCTCCAGAAGTCCTAGGTAATATCTCATCTCTTACTGTATTGTTATTAACATACCTCTGTTATTTTGTTGGACAGAAGAAAATGGTTCTTGGCAAGTATTTGTGAGATAGTGCCATGCTTGTTCTCAAATGCTTGGCTTTACTCTGGAGTATAAACTCCTTATGGTGTTTATGGAAGTATGCAGTACTACCTCACTGCAACATAGTAAATATTACAGCCTAACAAATTGGGATCCACTTGTCCTACTGAAGCATAAAATACTTGGTCTTATTGGAAAGAATAGTTCTAGGGTGAAATTCTCTTGCAATCTGCTGTTGTGATCTATATCTTAGATATTTTAATGTTGTAATTTATGTGAAGCTGTTGTGCAGAGTGTCAGAATTCCTGGTTTTTATTTTCTCTGGCCATCCCAAAGCTTTCCTGAAAATTAATTTTCTTTTTAATGATACTGAAAATCAAGGTTGAATTCCTGATGCATTTCAGAGCATGATTGACTATATCCTTTAAGTTAAAATCCCATTATATTTTGTTGGTATGTAGAACTGCAGAGAAGTCTAGGCTGTAGCCTGCGTTGTTTAAAAACAATTTTGAAAGAGTCTTTAGAATTCATGTATTTTTAAAATATTTTTTGACTTAACAGTATTCTATTTCCAAAGAAATAGAAAACTTTTATTTTTGATGCATGGAGTATTAAAAAGCTACAAAGAAGACTTTAATTACTGCCTTAGTGATTAATTGTATCTGCTCTCAAGAAAATTTATGTGGATTTCTGTTCACACCTTGATTGTTACAGATGTTCAGTCACCAAACAGTGTTTGGTTGTGATCAAAATAATTTTCAAGCCTCAATTTGAAGTGCTCATTTCTGTGAAGTGGGTTGTACTTCAACATGGGTAATGGTCATAAAGAGTAGATAAGTTTGGTCAGAACCTACACATCATCTCAGTGATGGGCTAGGCTGAACAGGCAGGCCAAATAACACTTTCGGGCCCATTTCTTATTAACGTGTTCAACTGTGACCAAACGACTTGGTAGTTGTCTTCATTGGCCATGGTGATTATCCAGACTTAATGTTTTCTGGCTGGAAAGAAGAAAAGTTAAGGATAATTTAGGTTTATTTAAGATTATTTTCTGTCTAAAATCAGCTCTAAACATAATAGCTGAGGAAAGATACAATGTATTTTCCGAGTTTAATTTCCCATTGGTAGTTATTTTATTTTGTCTGTGTTTTATCTCCAGAATCCCTGTTCCAGCTTCTTCTGGAAATAACTGTCCGTAGCACGGGAATGAATGACAGTACAGGACAGTCCTTGACAGCACTTTCCTGCGCTTGCCTCTTCAGTTTGGTAGCTGCCTGGGGAGAGACAGGAAGGACGTTGCAAGCCATCTCTGCAATCCTCACCAATAATGGCAGCCATGCTTGTCAGACTATTCAGGTCTCGCACTAAAACTTCTCTGTATCTGGGAATTTATGTAATTGAGTACTTCTAATGAGTTTTGGAAAGATGTATTGTTTAATTCAGTTACCTTTTTCCCCTCACTATTTTTGAGATGAGTTGGTATTTCTTTGTCTCTCTTGAGTTGGTGTTAGAACAGAAAATACAAGATTTAAAAAATTTGTCATCTTTTTCACTTGCTATTTCTTTTACTATTTAGGTGCCAACCATCTTAAACTCTCTTCAGCGGAGTGTACAGGCAGTTCTGGTGGGCAAAATCCAAATCCAGGACTGGTTCAGTAATGGGATAAAGAAGGCAGCCTTGATGCACAAATGGCCATTGAAAGAAATATCTGTAGATGAAGATGACCAGTGCCTACTTCAGAGTGATGGATTTTTCCTCTATCTCTTATGTAAAGATGGACTTTACAAAATTGGCTCTGGATATAGCGGGACAGTGAGGGTAACGTGGCTGCTTCTTGTCTGATGAGTGATGTTTAGTATTTTAATTTAACTTTTATGATGTCCTGTTCACATGCAGAATCTTACATAGCTTACTAATCATCAGTTCTGTTACGGTTTGTGTAAATTTTTCTCATGAGTTCTATGACAATTTGGCAATTTTCTTAGAATTTTCACTATGCAATATGGTTGAAGACATTACTTAAATGGTAAATGATTGTGTTGAGTTTTCACTCTGGTATTTGTTAAATGATGGAAGTTTTTTGCATTTCAGGGCCATATATACAATTCTACATCCCGCATCAAAAACCGAAAAGAAAAAAAGTCTTGGTTAGGCTATGCTCAGGTAGGTGAATACTTAAAATACAAAATATGTGGCCCTCCTCATCCCTCATGAGTAGTTTAAGTAAATCCTGTCTTAGAGTAAGCTTACATGGATATTTTATCATTCCTTTGGCTTTCATTATAAAGGGTGAAATTTTTGGTACTGTTTTCTAAGTTATGGAATATGATGCACATGTGATTGTACTGGCCTGTAGAAAGGAATAATGGAGTGACCTTGCTTTGTGTTGCCATTGTAAAGACTTTTGCAAAATATGATAGTTTAGCACATCAGTTTATGAACTGTGCAGTCAATTTATGTGTATTTCTAAGTGCATGTCAGTGGATATAAAAAAGGGTTGTTGCAACAAATATGTGAAAAATATTTGAAATAACTCGTTATCAAAAGAAATTGACTTTAAAACTGCAGTAAAATACAGAAATGTGGTTTTGGTTGGGTAGGATTGAGCATATGTGAACAATACTTAGAGATAATTGTTGACATTGTCATTGCAGACTTAACTATATTTGGATGGTTTGGGGTTTTTACAGCTAGTTTCTGGAATAGCAACTGCTTTTTCTTACACCTTTATTATTCACTATAAGAAAACCTCAAAACTGACTAAGAAGTACATTTCAGAGAATGATTAATTTACTTAATTTATTGTATATTTACTATTAACTGAGTGATCTCATTGTCCCAGTGTGATTCTTAGTATACTCCTTGCCATGCTTTTGAAGTTAAATTGTCCATTACAAATCCATGTTCTTTCATTGTAGTTATTGTATATGTGTGTGTATACACACAAACTCATGAAATCTGGTTTTATTTAATGTAAAAAGCAGATCACCAAAAGGTACACTGGCACAAAAAACAAATGCATATGGATGCATTCATTCTGGCTCTTGCTTTATCAATTTGGAAGGGAAGAGGATTAATGTGGTTTCATTATATAGTGTTACATGTTTGGACATTCTGTATATAACTATAAATATATGTGATGCTTCTGAGTGCTTGTACAGGTATATGCACTCACAGAGTGATAGTAGCCAAAGGCAGTGCAGCTAGGACAAGTGTCATTTTGGGGCTATATTTATAGAAAGGTGTGTGACTTGCACTTATTGCTAGTTATGTGTCCATAAGAGAGAGAAACTGTCCTCAGTGTCACTTCCCTTCAAGTGATTGGTTAGCTTAAATTCAACTGATTTTTCTTACTTCATCATATTAGTTATTTTTAAATTGAATCTTTTCTATCTTCTTTAATGCTCTTTGCTTAATTTATGTGGGCTTGTTTTCCTCATTTCACTGAGATTTATTTATCAAGTAGTTTCAATGGAAGAAAATTTCTTAGTCTGGGAGTCAAAGTAGTCAATTTTTTTTTTTTTATTCTAGGTTTTAATGCATGTATTAGTATGTATTAATGATTGCCCTTCTATATAGGGTAACATTGTCTATCACCTTTCTGGAATTCCTGTGATTATTTTGTTGATTTGAAAAGTGGATACAGAAACATTGGTTTTTACTGTGGCTGTGGCTCTTAACTCTGAATTGTATACAGAGATAACAGAATTAACATGCAGGCCTTCAAAAGTTATATACAAGCTTCAGCATGCTAATGTATGGCATGTACGAAGTGGAGGAAGGAAGTTAAATTTACATTTTTTAATGTGGAATTTAGTTAGTAGAAAAAGTGTTGATCATCATTCTATGTAAAAGGCTTGTGATATTTTAATGCATAATCTGAAATAATGATTGTGTTTTTTCCCTTTTAACATCTCTTAATGTATTATAGAGTATTTTCATACTTCTATATATGTTTTTTGTTCTTGCCAGGGCTATTTATTATATAGAGATACAAATAATCACAGTATGACAGCCATAAGAATAAACCCTGAAACCTTGGAACAAGACGGTACAGTTGCTTTGCCAGGTAAGAAACTCCAGGTGGGAGAAATTTGGTATAGTTTGCAGTTTACATGTTACATATTTCCAGGCAAGCAGAATAGAAACTGAGAGATTTTTGAGGTCACAGATAGATTGCTTTACGACTTTGCCTTACTTCAGACCAGCTTCAGTATTTCACTTAGAGGCATCGCATCTTAGTCCAGTTGCCAGAAGAGTGTTGCAGCATTTTAGAATGATCATCATTCATTATCATCTTATATTAAAGACTACAAGACCTTAAATTCCTTCCTAAAAACTTTCATTTCTTGCTCATTTGAACTTTGAGTGTTTGGCTCATGTATGAATTTGTTTCCAGGATCTCTTACACGTAGGCAATTATAAACTGTGAACAAAATAATTTTGTTTGTTAATAGGATAAACATATATCCAAAAAACAAAGGCAGCTAATGAACACTGATGGACCATGCTTCTGATGTTATATTGGCAGTGGATTTTGGTTTATTTGTTTAGAAAGTTTTATTTCAGTTTTGAGGTTTTGGGTGGGGTTCGCTTGTTTTGTGGGGGGTTGGTTGTTTTCATTTTGTTGTCCTTTTTCAGAGGAGCCTCATAACTTCAGTCTGTTTAGAGAATGAGGATGTTCCTGGAACATGCTTTAATGGCCTTCTAGTGAAATACATCTGTTCTTAGCTACACACACGCATAGCAGAAGGAAACAAGAATGTTTTTTAATCAAGCAATGACAGGCTTATTTTGTAGATTAGAAGAAAGATTTTGTTTCATCCTGACATAAATAAGAAACCACTGACTGAAACCTCAGAAAAGTTCTCTAGGATTTTTTGTCGTTAAAACACAAACAGCAATCTTTTTAACAAGTTCTGAATGTTGAATCTAGTCCATGCAATCTTCTGCACATCCTTAAAGTATGGATGTCTTTTTAAGCTGTTCTTGTTCTTTGTGGGGGCTGTATGAGATACTTCAGTGAAAGCACATTCAAGGACCTGCCTTTCAGAGTGGTATTTCAACTTTCTTCACCTCAGGGCAGCTTCTTACACAGTAGGGTTCATTGATGTCCTTAATTATGTTACCATTTGTAAACAAATCAGTGTTCTTCATACAAGTCTTGAGAGAGAATTGAGCACATTTAAAGTCCACCCTTTGGAGCTGTTAGCTTGCATTTGCAAATCACAGTGACAAGTGTCATTCTACAAGACTGCCTTGCATTTATACTGTAAAAAGGCACAAAAAATTGAATGAGAGTATACCTTCTCAACAAAATGCAAAAGCAAATCCGAATGGGAATACCCATTCAGAAATTACTCAAACTATCTGCAAAGTTGGATTTTGTGATGGTATCCAAGTTAGATGTTCTTTGTAACTCCAGTCCTTTGTATTTCAGTCCTTGAACTTTGCTGTTTCACTTTGTGCACTTCTGCACATTTATCTCAGTGTGTTACTGTGAGCAGATAAGACCTTGTTCTTTTGCCTAGGACAAACTCCAGAGCGTCCACTTCTTGTTATTTTCCTTTCCCAGTAGAAAAAATGAAATGAAGGTAGGGGGAAGGTGTCTGACCTGAGGAAAACTGAGAAGGTACTTAACTCTGAATAGTAGTGGCTGCCCCACTGAAATCTTATGGTGACTTGCAAGTTGTTCTAGTTCTGAAAAGCCATGCTGGGTAGAACTAAAGGCCAATGACCTTGCTAACATCTGAACACAGCAAATATTTGCTCCTGTTGGTATGGTATTCAGACTTGGCTCTATGTGGAATTAATCTCATTCAAATGCCTGGGCTGGTGATAGTGCATTAAAAAAAGGTATTAGAATTTATTCATACAGGGGATGCATAGGAAGTTAGGAGATGTGTTTAGAAGTTGATCCTAGATAGAAATCACATGACCTTAGAAAGGTCAGGGAACTGTGAAACACTATTTTCTCCTTTCTCAGACAGTAGGGATCCATCAGCTTCTTGAAACCATAAACTTAAAAGGCAGTCTTTCCACTCTGATATATGATCTTAGGCAGATCCAGCTTTATATCTGGAATTACCAGGTTGTGTGTCAACATTCTTGTATCTATTTCATTTGCCCAGATTTATACACTGTACCTGAGTTGTGCATCTGTTTTCTCAGTCTATATATCATAGAAGAATGTCTGAATTCCATGAGAATTGGGTGACTAGACCTGAATTTACAGAGGTTTCCATATTTGCCATTTTTTTCAACAGTAATGCTTACTGCATACTTTAAAACAGTTTCTGTTTTCAGCTGGAGAAATTTGAAGTCACATGGTATATAGTTTTATTGTTCTTTGAAATTGCAAATTAGTATCTTAGGCTCAGGACTATTCCCTTAGTGTGAAAAGTACTGATAACTGAGGATATCCTAGATGACCTCAAGGCCTGCATCATTAGCAGGTGCAGAAGGCACAGTATGAATGTAGAAGGTGATGCTTCACAGTCATCTTCCTTTGAAGCCTCTGAGTAGGCTGTGATTAACAGATGTCTGCAGTTGTGTTTTTAGTAAAACATAAACCCATTTTCTTATAGCAATCTCCAGACAGAAAGCTTGGCAATCCTCACCCCCATAGTAATATACGAAGTCAGATTGAATAACATTTAGGATTGATCATACAAGCTCCTTCCTAGCTGAGACACTACACTAGTTTTTTCAGATACTCCATTTGCCTTCCATTTTTTAGTCTTCCCATTAATTTGATTTTTAATGCTGGGCCTGCTTGTTTGTTAGCTAAGCAAGTGCTAATTTTTACGAAGTTTTCTGGAGAGCATGTATTTAAAAAAACCCCATCTCCGTTCCAGATTTCCTCTTTGAACAGATCTACCAAACATAGGAACAACCCCCAGAAATGTTTACCAGGAGATTCACCTTTCTTGAAGTGACTCAAGCAATAGGCTAAATAATGAAATATGGACCCACTGGTGGCCAAAATGTGTTGTTTCCTTGGCTGTTCTGCTTGTGTGAACATGTAATTTTCAGTCATTCAGGGAAACTTAATTCTTACCAGCTTCCTGTGACCTTTGGAGAAATGTCATTTAGATTAGTTTTGGAACTTCTCATCCAGTTACTGATAGTTATTTTATCACTCACACAACTTGCAGCATAGAGAATTAGTAGTGTAAACTGCTTTGGTTGTTAAATCTGAGATTATTTTTCAGAGAGCAGTATTTCAAACTTCAGTGTTTCGGCTGCCAATTTCCATCATGCTTGCTGTGTACATTCTGTGATTCATACCTGATTGTGCTCTAAGGGGAAGGAAAGTTGTCTACTTTTGGTGTTTTGCTTCCAGATGGGAGAGTTACAGAAGCCTTTCTAATGCATATTCTATTCCTGCTAAGACACTGTATTGGACTGGGCAGTATATCAGGAAAAAATAAAAAATGGGTTTCTGTGGAGTGTTTTCAGCTGTATTATTTTGATGCTTTAGCTAGGTAGCAAAAAAATAGTGAACTTGATGATTATGCTAGAAAGACATTATATGTGCTTCATTTAGCATTAAATTTATTCGGTAAAATGCTAATACTAGATCTTTGTTCAGATTATGAAGCAAATATTTTGAGTGTAAAGTGGCTGTGGAAAAGGTATCTTTCCTCTGTGCAATCAATGAGACAAACACCTTACAAACCATATGATATCAATCTCTTTGCCAGTAGCTCCATCAGCAGTGCAGGAAGGGAAGAAGAAATGGTATAGGGCCATAGGTTTAAACTTGCAGAGAAGGTGGTTGTTCTCTTTTTTTCCTCCTAATTCAGGTCCAGTTCTTTCCCTGCCATTTTTTTTAATTAGCTGACCTATTTTCAATAAATGAGTGATGTATTCAAGTATATACTTCATAGTTTTCAAAATATACCCATATTTTCAGCTAATACTTGATGAAATTCATAAATAATTCGAAAATGAAATTAATAATGAAAACTGCGATTCATTTATATGTGTAGGATTTATATGCTGGACTGAGGAAACGTTTCTTTAAAGATAATGGTCCTTATATAAAAAAAAGTCTTTGGGGAAGGAGGAAGGCTTAATAGTCCTGGAAGATTCAAATTTAGTTGTGTTGTAATAGTTTAGAATATGCCTCACAGGTGACTACTACATGTTTTGGGGTTTTTTTACATTTAAATATTGGGGTGTAACCACTTGCATTTCATACAATGGAAAGTACTGCAATAACTTCCAGGAGCTAAGGAGAATTACATGCCTTTGATGAGATACATCTTCATGTAAAGTAATACCTTATCAGAACAATATCATTTCACTTGAGACAAAGTAGAACTCTCATAATCTGATTGGAATGAGAATGAATTAGAAGCAGAGATTAGTGTGTGTATGTATGCTAATATAAACTGATGCAGTGCACTTCATTTTTCCCTCACAGATTGTCATACTGAAGGGCAGAATATCCTTTTCACAGATGGAGAGTATATTAATCAAATAGCAGCATCTAGAGATGTAAGTTTTACAAATGATGGGTAAACTATTTTTCACTCAACTGGGTTTTATTTTACAATGTTTATAGCTTCCCTTTTTCTTCATGTTTGGCTTTTTCTTCACTAACACAACTAAGGAAGAAATCCATGCAACTAAATGTAAATGATTTGTGCATAAAAAAAGCTGTGTTTTGGTAATTATTCATACAATTTTGATTTGTGATGGAGTTTTTATTTTTTCAGATAAGTTTTAAGAGAAACTTCATTGCTCTTTAAGGAAAAAAAATCTTTTACATTGAATAACATATTTTAAACATGTTCTACAGGTTCTTGGTGGGATAAGCTTCTTAGATCTTAAGGATAAATTTTTTTCTTGATTTAGTGTCCTGTAATTGCTTTGCAACTTATTGAGGCATTTCAGCTGGTTTTATTAGTAGAGACAGGAAATATACTACATTCCAGTTGATTTTTGTATGAAAATTGCCTGTTGGCCAAAGCTGTGGAAGCTCAAGTGCTCCTATGAGGGACAAAACTGTAGTGGTGGTTGTAGGATTTTTTAAATTTCTTTTCAGCAGACAGTTACTATGTTTTTAGTTCTGGTGTGGTTTTTGATGGTGAGAAATCCATAAAATGGTGATGGGGTGTGATGGGGTTGTCAAAAGACACCAAACATCAACTGTAAGAAAAACAGGATTTATCCATTTCCCTCCTAACAGAACAGCTGTTGCTTTTTTTTTTTTTTTTTTTGTAACATGACCAAAAGATACTCTGTACTTGTAAACAGAAAACTTGTCTAGCTACTCTTTACAGCAGTCTCTCTATCTGCATGCAGAATTTTAGGTTATGAATCAGGAGAAGTCAAGGGCTTGAAAGATAGATGTAAATAGTTACAAAAGTATGATTTCTACAGCAGTTCATTGTTTTTTTATAATGTTCATAGCATTTTCACAGAACTCAATATGTGTTTAAGGTGTCAGATACTTAATTCAGCTTGTTGTGATGGTCATTTTATTCTTTTTTCTCCTGTAGTAAATGTTATGTTATAATAAATACTACTTTCTCAATGTGTTCTCTGACAGTTTACTCTAAAATAATGCTATGTTTATGCACTTAGGACTTGGAAAGTAAATTAATGCAGTTCTGATACATTATAGAGTGGATTTTTGTATTTATTGCAGGATGGCTTTGTAGTGCGAATATTTGCCACAAGTACTGAGCCAGTATTGCAACAAGAACTGCAGCTTAAGCTTGCAAGAAAATGCTTACATGCCTGTGGCATCTCATTGTTTGATCTGGAGAAAGATTTGCACATTATCAGTAAGTTCTCCTCTTTGAAGGTTAATATCAAGCCTGCTAATTCAAACAATAGAGCCACCACCTTTCGGTTTCTAGTACTGTTCATGGTTTTCCAGTATTTTCCATCAGTGGTATAATAAATATATAATTGTTTGAAGCTTGGACTTTATAAAACATAGTTAAACTGTGGAACTCCTTGCTGTGGGTCAAATTTAACAACTTGCAAGGACCACTGACTGGATTAAAGGAAGAAAGAATTACATTGAAAAACACATTTGCCTTGGAATTTGAGGTTAAGAATTGTTAGTATCTATGAAAGGATTTTGAAAAAATATCACTTGGCCTTTGCTTTGGGGTATTTTTGCTCTGTCGAGCTTACTTTTGGCTCTGTCAGAACAAAAAAAAAAAAGCTTATTTGGCTCCATGGACTAGCAGATAGGTAGATAACTGGTCTGTGAAACTGCCTGGTTAAACTGTTCAGTTAACACAATCTTGCTTGCACAGGTACAGGGTTTGATGAGGAATCAGCTGTCCTTGGTGCTGGGAGAGAGTTTGCACTGATGAAAACTGCTAGTGGAAAGGTACTGAAAATGTTCTGTAGTAAATAGCAAATTGCACCAATAGATTTCTGTGTTTTTTAATTTTATCATTATTTTCCATAATTTCTTTTTGCCTTTTCAGTATGTTAGAATGTATGTCTATGACTGTAGTCAAATATTCAAATATTCTCAGAGCCTGCTTTAAAACATAAAAGGCAAGTAGTTAAAAGCATAAACAGATAGTTGGAGCTCCTGAGAAATTACTTGAATTTATAGGAATTTCTACAGTCAGTCTTACAATGAAGGGCTTTGTTTTAAATTTGGGAAACAAAATTACCTTCTGTCTACAAATTATGTTTTAAAACCTTTGCAAATTTTACCACCTCATAACTTTTCACAGTCTGACCATAATAATTTATTTAAATCCCATCCTGATTTTTTTTCTGATCCTCTAGAGAATTATTGATTCCCCTATGCAAATTTTTCAATTGATTTCCTTAAGCCTATTCTTGATGATTTGATATGTTGTTCTGCACAGTGGAGACTTTTTTAGAGGTATTTGCATATTCATAGAAATTTAGAAATAATACTGTCACTGACTCTTTACATTATTTACTGGCTTTCTATTTCAGTGTGAAAGATTAATGCTATTTATCTTGTAGAAGCATAGTTCTTAATTACATGTTCAAAATTGTATTGCTTTATTGGAATGAAGGCCTTGCTCTTCTGCTGTCAGAACAGTGAGATTGTTGAAAATGTTAATGAGTAAATATTTTTAAAGAAAATTTAATGGTATGTAACAGAATTTGATCAAATAGAACTCTTCAGCATTGGGAGAGACAGATTAACTTTATCATTCAACTAAGAGAAATTCCTGTTCAGTATAAAATTTTAAAATTTCCTGGGTTTGATCTATAAAATTTTTTGTTAAAGTAAGAAATACGATATATAAGGCAATGTAAAATGACTCTAGGTGCCCCATAGGTTGACATACCAATTTTATAGAGATGTTGAGTTTCATGGTTCTAAAGGAAACTTTAATTCATGTCAGTATTTTTGTTTGTTCACGTGAAATATCTTACTCTGTTATTTAGGTAGTCAGTGGCCACTGAGCACTTGCTAAATATGTTTTACAAATGTGTTGAAGCATGTTAAAATTTGTAGTTATTTGTTATTTTAAATTGATTTTATTGTTATAGTATCTTGTTTTTACACGGGTCAGACATTTTTGTGAAGTGTTTTAAATGTTTAATTTCGTCTGAGTAGTTTCTTCTATTCTTGTGTGTTCAACTCGTCTAGCCAAACAATTATATATATGAAAACTCACTCAATGCTTCAGTAGAAAGCACATTTCAAAACAATCTAATCTAAGAATCTAATCAGCATGTTTCCCCCATTAAATCAAAATTGATGGGTTTGAGACAGAGATACTGAAATGGCATAAACAAAATCAGGGAGAGTGTGGTGTGGTTTTGAAACGAAAGGATTTAAAAACAATTCAACTTTGAGAATTATGTAAGCTTGGAGTGCTGTGACATTACTCAAACTGATAAACTTTTTTCTCCTAGATTTATTACACTGGCAAATATCAGAGCCTTGGAATCAAACAAGGTGGCCCTTCAGCTGGCAAATGGGTTGAACTCCCAATCACAAAATCTCCAAAGATTATTCAGTTTTCTGTTGGACATGATGGTTCACATGCCTTGCTTGTTGCTGAGGATGGAAGCATATTCTTCACAGGTTCTGCTAGTAAAGGAGAGGATGGTGAATCAAGTATGTATCATTGCTTGCTTGACCAGTGGTTGGTAAAAGCCTCTTAAAAAGTTTTTAATTTGAAGAGTTTCAGCATTTTCCAGGAACATGTAAGCATGCCATTTGTACTGGAAATTAGGCTGGCCACAAGTCCTGACAACCAGTACCAAAACCTCTCCCAGCTACAGAATCTGATCTGTGTTTTACCACAGTTTGAGTTGTGTGGTGGAAGTACTATTTTAGAGTTGTCCCAAAAAAAGATAGTCAGAAATTTGGTCAAGAAGCCATGCTGTCTGCCTGGGACTTCAAGATGTGAAGCCAGACCTTTTCCTCTTCGCTGTTGTTCTATTGAGCTTTGGAAATGGATGTTTTGCTGGCTTGTGGAGAGGTGTATTGATGAGAACTTGTAGAAGCAAATGTTCTGGGTTTGATCAAGCGGAATTTTTCAGACATTAAAGAAGACAGATTAATTTGATCTTCAGACCAAAAAGTGCCTCATCAATACAAAATTAACACATTTCCTAGTCTTGATTTCTGTAGTTGCATGTGTGTAGGTTGAAATAGACTTTTTAAGTCAATTAAAGATGGCTTAAAGTGCCCTGAAGCTGTGATCTGCTCTGATATTAAATTAAATACTTCACTTTAGGAAACAGATGATAGATGATGATATGGTAGATTAATAAGAATAATTAAAGTGTTTTGAAATTCTTGAAGAATCATTTCTAAAAGATACTGATCTAATAATGTCTTTGCTTGCATTGAGTTTTTTGAGAGGAGCCAGTATAATCCAATTAAAATTAGACCAAGAGATTGTACATAGTTGTTTGTTTGGGTGTTTTTCATTAGCACTCTGAAAACTAATGATTATGCCTATGATGGTCTGGGGATTTTTTGAAGATTTATTTTATTTCTTCATTTAAAGCTAAAAGCAGAAGGCAATCAAAACCATATAAGCCTAAAAAAATCATTAAAATGGAAGGAAAGATTGTCATATCTACAGCGTGCAATAATGGAAGTAGTTCTGTAATTTCCAAAGATGGAGAACTCTACATGTTTGGGAAAGATGCCATTTACTCTGATAGTACAAGTAAGTTAATATCAGTCTTTTAAATTATTTTTCAACTGAAGTAATGTAAATAAGTATGGGGATTTTTAACCTATTAAGATGTTGTATGTATGTTTCTTGCTTTCATAGTATATTTCTGACATTCTGTTGATTCAGATAAATATGACAGAAGGGTAGAAGAAGGCAGTTTCTGAAAGTTCTGTAAAAGAATTTATTATCAGTAGTGACAAATGTCCAAATTCATTCTTCCACTAAAGAGAAGAAAAAAAAAATCATTTTTATTAATCTGACACAAGGCAACCACACAGGAAAAAGTCACAGAAATAAGATGTGTTTTGCTACAAACGAGGGCTGCTGGAAACTAGGCCTTTTGTGATTCTCTGCTCGTAAGGTAGCAGGGGATCCTGGATAGCACAGTGTAAGTAAAATATTAGTGGAATAAACCCCAATGGCTTTGTGAGTCCTTTAGAATTATTTTTCAAAACAAGTGATTTGCAGCAGTTGTAGGTTTGCTTTTGGCTTTTCATTTTTTGCAGGGCAAGTGGCCTAGGCCTAATTCTCCTTTCCCTTTTTATTCCTGCACTTGTTTTTTATATCTGTTTTTCTCCCTTGCTGTAAACTTTAAAATTGTCAGTATCCACTAACAATTTTGATACATCGAGTTTCCTTCTTGGCTAGAAAGTGCAATTTGTCACTCAAGTGTTTTATGTCTTACAGGTTTAGTAACAGATTTGAAAGGACATTTTGTGACTCAAGTAGCCATGGGCAAAGCTCACACCTGTGTGTTAATGAAGAATGGGGAAGTTTGGACATTTGGAGTAAATAATAAAGGACAGTGTGGACGAGACACAGGCTCTATGAGCCAGGGAGGAAAAGGTGTGGGACCTTGATTTTTTTTTTTTTTTTTTTTCTTTTTGTGCTGGCAAATATCAGAAGTGAAAACAGAGCTGAACATTTTGTTATAAAATGTAATTCCAACACTAAAGCTTGAGTACATGCAACATGATTTAAAAAATCATGCATGCCCATGCAGAGAGAGATCTCACAAAAGTCACTGTGCTGGCTGAGCAGGCAGATCTGGCATTCCTGGTCATTGCTTTTAAAACCTGATATGTGAGTGTTCTTCAGAGCTTTAACAGTAAGCCACTGTTCATAGATACATAGAATAGTTTGAAGAGAAAGCGATCTTTTAAAGGTCCTGGCAATGAGTAGTGACATCTTCAACTAGATCAGGTTGCTGAGCCCTGTCCAACCTGTCCTTACCTCTATGGGTAAACCAGAACCCTCTCTGTTGGCCTCAGAAAGCAAATATTTCTTATTTCAATATCTTAATTAGGTTTTGGAGTTGAGAACATGGCAACAGCAATGGATGAAGACCTGGAAGAGGAACTGGATGAAAAAGATGAGAAGTCCATGATGTGTCCTCCAGGCATGCATAAATGGAAGCTGGAGCAGTGTATGGTATGCACTGTATGTGGAGATTGCACAGGCTATGGAGCCAGCTGTGTTAGTAGCGGGCGTCCTGATAGAGTACCTGGAGGGTAAGCACACGTGTGGGAATGTGGGTGGTACAGTGATGGCTAAAACACTTCTTGAATGTGAACTTTCCATCTGAAGTAATGTTATAGCTAAATATATAATTGTATGTGCTTTTAAAATGAGAAATGGCTTAAAATTTCTGTAAATAGCTTGTGGCTGCAGGTGGTTTAGTTTTAAAACCTTTTTTTTTACTTTAGCATGTAGTTCTTTACTAGAAGCTGTTGGATATAAACACCAATTATAATTTCTGTCTCTTGACAGAGCTGCTGGCTCAGGATAACCTTTCTTCATCCTGTGATGGAAATTTTTTATCTTTCTGTTTATCTTTATCTGTTACTTTTTAGTTGAGCTGCAGAGGGCCACTATGTCACTATTACTATTTCTTCAGCATTTTGTGTGCTCTTTTTTTCCTTTTTCATGTTCTCATGTGGTGTACATTGAATTAAATAAAGAAAAGTTAATGCTCAGAAGTCAATTCAGTTGATAGTCAGTGGCATCATGCAACAGCAGCTAGGATTTATACTAGCTGTCCTTCCTGTTTATCTCAGGAAAACTTGCATGTCCACAGATAGAACAAAGTAACAATCTATGTTTTAATTACAAAGGCATCAGTAACGCACAAAAATAAAAGGTAGTGATAAAGCAACTCTGTTTGCTGCAGAATCTGTGGCTGTGGCTCAGGTGAGTCAGGCTGTGCTGTGTGTGGCTGCTGCAAGGCATGTGCTAGAGAACTGGATGGCCAGGAGGCAAGGCAAAGAGGAATCCTTGATGCTGTAAAAGAGATGATACCTTTAGATCTCTTACTGGGTAAGTGATATGAAATTAGCAAAATTACTTTTAAGTCTCATTTTTACTGCATCTTTTTCTTTACACACTTTATTGTTACAGAGCAGTTTTAGTATAATATTGTTAAAATGGTGCTTAACAGTCAGATTTATTTATTGGTGATATAGTAAAGTGGGATCATTCTCTTAAGTGAATAGTTCTAAGTTTACTCTTGCTATAGTGACCTGTGCAGTTATACTAGTGTGATACTACAAAGTTGTTCTTGTCCTTTTTGATATCCTGAAAAAATTCCTATAATGTTTTTATCAGAATTTAAAACATTCTTAAGCTAAAACATGGCTAATTCATGTAAAGCCTTTTAAAACTATAAACAATTGTAAACTTGGTTTAATAATACTTTCTGAAATTTTTTAGGGGGGAATGGAGATAACCATGACAACACATGATATATGTGTATGCTGAAGTACATCTATATGTGTATATATGTGTCTAAGTACTCCTTAGTGATGTTGGAATTGTCAGATTCATGAAAACCAGAAAATTAGGAGATAAAGCTTAGAACTCCTCCAAATTTACTCAAATCCTTTTTGTTTATTGTCAGGACCATGTAAAGAACAGCTAGTTTTCAGTTTTCATTTACTTTATTTCTTTTAGGGTTTATTGCTACCATAACAATTTTAAAGATAATTTAATGTATTTTATTTTCTTAATCTATTTAGCTGTCCCTGTTCCTGGAGTTAATATTGAAGAGCACCTTCAGCTACGACAAGAAGAAAAGCGGCAACGTGTAATTAGGAGACATAGATTAGAAGACGGAAGAGGTGAGTGACTTACTGAGAAAGGGCCTTCTGAGTCTGTTTTCTAAGAATGAAAATAGTCTTCCTCCAGTGGGCCTGTGCAGTGATCAAACTAAATCAGATCCTAAGTAGGTAGTTTATGTAGCATGCTTTTAGAAAATTGTGGAAAATCAAAGTCTGCACGTAAGAATCAGAATTTTAATGATCAAAAGGAGCATTTTATATCACTTTTGCTGGTCGGGTTTGGGTTTTTTTCTGTTTCGTAGTTGAGTGATTATTTTTTTTAAATGTAGATCCTAAAACATATTTATATGAAGCCTGTCCCATGCTATTTACCTGTTACCTGAATTATCTAGTTACTATAATAAATTATTTCATTTCTGTGGTATAATAGGCAGAATTTTCTTTTACAAAATAAACTTTTCTGTATTTGCATAACATGAAAATATTGACATGGACTGATTTAAAAAAACAAAACGACACTGCAACATTTCAAAATTTTCTTACGTTTTATCTACCTCATTGTTGATTTTCCACACAAACAATAATGTACCTTAAGAACTTTTCAGTATTCTTTGTGTTCTAAAATACCTCAGTGTCTTGTCAAACTTAATTTGAGAAATTTAGACTGATGTAAACTGTAATATTTTTGTAAAGCATGATGATGTGGTTGCTAAGATTATTGTGTGTTGAGAAAAAGAATAACTTATTTGGACATACGCTTTTTCAAGTTCTGGCAGTGTTAGTAAATTACACTTTGATTCTTCTTTTGTGAATTAGATACTGGTTTTACTTGCATACAAAATGTGCCTTGTTAATTCATATTGTTTCCTAGACTGTGCAGTGAGTCGTGTGATGTGAATTGTTTCTTCGTTTCACTTGCATTAAGAAATTGCTGGTTTTAACCACAAATAAGGAGCAACAAGAAAGCTTGTAGTTGCCTATGCATATGGAAAAGGGTGGAATATTTATTTTTCTTTGCATCTTTGTGGCTAAGTTTAGCTGTGACATGAAGAGAGGAAGCCTTTGTTTAGGTCATGTCAGAGCCTGCTGCATGCTGCTGGCAAATGTTAGGTGCAGCTAAAAATTTTTTCTTGAATCCTGATTAAATGCCCAAGCATTATTGAAAGGTGCCACTGTTCAGCCCATCTGTGATGACAGAGCTGGGAGGTAAATTTCAGTTAAAAGAAAAAGATGAGTGGCAAAGAAAAATTTACATTTGAATCTATTTCTGTGGTTAGAAGTAGAACCCAGAGCAGCTTATCCCTTCGGTATGCCATCTGTTTCAAAAAGCAAAAAAAGATCATTTGAACAGTATCAGGAATGTACTGTTACGGCAGGTTTTATAGGTGTATGGGTGAAAGGAGGTTGGTGGATATTGGTCTCTTATCCCAGGCAACCACTGACAAGACAGGAGGACACAGTCTTATGCTGCACTAGAGGAGGTTTAGGCTGGACATTTGGAAGAAGTTCTTCACAGAAAGAATGATTGGGAATTGGAATGGGCTGCTCAGGGAGGTGGTGGAGTCACCATCCCTGAAGGTGTTTAAGGGAAGACTGGATGTGGCACTTAGTACCATGGTCTGGTTGACATGTAGGTGTTCAATCATAGGTTGGACTCAATGATCTTGAAGGTCTTTTCCAACCTAACTGATTCTGTGATTCTATATAGGGACTGTAGCTAAAAAGATTTTGTTGGCCAGCTTGTTGCACACGTTTGTGTTACATTCTCTGTCTAAAGAGCATTGAAATCCCATACCTATGTGGCTATGGGAGGTACTGGTTATGTCAGTCTGGAAGGGTTGGAGATTAGTCTCCTGTTTTGGTTCAGAGTGACTTCTTGTGATAAAGCTGGGAACAGTGTTTCACAAATGCTTAGAGGTCTTTTTTTATATAAGCAGGTATGAATATTTGATTTGATAATCAATCTTGATTTGCATAATCAGATTAAAGAGCTTTTTTGCTGCTCCATCCAGATGCTGCTGTTTTTCATTAATGAGTTGCTGCAAAGAGTGATACCCTTCTTGACAGCTCTTACGATGCTACTCTTTTCATAAGAGAGAACAAGAATATTTAAATAATCTACTAGATATTTAGGTTACTTGTTGCTTAGTTTTCCCAAAAATTTCTAGTATTTGTTCACATGTAACTGAGCAGATCCATGTTAATGAAATAGCTCTTTAGAGATCTAAAGGAAACTTTCAGCCTTTCAATTTTCTGAAAGCGCTGCTTGAAGTTAAAGGCCAGACCAGCTCTTTAGGGCCTTTCCTTAAGGTATGTGGTGTTTGGTTTGACAGGATTCTGATATCTGGGTTATTTAGTGTGTTAATGTGTGTCTTTCGTTCTTTTATAAGAAACAAAGCATGCATGGTTTATGATAGTCAAGAATAGGATCCATCACTGAATGTTGCTGCACACTCTTTAATTACAATTGGTGGCCTTTATTCAGTATAAATATTTTCAGTAAATCTTGCATGTCTTGTAAACAAGAGGACTATGAAAGCTTTAAAAATACAGGAATATTTCATTCTTAAAACAGTCATACAAATCAAACCAAAAATCACAAAGAAATATCTCACCCATTTGCCCACCAAATATGTTGAAATAGGACTGAAGTTTAGGAGAGAGGTGTAAGAGTGCAAGTGGTGGAAGTATACTGATTTTTAAGTTGTTTAATTGTTTGTGCTTCTTTAGCAAAGCTCCAGATTTAGTCCTGTTAGAGTGATCTCTGATTTAAAAATATGTTCTTGGGGTCCACTTGAATTAAGAGAAGAAGTGATGGTTATGTCTGCAGGTATGACAATCATTTAATTCCTTCACAAGATCAGTTGTGTTCTCTTGCACTGAACAAGAAAATGGTCATCTTTATTTGCATTTATCTGAAAATACAAACTCAGAATTTAAATATTCTGGGTAGAAGTAATTGTTAATAGCTGCAGTATCAATGAGCTGGTTCAATATTACTGTCACAAGCAATTCACTCACTTCTCACACATCATCTAGATACTTGCCACTGTTGTTAGGGACCTGTATACATGCTGCTCAGGCAGCAGCTCACTAAGTAGCTTCAGAAACTTTAAGTACTTATGCTGAAGATTGCTTTGTTTTTGCCTTGAAATGAGTCACAGACTATAGTTGCCTGGATGGAATTGTAACCAGCTAATAATTTTTGTTTTGAATCAGTTATTCATGTTGCTGAATTCAAGAAGGAAATTCTGCTTTAGTGAAAAAAAAATAGTAATCTCCTTAATATTTATTATAGTTCTTTGCTCTTTTCACAAATGACTGTGACAAGTGGTGAAGAGGGCTCAAAATCAATTCCACATTTTTGAGTTGACATTTTTGAGAAGGTGTATGACCTTCTGAGAAATAAAGCCAGCTGTATTCATCACAGTTTCTATACTAAATCATAATATCTCAGCATAATTATTGATGGAATTATCTCAGCTCTTCACAGTCCCTGTTCTTCTGGTGAGAAGTGAAGGAGCTGATTTTCCTTATGGTGAAGTGTTTTTTGTTTTTCAAGCTGGTTTGGGGCTTGATGAGAGTAATGAGAGATGAATATGGAAATAGTTGCACTTCATTATTTTCTGTAGCAATAAGGAAGTTTTGTATGTTAGAATGTTCAGAATATGGTTAATTATTTTTCCTTTTCTGTGTAACTAATTTTTCATCATGGGGCATTAAATTATGCCTTAATGCATTACAGAAATCTGTGGGCCATATTATACTTATTATTAATACATATTATTAATGTAATGAACCTAAGACAAGTATTTTCTGAGAGAGCTAATCTTGACAGCTATTCATGAGACTTTTTCAGATTGATATTTGAAGTAATAGAAGTTGGAATAGTTAAAGATTTCAATTTGTCACTTGAAGATAATTCTGTTGGTTTTTGGTTTTTTTCAGAAGGCGATGAGAATGTTAAAATAGCTTTTTAAACCATATTTAACTAATAAGCTAAAAATACAGAAATGGTTCTCAATACAGCGATAATAAATGGTCTCATGCTTCATTGGTATTTCACTACTATTCTTTCTCAGCCTATGATATAGAAACCTCTGGATGATCGTTACTGAGATGCAGATTTGGTGTGTAATTAAGTGAGGTTTAGCTTTTGATGCCCTTAAAGAAAAGGAAAATGAATTTTCATCAGTCTTATCTTACTTGCAACAACAAAGAACCCACAGAAAATTGATTAATTCTAGTTCAAGCTGCTCTGTTTTAAGACAATATTATCTGAGGCTGCCTAGATTTGGGCATTTTTTCATTTTTCTGAAGTGTAACTGATTCAGTTACTTCAGTAATTAGTTTTACCATGGTAGGCTAAGTATTGTATAAATCTGTTTAACATCCGCTCAAGCCACTCTGAGCTGGGAATCAGTTTGTCTGTTCATTGCTGAACATATACCTAAATGTACAGCAAAACTATCTGTACAAGTGCAATATTACTTATTAAATAATGGTGCAGCTTCTTTTTATGTTTTTAGTTAAATGTTTATTTTGATGTTTTCAGGATTATTTTTGTTTCAATGTTTTTTAAACAAACTGAAACCACCCAAAGCCCCCTACCTTTTCACTTCAAACAATATTCAACTCATACATGACTTTTTAAGAATGCTTTCAAGAGAAAGCTGTAGGCTTTTGCCCCTAATGACCGTCAGATATGGTTCTGTGAAGTTACATTTTTGCACTTGAGTCTGCGATTGCTTTCTGAAAGAGCTAATTATTGTTATTCAAACTGAAGTTTAAAGTAAAAATATTTATATTATAGTTTCATAAATCAGATTTGTAGTAGACACCATGAGAACAGTTTAGCTTAATATTTACTGTTTTAATTTACTTCATGTATTTATATATGGAAATGCCTCTTTCATATTTATTTAACATACATACAAAGTCAATTATTCAGAAGGGAGAAAGGCTCAAAATTAAGATTAGCATAAAACTTACTTCCATTTCACTCTCTTATTACTCTCATATTGCCCTGCATGCTTGTTTGTGCATCTTTTTTTTCCCTTTAAAAGGCCTTAATTTTTCTTCCATACCTGATTTGTGCAATTTAAATGTTGCTTTTAGACTACAGGAAGAGACATGTATCCTGTCTTTATTTTCAGTGTTTTGAACAAAAGAAGCCAACTGCAATTAACCTTAGTGCCTGCACATGACATTCTCCATGAATATTTTTGCCTTAATGATAAATTGCTAGTCAGAGTCTGAAAAATACATGTTTTTTTACATGCACCATAACTATTAGCCCTGTGCCTCATAAGAATATTACATTTTGTTTCCTTTAAGGCTTTATAGTGGGACATTATCTCACTATAATGTTTTCTACTTCTAGTGGAACTGAAGTGAAGCGTTTGTCTGCACTTCCATTTTCTGAAATATTTTTCTTCAAAATTTGCAACCTGTTGACCTATTAGATGACTGGTTTCCTGTATTAGGGTTTTATCTTCCTAGGTTATTACTTAAAAAAACAACGAAAACACCCCCTGCCAAAAAAAGAAACAAACAAAAAAAAAGCTTGCTCTATTTCAGGAAGCCAAAAATAGGTTTTTATAACACAGGGTATGATCCAACCTAGGACTTTGTTCTGCAACCAGAATTTATACTGCTTTTCTGTATGTCATCATGTACTATTTTTTCATGTAGCCTGCTGTGTTCAGTGCACTAGTGCAGAAGCCAGCATTTGAGATAATTGATTTCAGTCTCTTATAATCACAGCTTGCCAAGTAGCATTTGTTTTGGGTGAGGTACTAGAAGAAATCAAAGTATGTGTTGTATAAAATCAAAAAAGCATGTAAGCGCATGCAGGATGAATTAATTGTGTGCATTTTTCTGAAGTCCACTGCGTTATTTAATAAACGCATTCTATTTGGAGAAAATGAAATTATTTCTGTGATTAAATATATTTTTTTATACTTTGTGAAACAATGTCCATTTTGAAAAGTCTGGACCAAGAAAGGAAAGCTAGTCTTGACATTTCAGCTAGGACTGTTCAGCATCTCAGCTTTGCTACCGAAAAACAATCTGTGAAGTGAGAGAGAGAATGTCATTTTGCATCATACAGCAACTGATGTAAAATAGCTCTGTAGTCTACTAGTGACTCCTCTTTGCTTATCTCTGTCACTTGATCTTCTGAAGTAGAGACTAGTAATAGATTTTTATTCCCCATGCAGACCTATCTTAGAGGCTTCTGAAACAGTTTTCCAAATAATACTCTGCAGGCATTTTTTAACAAACTAGAGGAGGTATCTAGTGCATGGCTGGATTGTTCCACCAGAATATTCTCGGCACCTAAACTTTGCTCCCTTTGTACAGACAACCTCAGATGTAAGCAGAAAACTATTCACAGTCTCTATGAATTCTTGTAGTGTTTTGTTGCCTGTGTTACTTTGGAGGGAGAGGGAGGTACTTTGCATCTTGCCAGAATCATGATCAGGGAGGTAGACATCACAAAGCAATCAAAATGTAGATTTTTATTTCATTTTTGTAGTTTCCTATTCCATTATGATCATGTTACAGATTTAGCCTGCACGAAAAGCCAAAGAAGATAACAGACGTGTTATATAAATTTGGGTACGAATTACTGTGAAATGGCAATCTGTTGCATTTAACTTTATTTTGGATTCAAGTTCTTTACACAATGGTAAATGTAGAGTATATAGGAATATCCAGAAGCAAAGATAAATCCTGCATTGTCTGGTTAGATTGTCACGTTGTCTAGAACAGTGTGTTTCAGATGAGTAGCTTGGAAACTACTGGCAGCTGTGTGCTAGCACCATGCTGGAGCTGACAGCTTCTTATGCTTACTAAACATCGTCTGTCTTGCAAATCTCCTGTAGTTCTTTTGCTCACCCTATTGTACTTCACTTCCTTCTGTCCTCCTGAAATTCTCTTATCTTTGCTCTTACTACTAAAATGCCAAAGGCTGCCTTGGAACTTGAGAATGTTTACCTAAGTTATCTAGAGATCATTCAGTCTCCCACAAATATTCAATCCACAATGTTTGCAGTCCTTGCATCTCTTTTTGCAACTTTGCTAATCCAAGTTTCACTTTTGTCGTGTTGTCCTGTCAATTCTCTATTTCTTCAGATTTTAATTTCATTAGAAACGTTTCAGTAAGTCCCACTGCTTTTGCCTTATGTTATCATGTTCTTCATTCACCTTTCTTCTGTATCATTTGTCCTTCAGACATTTTTAGCTTTCATAATCTGCTTGTCATTTGTCTCTTCCCCTTTTTGCATTTTCCTGATGTGCCTCAGGGTACTCCTCACTGTACCCCCTCCAACTCAGTCAGAAGCAAAATGTGGTGTAATTTTTTGTGTAAGTCAAAACTCTGGAAAGTAGAGTATTAAATGCAGCAAGTGGTTTGGCAGAAAGTAATGTTTACAAAATGTATCTATTAAATGGAAGTTCCAATTCAGAGGAGACTGAAAATGGGGAGCACAGTAGCAAAACAATTGAAGGAAGAATCTGCAAAATGAACGTAAATCAAAAGCAAATGATGATCCTTGATTAGGAGGAGATCTAAATTAGCAAGAGGATCTGTTCTGGAATAAAGTCCTAATAAATATAGTATAAAAAATAAAAATTCTATGCTGTGTGCAGAAACAATCATGACTGAGGAAATTTTGTGCCATTATATTATCTAACACATGTATGAACCTCTAAGCTAGACAATAGTGTATTTTTAAAACATTTTTCATTTTGCTTTTTAAGTGAATGCTCAAATTTGGGAGCTTCTCTGTATGAAAAAAGTTTTTGTCTGAAGGTTCTAAAGCTGCATAGATTTGGCCTAACTTCTGCTTAAATGTCTATCCATGCTATGTAATATTAATGAAGGAGGTGATAGTATAAAGTTGATAGCAGAAAACCTGAGGCACTGGGCATGTATGAAAAGTTAACCTACATATCTTCATAATTAAGTTCAGCTAAGGAATGAGAGTGTCCATGAATTTGCAGAAGAAGGAGGAATATTTGCATTCAAAGTTCTGCATAAGTGATTTATAACACAACAGCCTGATTTGGGGGCTTTTCTTTACTGTTCATGGAAGGGCTGGATTTGGGAACCTGTGGAACTGAGTGTTGCTTGGCAGAATTATTTGCTCCTGATTCATGATTTTTGGTGAATGTGAGACTTGTGAAAGGACAAAAAGTGTCTAAAAATTCTTGGCGACATGCTTAACCTATAAAACAGGAGAAATACAGATTTAAGAAACAAATTCCTTGTCCATTACCTGCTTATACTCAGCCTCCATTTAGCACAGTACCTCACTGCCTAAGTCTAGATTTGTAAAAAGTAAAAGCAATCTGGAAAAAAATTTAAATACATGTATCATTGCTTTCTTTAAATCAAGTCTTCTCTTTAGAGAAGACCTTAAATAGATTGAAAAAATATTTTTAAAATAAATAGATTTCAAAATTACTAAGTAGATAAGAGTCATATGATTTGAATAACTTTCTTCATGAATCACGGAACTTTTTCTTTGAAAATTATAACTCTGCATCTTAAATATAGTAATTGCAAACCAGTTTATGGTGGTGATTTTTAAATTTAGCATTTATATTATGATCTTGTTCCAAATCAGTATTTTGAATGTTATATTGTAGGATTTGAGGCATGATAATTATTCTTTTTATCTTTTAAAGACAATAATGGGTATTTGCTATCAGATTTTACTCTAGTGTGTGTATGTTATATTTCCATTGCTTGCAGTACAGGTGCATACTTGGAAATTCAGGTAAAACTATCACTATGGGATATTTATTGGTTTTTTGCATAAGTTATCAAGAAATGGCAACTTTCTTGTATTTTAGGGTCTTTTGAATTTAAGAAGACAATATTATAATTACCATTATTTTTGTTTTTTCATCGCTTTTAATTTGAATTTTGTTTAACACACTGTTTCCATTTTGTGAGCTTTCCTATGCATGTGCAAAATGTTTCTCCTCAGGCCCCCTTGTAATTCCTGGTCCTATTTTTATGAACCATCGAGAACAGGCTCTAGCCAGAATCAGACTCTCTCCAGCACCGCTAAAGCATAAACGGGACAAGCACAAAGGTATTTGGTCTTCCTTATTGACTAGGGTGGAAATAAGCCCAGCCTCCCAGTCACTTCTTCCAGATGCTGCATTTGTCTTTTCAGAGAACTGCACAAAATGAGTTCTGCCTTTCTTCCTGCTAGTATCTTGTCACCTGAGGAGAAAGAAAATGCATTTAAATGTTGACCTTTCTTTCGAAGTGTTAATGTTCATTAGTCTGCATCATCTTTGTTTTTCTTTCCCCCTTTTTTAGTGACATATGTGCTTTCTGTGTCTTCTCTCATTTCTAATACTGTCTCATTCTTGAGGTTCTTTATTTTTACTATAAGAAACTTTGCATGTTAGAGTGACTCAAGACTGTTGCACTGCATTTATGTTTTTTATCCTTTCTGTTGTGTATTTGGGGTGTTCACTTAATCATATCAGTTCCAGGCTTGTTAATTCTGGCATAAATATTTCCATAAGGTATGCTGTCTTTCAACAAGACTTTTTTAGGAGTGAAATATTGAAATATTTGAAATAATGAAAACATTACTTTTTGCTAACTTTGAATGGGGAGAATGGAAATCAAAATACAGGTTTTTCTCTGCAATATTTTTAAGTAAAATGTTTTTTATAGAGTACAGGTATGGAGGTATCTTGGTATTTCAGACATTTTTGTAGGTCCGGCAAGCCAAATCATTATGTCTTCATAATGTCTTCAATTTCGAAGTGTGTCATTTGTTCAGATATAAATGACTTACATGTTTCTTAGAAAGTGTAGTGTATTACTAACTGAACTTAACTGAAGTTGAGCTGTCTCTCGTAGTTTGTATGTATCTGTGTACTGATGTGTCTGTACATACGTTATTTATATATAGAAGACAAATATGTAAAATAGAGGTTATGGTCCTGATCAATGTAAGTAGGAAGCTCCTAAAAACTGTGAACCCAGAATGCTTCAACTATTTTCTAAAGAATAGCTAAATATTAAAAGAGTTAGTACGGCATTTCAGTTGAATTAGTGGAAGCTACTGATTGTGTTTGGCATGTATGCAAACAAACTGTATGTCAGTTTGAAGCCTTATGGGATAAAGTCGCAGTATGTGGGGGTTCATAGGCTTACAGTGTTATGAATATTTGGATTGTGAAATCATCTTAAGTTTATTTTATGGAAATGAAAGCAAAATCTGATACTTTAAATCTGCATAACATTCAGTCTTTTTGGAAGGCATATTGTCTGAGGTTTAAGTCTTGATGAATTTAGTAGAATAACCTATCATAATCTCACTGGAGAGTTTGCATGCTGAAAGAGAACCTACTGAATCTAAGTGTTGTTACATGAGTGACAATTTACTGATGGTCGTTATTCTTGAGCTGGATACTGCTGCTAGTTGTACTGCAAAGCTTTGACTCCACAGGGAAGTGCATAAAGGAGTATGCTTGTCCTGCCTACATCTGTGCTTTTTTGGCATGTGTTAGTTGTTGTAACTCATTTCAGATCAAGTATCTCCTCACAAGAGGTGTATTCATTAGTGTCAGCTTGAGGCTTATGTTGCCTCTTGGAACTGTAAGAATTGTAAGAGCAGTGTTAAAGGTCTGTGTTGTGCTGGAAGACTTTTGTCAGTTATGCTCTGTAGAACCGAACATTTCTTTTTCTTTAAGGAAGGTTATATGGAAGGAAATAGTCAGTTTATTTTAGTTCTTTGTGTCTTATGATAAACAGATAATGAGGTTTTCAAGTCAACTTTAGACCCTTCTCTGCCTCAGAAGACTGCCTCTCAAAAGACAGCCATAAGTGCCGTTAGGAACTAGAAATACCCCTTAACTTCTTAAAGAGATTCAAAGGGAAAAAGGAAAAGTGGTGAAGTGAGTTGTTACCCAAGTAACAGGCAAAGTGGGAATTGTGAAAAAGATTCTGTATATTTTTTTACCTTAGAAAGCATGCCTCTCTTCATGAGGAATGATATAAAAGCAATAATAGAGCAGAGATAAAAGGACATATCACGTCAAAATCAGCAAGTTCTTTTATTTTTGAACATGATCCTTTCCAAACTGTCTTCCTTCCTTCAGATGTTTCTGCTATAGTAGTCTTCTTCATACCAACCAGACCTTCAAGGTCTTCGGGCAAGGAACATTTAGTTCAGTTGGTAGTATTGATAAGGCCAATACTAAATTTGTTGGTATCTACCTGTTGCCAGTTCTCTGCTTGCAGCTGCAGAACTTCTCTTGATAAATATCTTTAAGTATGAATGTGGACAGCTTCCTCAGGACTTCTTCAGACAATTATGGTTTAATATAAAAAGTGTATTTGATATGTAGTTGTACATATTGATAAACCATGGAATCATGGAATGGTTTGGGTTGGAAGGGACCTTAAAGAGCATCCAGTCCCAACCCCCTAACATGGACAGGGACACCTTTGACTAGATCAGGTTGCTCAAAGCCCTATCCAGCCTGGCCTAGAACACTTAGAGGGGTGGGGCATCCTCAATATCTCTGGGCAACCTGTTGCAGTGTTTCATCACCTTCAGAGTAAAGACTTTTTTCATAATAATCTACCTGTCTGTCACTTGTGGAATTCCTGTATTTGCTGTCCAGTTGAAAACTCCTTCAGCTTCATTGAAACAGCCGGTTTTTAAAAAATCTCACCATTGTCATATACTCTTTTCACATTTTATGGGGTCTGCGTATCCAGATCCTTGTTACTGCAAAAAACTGCATAATTAAGCATATTCTTCCTGATCTGTGTCTTCTGTGTCTTTCACAATTACTAATGGAAAGGATTAGGTACAACATTTTTGGTATTCATGAAGAGGCTTGGCACTAAGAAGAAAAATGAGCCTGTGCTTCATCCTTAGCTTTAATGAGGTAGAGAGTTTCCAATCTCTGTGGATTCCCATAAGTGACGATCTGAGTAAAAAGGATTAATAGAAGTCTGTAAAATTTTCTTAACTGTAGAAATGCACTCTGAGTAGAAATAAAAAACAAAGTAAGCTTCTTGAGTCAGCTAAGATTCAGCAGTTTGAATGCCACCTTTTTCCTGTATTTGGAAGTTGTGGTAAATGTTCTGAGGAATATGAAACAAATACCCTCAAAAAGACCAAGACTAGATGAATCCAAACCTGCTTAGATGGAACAAGCTATAAGTCAACCATTTTGAAAATACTAAGACAAAATTACCAGATGTTCAAGAAAACTTACTTGGAATTTGCTTTTTAACTTTTTAGCTAAAATACCATGTGAAGGGCAGAGTCGTTTGAAGCGCTCGTTAGAGTGAGACAGCTGACAATGAAAAACATCTATCTAAGACTGAGTTTATAATTAGAATGTGAGTTTATTATCACTTTATTGTACGTTATGCACTTGTGACTCTGCATATTGTATTTCACCTATAAGCTCAAGTAAGCTCTGTAGCAACCTCTAAAGAATCCAATAGACTTACTTTTTGTGCTGCCCTCATAGGATGGATGATTTTCACAACCAAAGTATACTATTTTTCTTCCTGCACTGCAGCAATAAAATTGGTTGCAGATATTTCAGCTGCAGCCTGGGATAGACAGCCAAGAAGCTGCAGGTGCAGGTTGATTAATTAAAGTAATGTTATGTATAAAGTCTCTAAATTATGGCACTCAGAACACCATGTGAGTGTTGGACATCACAGAGACTAACCAGTAACTTGACCAATACGCTTCATTTGGGTAATTGCTGCTGAACAGAACCAAGATTTGTTGGCATGTTATGTGGTCTGAAGAGATCGTTAATGTGAGAATTTTTAATAAACAGTCATATTCAATTAACACTTTTCATCTGTGGGGTATTTAACATCTTTAGAAGTGCTTTTTCTCTCCTCCAAAGATGGATGGTGAGAAATGGAGTATTGCCACCCTTACTGCTGAACAACACTAACAAAATGCTTTTCCTTTCTTCTGGGCCAAGCAAGGGTCCACCATATCTTTCTGTAACAATGCTGGGTTTGGGGTTTTTGCCAGAAGAAGTCTCATTTACAGCTTATTACTTCACTTGCTATTTGGACTGAATGGGCATTTCCTTTGTTCCTGGAAGGTAGGGATTTTTGTGGCAGCAATATCAGCCAAGAGAACTTCTAAGCATGTTTAATGGAGGAGAAAATTGTCTTCAGAAGTTAAGAATTGTCCTGAGGAAAATGGCGTGGTAGTGGGGATTGGTTGGTTCTATTTGGGGCTCTCTCTCTCTCTCGCTTTCCTTCCTCAACTTTGAGATATCAGAGGTGAAAACCCGTCCTTGTGAAGTTGTTCATGGAGCACACCCGTCAGTGTTGACAGCAGGAACTACTGCACAGCTTTTCCTTGAGGCTTTCTTCTCTCTCAGATGGAGTCAAAGTTTCTGTTCAGTGGTACTTCAGTCAGATAACACTTGCTCTGCTTAAAGGTTCCATGCATCCAATGAGAAGAGTCTCTGCTTCAGTAGTCTTTTCATGCTTCCCTTTTAGGAATAGTTATTTTGATATTACTTCTAATGAAATGAAAAAATGCACAATTGTTTGAAGAAAAGCTAAGTGTGTGTTCCTAGTTACAGTTGTTCCTTGAAACGTGCAAGTAAGCTTTCAGCATCTACCTTTGACTCACACTTAAAAAAAAAGCTTTGAGTGTTTAAAAGTAATGGAAGTGAAGGGGATGGCCCAGTTTATTTGCAGCCTTATCTCTAAGAGTAAGTTCTCCAAGCCAGTGCTGCTGGAAAAATATGATATGTATTGGCCATGTAATGAAGTAACAGATAAACAGTGTATTTTACTAGAAGTATTGCTCTTAAAGTAAGTAATGATACTCTATTTGGCTTTGTGTATTTTGGTCAAAAGACTTTTTTTTTTTCCCCCTAAACAGGACTAGCTGTTTTAGTTGCAAGGGTTTTGTACTTAACCACACATAAATTATCAAGTGCTTATCAAGTTTTGAAGATCCAAACAATTCAAAACTCTTGAGACTGTTGCTAACCATAAAAAGAAGAGGAATTCCATTTTCCATTAAAAGTTTTCACACTTGAGCAAAGTAAGATATGTATGAAAGACAGTTGCTTCTATTCCTGCATTCTTAGAGCCTTTGAGGAGTTAGCTTTGGAAGTTGAAAATGCCAACTTTGTAAATCTTTATCCTTTAAAATAAATTTATTTCTCAGATAAGTAATTGCAAAACTTGTTTCATATGAAGGTACTTGAGGCAGAAAATGCACGTATGCCTCTTTATGCTGCTGTTACATGACCAGAAGACACCAGCTGCTACATTTTGCTAATGTGACTGCATAAGTGACATGGTTGCTATATGCTCAGTGCGTTTCATTGGAGGTGCAGGCAGCCGTGACACATTCTTACTGGACATGTGTATATCTGATAGATGATTATTTAAATGCATTTACACAGTGTGAGAGCTCATATTTTTTATTACTCAGCAGTGTCTGAGGGAGGAGGGGAGACAGGGGCCACAGGTAGACTTCCAGAATAATCAACGGTTTTTCTGCTCTGTCCAAAAAACTTGTATGAAATTGGAAGTAGTTAGCAGACTGCTTGCTGAATAAATAATTCTGGTGGCAATATCAGCTGCTAGAACTACCTCCTGATTACTTTGGCACATAGCGTTTAATGCAAAAGTAGGCATAAAAAGTTCAAAGGTACTCTATTTGAGAAGTAGGAAAACTTTAATAAAATACTGTGAGATGCTTAAGGCAGAATTACAGGACTAAGAGGAAAACTAATTTTGAGGGGGTTGTTCTTAAATTATTATTCTGCCTCCTTATATTTGCTTTTGTTATTAGAAAAAAACAACAGCTGCACACAGACCTTCAGAGACATTTCTTCTAATTTGTGTGTAGTCTGTTAGTACACAGCCTCAGAAATCCCATGGCAATTCTGAGGTTTTTTTAACCACTTCTCCATTTCACACATATCCAGCATGTAGTGCATGTTTCAAAGGGATACTTTACCTATGGTTTGAAACCCAATTCTTCAAAACCATTAGTACCTATACACACTGTTCTTTACAGATGTGAACTACATACGGATTCATGTAATTTCATGTAATAAACTCAGGTCATCATGAGAAAATAGCTTTATTCTTTGAACAGTAAGATTTTTTTAAACTGACATGTAATAAAAGTGAAATGAGTTTACTGTATCAGCAGTTTCTCTGCAATAAAAAGAAATTTTTGAGCAATATATATAAAAGCAGAGTTATATTGAAAAAATTTTGTAAGTCTGTAATTGCTGTGCTTCACAGAGGGAATAATGAAGTCTTGAAGTGCAGACTTTCACAGATAATTATTAAGGAAAACATGTAGAAATTCTAAATACAGATCTAAATTAACAATACCTTGAATTCTTTGAGCAGCAGTTGTTTCCTTGTATCAGTTTTGTTAAAGAGCAGTACTCAGACTTATCACAGAGAGAATGTGCAGCCTTCTATGTGCAGTTATTTCTCGCTTCATGCATTTCTATCATTTCTCTATGCTAGAAAGTGACTAAAGTTTAAGAGATCACGGAAACATTCTGATTTCTGGAGAAGATGGTAGCTTGCAAGAAATTTAGGAATAACACATTGCACGTCAGTGCTTTTGTCCAATGTTTTGGACAGCTTTGGAGGCAGTTTTAACTTCAGGAACCAATAATGCACACATACATGCTTACTAAAGGAAATCACAGAAATATTGTCTAAAAATGCATGAAAGCAGACAGAAAACAGACATGCTTTTGGTGAGTTGTCTGCATTGTTACAAATGAGCTGTGTAAGTAATTGTCAACTGCTTAAAACAGGGGCTCTGTGGCTGAATTGGAGTCAAGTAAAGTCAAGTAAACTCCTTAAAGAGTAGTAATTGGAAAAGGTAGACTAGGCTATGCATATCGAGTTTAACTACAATGTTGCCTACTTATTAATGCTACCTTACTGAAGAATGAAGTGATGGCTTTTAAGCAAAACTTCTGAACTTTGAATTTTCTGCTCAGCTTGTTCTTTTTGTCTGCTCTTTGGGAAGTTTCTGCTTTAGAGGATGTTTTCCACTGTGTACCTTTATAGAACATTGTTTAAAAATAGAGTTTTTCTCATTTCCCACATCTGCTTTGATGCTGTGTTTTAAGCACTTTTGCTACTCTGAGTTCTCTCTGACCTTGCAAGTGTTGGACTGAGGAGTTATTTACTATCCTTGATCTATTCATTCTTCTAATATAACTTTATTAGAATGTATAGGATATAATTGTAAGTTTTGTTTATAGATGGAAGTGGAGAAAGAGGTGAGAAGGATGCCAGCAAAATCACAACGTATCCACCAGGGGCTGTTCGCTTTGACTGTGAACTGCGAGCTGTACAAGTCAGTTGTGGATTTCACCATTCAGGTAAAAACAAATAAATCAGTGTTAATTATAATAGAGATTGTTTTTTAAAGGTTGTCATATGTGTCTTCACTGCTTTGTGTTCAGTTTTTAATATGGATGTATGCAGGAGTGCTAGAAGTTGTGAAGAGTGCTAGAAGAGTGCTAAACGTGGCAGGGTCATTTTGTAGCTGCTACAGTCATAGAAACATAGAATATCTTCAGTTCAAAGGGACCCACAAGGCTCATCAAGTCTAAGTCCTGGCTCTGCACAGGACCATCTCAAAGAATCACACCATGTGCCTGATAGTGTTGTCCAAACACCTCCTGAACTCTGTCAGGCTTCTGTGACTGCTTCCCTGTGGAGCTTATTGTGGTGTCCAACTACCCTCTGAGTGAAGAACCTTTTCCTAAAATCCAGCCTAAACCTTCCCTGACATATTTTATGCCATTTTATTACAGGCTAAAGTAAGATCACCACTCAAATCCTCACATCACCTCCCTGATTCCAGCAATGAAGGGCAACTTAGTGTCCTTCAGCAGTGAAAAGGACTATAAGTATCATATGCTGAGTTACATCAGAGCTTGTAAGCAATTTTGGAGTCAGTTTAAAACATCTGCATGACAAAAGCAGAGTTCTACTCATACATAGTTGTTTTGGGTTGTGGAATCTGGCCTGGATCACTTGGGAATCATTAACTGCTATGCCGATGGGTAACCAGCACTGGTGCACTGCCATGTCATGTGTGTATGTCAGAAAAATATTTTGTTGTTTTTCAGTGGTTTTGATGGAGAATGGTGATGTTTACACATTTGGATATGGGCAGCATGGTCAACTTGGACACGGTGATGTTAATTCCAGGTAAGCTGGTAATCAAAGGACATGATTGTGTATTACTGTACTGCTGCATAAGAAATGGCTACATTTCTGGTTCTCTAGCAAGTGTGAAAATTCAAATAAAGACTAAATAAAGTTGAAAAGCTCCTGTTCTGCACTTATTCCCTGTAACCCCCTGAATATTGATACAATAACAGTACTTTTGTACTGTATAAGTAGTTTATTTAATGCACAAAAGCTTCTGTGCATAGTTATTAGCATTGCTTTGATAATAGTTTTAAATACTTCTGTCTCTTTAATTCTCCCTACATATATGAGAATTACATTGAAGTCTTATTAGGATTTCATTATTTCTGTAAAATACAACATGTACAATAATTCAAATAATATGATATTGTAAATCTAGATAAATCTGTTCCTGTTAAATCATTGATAAGAATTCACAGAACATTCACAGAATCATTGAGTATTCTGAGTTGGCAGGGAGTCACAAGGATCATCGTGTCCAACTCTTTAAGTGAATGGCCTGTATGGGGATCCAGTCTGCAACCTTGGTGTTACTAGCACTGTGCTCTGACCAACTGAGCTGATCTCAGTTCAGTTATGATACCATTTTTTGCTCATCAGTAATCTCCCAAATGAAGTCTCTAAGCTTTGGTCTCAGCTGCATTTTGTAGTCACTTCTTTTGAGTGTTGGCAGAAGAGTGATATGTCCTTTCACTGTGGTCAGTGGAAATAGAAAAGTCAACAGAGTATGGAGAGGTATTTGACTAACCAGCCACTGCTTACATGCTTTAGGTGTGCTTAGTAGCTCTGTAAACTTGATCTCCATTGACTACAGTGAGAGCATATATAATTAAATATAGATCTCTTTTATGTGAAGCTCAATCTCACCCTTAGGATCTCATACCTAGAGTCTCATCTGTTCATTAAAGTAAATAAAAAAACATTGTCCTGCCATAAAAGGAAATGTGATTTAGGTCTTTAGACGTGTATATATGCCATATAACGCACGATGGGGATTTCTATGGTAGGAATCTTTTAGACTTCATGTATGTAGAGTAATGCTCAGTATCCTTATGTAAAAGGCATACAGAGCAGAACATTCATGACCTGTCTTCAGTTTTCTCATGTATCTTGTAGCAGTCAGGTGAAAATTATGGAACATCTATCCTCCTAATCTCTTTGGAGACTTCAAAACCCTTTCTTTTGTCAAGTTCCTGAAGAAATCTTCATCATCTTAAAACTTGCATTGGATTCACTAAGCCAAAACGGGAGAGGGAAGGAATAAAGTATACTGGAAATATTGCCTTATATTGGCTTCTGTGCCTGATAGTAGTCTCTGAACTGTTACCCCTACTCAGTTTGCATTAGACTGGTGAATACAGTCTGGGTTTCTGTCTATGATAAGAGTCATCACAGACAAGTACTTCGTTTTTCCTTCCTGGAAATTCTTGGGTATTTGTTCCAAGGAACAGTGGCTTAAACTAGCAATTCAAGTTGCTATTAGAATAAGGCCAGTTTCCTGTCTTAAAGACTGAAGAGGTACACACAGCAGTGACATTTCTACTGGTAACTTAGTTACCTATTTCCAACCTTGATGAAATCATGTGGCTTTTCGGAAGGCTTCAGAGCTGTCTGCTGTATTTGTCAGTATTTCAGGTGGTAAATCCTACATCTGTTGTTTATTTAGATAGAAACTGGATGAAGACCAATAGTAGTTCCAAGTGAGATCCTAAAGGAGAGTATGAAAAATCTTGTGCTGAAGGACAGTGCTTGACCAGAAGTAGAAGCTGAGGAGGTGCAAGTGACTTGGCAAGACCTTTCTATCATTCTACATCAGACCCTAGAAAGTGTCTGAAAAAAGCCTTGAAGAAATTTGGAGTATGTCCTATGCATGAGAACTGGCTATAGTACTATATTGCTATTTAGCACCATCATTCAAATTATAATTTCTTCATTGATGTACTTCTTTTTCCAGCTTTAAGTAGAGATCTCTCCTCTGTCCTCACAGTAAGGGATTCAGAGAAGGAAACAGGGAATCCTTATGCAGAGTTCCACCTCAGTTGGGACGCAGTGGTGCTCAGATGGCCAGCTCCTGCCAGGTCAGTGGTATGTCAGTCATGCAGTGTGTCACATTGCTTGTATTGACCTCAGGAAGAGCATCATCTTCTGAATCCAGGAACTGATACTCTACTGTATTTCTGGGAGAGAGAGAGGAGAGAGAGAGAGAGAGAGGAGGAAAAAAAAGTAATGTTTAGGCATCTTTTCAGAGACTTTTGTCTTGTAGTGTAAAGATTTAATAGTGAGACAATATTTTTAAAGTCTTGAAAATGCTCAAGTATTTTGAATTCTGAACACCTGTTCAGACGTGACTTTCTCCTTCATTAAGGGGATTCTGGACTCCTCTATTAGAATATTGTAAACATCACAAATTCTTCTTCTACTTCAGTAGGAATGAGGTAGATTACATGCCCTATCAGTAAGCTGGAACCATTAAATTAGCCTGTGTAGGCTTTTTGTTGTAAGATCCACAGTGGCAGACGTTGATGAGCTATTCAGTACATGAAAGATTTGTCAGTTTGTGCTTATATTCTCCTCAAATTAGATGCTGGCAAATAGAAACTCAGTGGAAGCAAGAAATGTTTTGCAGTATCTAGTCTTGGTGAAAAATAGCATGTAGTGTGCTCAGGTAAGCAAAGGCCTATTTGTTGCTGATGCTTCTCTCAAGAAGCTGGAAATTAAAACTCCAAGATCTTTCTGTTACTGTTCAAAATTTGTCTCCATTTTTTTTTTAAATCTCTTGTAGCACTCCAGTAGCAAGTACATGACCTGACAGTCAAGCTCCAGAAATGAAATGACTGAAGTGATATGGTCTTGATAGGATTTTGCTTCCAAATGTTCAGCAGTAACATAAACCAAAACTGATCAGACCTTCCATGGATGGTCAGCTATGTTGCACCTGAAGATAAAGAATAGAGACTATAATCTATTAATAACTCCAGTGGGAAAAGGGTGTTCCATCATCTCTGTTTATTAGGGCCATGTTTCTAGGTATATTTTCTGATTATTTTACTCCAGTGGTGGGCCGTAGGTCATATTTACATCTTTGCACCAAAATGGAGTCACTTCTAAAATATAAAAATCATCTACAATGAAGTTGTCCAACCGTGCTTGCAATGGACAGAAGTTGATACTGGTTTTCTCTTAACCACTACACAGTAACAGCTCCCATTGAACCATGTTTGCAGCACCATGGTCAGCTGCCCCAAGTGACATGTTTTGGGACCTGGCAGGCAGCTGTTGGCTGTTTAAGTACCATGGACAGCGATTGTTTGAACAGGTCCTGCATGATGAATTTTCAAAGACTACAACTGCTCTCAGAAATGCTTACCCTTTGGGATGGAAGAGGGTTTCCATGTGGGCAGCCAGAATGCACCTGGACCTTCTTCAGGATCCTGAGTTTGCTGATGCATGTCCATCCGCTCAATTGTTCAGCAATTGTTACTTTCCCCAAAGGGATCTCTGGTTACTTTCTCTGTAGCTGAAGCCGGTCTTTTGTGATTGACCAAACAATCTGTGACTTTAACACCAGCCTGTCTTTCCACACCATCCCAGAAGAATACTCCTTGTTTTCTTTGATTCAGATGGAGAAACTTTGGTTGTTAAAACTTTGCCCGGAGTCTCTCAGACTCTTCAGTGTCTATTCTGAGCTTTCCTATGTTTAATTTCAAGGGGATAAAAGAATATTCAATAGAATCACAGGTTTTAAATTCCATGTGCACTAGTCAAACTGGCTTACTGTATTTTTTTAAATCCCTCTTCGTTTTATGAAGTGAAAACTGGTTTTTTTTGCAATTTATGTTTATTTTATGATGTAGTTAAGTATTTTAAATTTTTTTCCTGTTAATTTCTAAATGAACTGATAGACTGTAGTTGGCCATTCCAAAGGCTGGGTGATCTTAATGAAAAAGCTATTAAAGAGGGTAATGTATTTCATCTCTCTGCATTAGGAACTTATTTGATTTTGTTCTGCTGTTGCCAAGAGACTATCAAACACAGCATTCATATAACATTGCTGATAGATTCAATTAGAAAAACAGAAAGATAAATAGTTATAGTGATAATAGCAGTTTTTAAGCATTAAAAAGATGGAATAGTCACTACTTTTTTTAATATAAACACATGATTGATATATTCATTCCATCCCTGCAGCTGTCATAATTTTGAGGGAGAGGAGAAAAAGCCTATTGATAAAAATAATTCCTTTTAACAGAAGTGCTTTTGGATTAGTTACTAGTTACATTTTATTTATGTTTTGATGCTTTTTTGAGCTTCCTCAAAGTTAATGAGAGACAAATGTAAAATTTTGGGGTTTTTTAAAATTTCATCATTGGTGCTGCTAAATAAACTTTGCTCTGTGTCTGTGTATAATAGTAGTGATATCCAAATCAATGTGCCTATAGACCAAGAAAACTGCTGAAATTTGAGTGTCATGTTGTACATCCTCTACTTAATTTTATTATGCCCTTCAGTCTCTCCATATCTACTAGTCATCCACTGAAAGCTACATTTACCACCAAAGAATACTTTTTCTATATGCCTGTGTTCATCCTTCTTCACATCATCAACCTGTCTTCATGCTGTATTCCTCTGTTCCACATTTTCATATGTTCACATCTTCCCATCTACCCTCTACCCTTTTTCTGCTGAACATGGTGCTTCACTTTCCTCATACTTTCTTGACTTCTATTTTACCTGCAATTTAGCCAAAATCAGAACTTTGAGATGAACCATCTTCTAGCACATCAGCTGCTAAACAATCACTAGGTAACTATGAGCTGGCCTTTTTTTATTCCAGTGTAAAACAACCTGTTCTTATTTTAGGTTGCCCTACTTTTGAGAGGCTCTGTTTGAAAGTAAGTTCACATAGTGCTGTCATCCTCTGTATAACTCTGAGTCCAGCTTCCAAACATAAAAACTATGTGGGAATAACTTTTTCTTCAAGTTCACAATCTTTTTAACTCCACAGGAAATATTAAGTCTAGGTAGACGTTCATTATGGGATTCAAAGTCTTGCAGGTTTCTGTTCTCTTTGTTGGGATTGAAATAAAAATTTTAGTGTCTCATACTTTTTATCTTTTGTGCTCTTTCTATTCCAAATCATCAGTTCAAGTTTTCTTTCTTTGCATCTTGAACACCCTGTCATTTTTTCCCCTTCCTTTATACTGAAACGGAAAGTTTATTTTCTTATGTCTGTCCATATTTGGGAGACAAAAGTATTAGACCTTTTAATATCTCTTTGGAAAATAGTTTGGAGAGGTCTATTCTTTATTGAGTCTGAGGTTGATGGAAGAGGAGTAGACCTTTATTTCTTCTACAATTCCCCAGACAGTGATCTTGAGTGCTGTAGCAACATTGCTTCTGTTAACTACTAGAGTATCAGCCATGTAATGCTTCGATTGCTTCTGGGGGTGCAGTGCTTAAGTAGTAAACATATTTTATGTAGAAACATCTTTATCTCAGAACATGTTTTACTGCTACATTTCATTGCAATGTATTTTGTATTCATACAAAAATACGTTATTTTATCTACACAACTGTAATGCTACAATTATATATTACATTAATAATTCCTATGCTATGCTAATTTCTGAGTTTAAATGAAGAGAGTGTTCCTGATCTGTTTCCCTGTAACAGAAGAGCATAAGCTTAACTATCTGGTGCAGTCTTTCAAACCTCTGTTAGTTTAATGTGTAAGATGTTTCTTGGCTCTAATTTTCTATAGTATGTGAATCTAGTGAATATATTTTACAGTGTTTCAAATACTTATAATGCTAATGTATGTTCTAAATTCTGCATGGCCATGTATTGACACAGAATTAATTTATTTTTATATAGGGGATGTCCTACTTTGGTGCAAGCATTACCAGGTCCTAGTACACAAGTTACTGCTGGGAGCAACCACACAGCTATTCTCTTAATGGATGGCCAGGTTTTCACATTTGGAAGCTTTTCAGTAAGGAAATGTTATTTGCTTATGGGAATAAGCTAGTAGTTAATGTGTTGTTCAGAGACTTTTCAAGACTGCTTATACTTGCTCTTATGGAACTGTGCATGACTTCCCCATGTCTTCAGTGCCTATTATGTTTTAAAATGTAGCCTTTAATATTGTTCTGGTTAGAAAAGCATAATGCCAGGAATTCTTGGGGTTTTTTTTTTTTACATTTTAATGAAGATGGTGATTTAAAACGATGTTATAAGGCTTACCAGTTTTCTCAAACTCTTACTGTTTCAAGCTTGGTTCTAAGTAAATGTTGCCTATTCTATTACCTGTCTCCATTCAATAGAAAAAAGTGTCCTGGTTTCTTCCATAGAAACAGCAGTGAGTTGCAGAAGTTCTGTGTATGCTTTGAGGAAAAGGGTATAACACAGCTCAGTATAACACAGCCCAACTCCAGTAGTCTTCTTTCATATCCACATGGTGTCTCTTTTCCCACGTCCATGTGTAATCCATCCTTATATTCACGAGACAAGCATTTAAACATTGTCCCCTCTGTGCCTCCCTATGTTTGAGAAGATGCCCCTCATAGTGATCTCTGCAGAGTTATTTGTTGTTTGCACGTTCTCTCTGATGTTTTTATTTGGGTCTTTTTTGCAAAAGCTAGAACATAGGTATTGAGCTATTTTTTTACTTACTTCAAAAACTACATTCTGCCAAACACAACAGAAGAGAAATTTCAACTTTTGAAATCTTTTTATTTCAAAAAAAATTTAAAAGTGAAGACTGAAATTTTGGAAGTAGAAAGTCATATCCTGAATTAAAAGTGAGTAATGTTTTGTTGTTTTTCTAACTTCAAGCAAGAGCTTTGGTGTCTGTGTTCCTTTCAAAACTGATACAGACATGTAAAGGTTTAAGCTTTGTTGTCTTGCACTAAAAGTTGGGCCCTGAAAAACCAAGTTCACTCTCAGAAATGGGGTATAAAAGCTTGTCAGTTGACTGAGGGTTTTGCCCCTTTCTCTAAAAGAAAAAAATAAGTTCCAGCCATATTTAGATCCCTTGATTTTTGTGTCTGGTTTTAATATTGTAGTACTGGAAAGTTTGCTGAAAGCTTCATGAAGTCAAGACAAAATCAAAACAAAGCATGATACTTGAAAATGTCTTCACTGGGTTTACTTATATTGTTAGGAAGAAAGAAAGATGAGTAATGTGCTGAACAGAACACATGTGCTGTATATACATTTTTCTTTTTTCTAATAATTTTAACTTCACTGGTATGCAATGCATTTTCTGTGCCCGAGAGAGGAAGATGGAGCATGAGCAGGTTTCTGGCAGCAGTTCTTTCTGCATACTTAGGTGCAGTATAAGGATTGTTGTCTCAGTAACTACTTGTACGTAGAGGTAAGGCCCTAGATCTCCAGATAAGTGTTAATGAACATGTGCAAAAGTGCTGGCTGAGGCATTTTATGCTTTTTTAGCTCAAGTTTGATGTGCTAATTGATTTCTAGGTACTTTTAAGAGGTATTTGCTCTATAAAACTTAGTCCATATAAGTTCAGAATTGAATGGAACTTGGACTGTATCTGAATATATCTGAATCTGTCTGAATATAGGTATTTTTTCTTATGAATCTAATTCTTGTTTAGCGCTGACATTAATCAGATATTGAACCTTGTAGGAAAATAATACTTTTGTATTTGGTTCTGAAGATGGAGACAAGGGTTATCCATCATGGAGAGTTTGAGTTGTATTTAACAAAAACTTTACTCAAAAACCTAACTGAAAAGGGAGGAGTATATGTCAGTAACTCGTTCCTGGTAGTTAAATACGTAACACTTCACTTGGAGCAGCCATTACATTTTGAAGGTAGTTTTGTGGTAAATTCTCTTCCAGCGTACCAATTTTGTGTGATAGAACTACTGAAGTAATTTATCCATCTTTGAGACTGTTACTGTCACTTACTGATTCTTGCATCCTTTCTACAGAAAGGTCAGCTTGGCAGACCAATTCTGGATATGCCCTACTGGAATGCAAAACCAGCACCTATGCCTAACATAGGCTCCAAATATGGGCGCAAAGCTACATGGATTGGAGCGAGTGGAGACCAGACTTTTCTCCGGATCGACGAAGCTCTCATTAATTCTCATGTGCTTGCTACATCAGAGATATTTGCAAGCAGGCATATAATAGGCAAGAACTCCTATATTATTTTAAATGCTTATAGACATACTGGAGAAGAAAGCGAGTTTGGTTGTGTAAACAATAGACCAACAAGTCAAAAACAGGGATGGAGAGAATGAAAATACTTTGGCCTTCTAGTTTTCTGCATATGACAATCCTTTCTTTAGAAAGATGGTTTTTATTACAAGTAATAATGTAAAACTCTCACTTGCATTTAAATCTTACTATTTTTTTTGTTGTACCAGTAAATCTGTTCTTCCCTACTGTATTACATGGCATTTTCTAAGCATGAAGCATTAATGAGTGGAGTCTTCATGTTTGTTTGCTCTTTTTGCTCCCTGATCTAGGTTTGGTACCAGCTTCAATATCAGAACCGCCTCCTTTTAAATGTCTTCTGATAAACAAAGTAGATGGCAGTTGCAAAACATTCAATGATTCTGAGCAGGAAGACCTTCAAGGTTCTGGTGTGTGTCTGGATCCTGTCTATGACGTTATTTGGAGGTAAGTGTGGATTTTAGCTATTAAAATAGTAATATATAAATCCTTTTCAAAATTTTACAAGGATGGAGATTTGATTATACTTATTTTTCCTGTAAGTTAAAAACTATTTTTAGTCTTCCATAAATATTTTTCACGATTTTTGGATGGCTTGTTCAAGTAATCCCAAAACAAACATTTGTCTTGCCTGCATTTTTAAACTTTATTTTCTTTTTTGCATCATTCTTATTTGAGTCTCATAATATTTTGGAGATTCACATCTGTTCTGTTTCTTTACTCTCTTTATTTCCTTTTCTCCATCTACTTAACACTTGACTGAATCGCTTCCTTGCCATATTCAGCTGCCACATGTGTGTGTCTTAAATTGTTCTCAGGCTTAGTGGCTAAGACCACTAGAGAAGGGGTGGGGTGGAGTAATGGTGTTCTTTTCAGTTCTGACATTTTGGAGGTCAAAATAAAGGTGTGCTTATTTAGATGGTATAAACACCTAGACCAATTGTATTTATTTCAGTCTTTGGAATGTAGTCTTTGAGCAAGTGCAGATAATAAGCCTTTATTCCAACACATAATCATGACATCTAATTCTTCTGTAACAATTTGAAAGCTATGTTAGTTAAGATTTGGAGAGAAATCTGAACTTCCATCTGAGTTCAAGAGTTTGGTGATGTTTAAATTGTTTGAAGACAAAACAAGTTAGAGCGATGCAGGGAACCACCTAGCCAGCATTCATCTGGAAAAGATAGTATCTCATAGGATCATGTCTTTAAAGGTTACTTGCATCCTACTTTGGATGACAGCATTCTGATGACGTGCAGCTTAAACATTTCTTCAAAGCTTAATCTCTTAGTGAAATTCAAGTGGTTGTAGAATGTCGCGTGTATATAAATTTGAACATTGCTTACTTGCTAAAATCCTGAATACGTATGGTTCCCTTTAATATTTTTAGTTAAAACTATTTCTTTCTCCATTAAATTCTTAAAAGTGTACCAAGTGAAAGTTCCTTTTGTGCTTCTTCAGAACACTCCCATAGACTTATGTCTTCATACTATTTCTTCCTTTTACATAATGGTTTAAAAGATTTCGTTTTCTTTCTCTATGTGTTAATCTATATTATAGAAAGTATTTTGTATTCTCTTGTTTATGCTGCCATTTTTTATAATCCCTTAAAAACTCATGAGGCAATGTTACCCATTTAAAAAAGCCCAAACAAAACACGTTGGATTCCTCAAGATTTTTTTTTTCTTGTTTGAAGGTAAGCCTTTTACTTTCGCTTGGCCATCTTCAAAATTTTTGAGCACATCTGCCTTTCTATTTAGTACTTTGCTAGTTACTTCATACTTCCTAATAAATAATACTGTTTTAACATTTATTAGCTTTCAGAAATGTCTTAACATTTTCTGGAATTTCTAAACCCATAGTATGAGTCTTTGACTTACAGTATAATAATGCTTTTGTATCTTTTCATTTGCTGGAGTGTTAAGCTAGTAAAGTTTTCATGTATTTGCTATAGTTATGCTCAATTTCAAGAGTTTATACCAGCAGATCTACATTTCGCAATAAATATCTTAAAAATTTAATTGTTGGTTAGGTTTTATATTTTTTCAGTAGATGAAAGATTTTGTTCATTCTGCTTCTTCTTGCCCTAGGTTTCGCCCAAATGCCAGGGAACTGTGGAGTTACAACGCAGTAGTTGCCGATTCCAGGCTTCCCTCAGCTCCAGATATGCAATCCCGGTGTAGTATTTTGAGTCCAGAACTTGCTCTGCCAACAGGTTCCAAAGCTCTAACCACCAGATCTCATGCAGCTTTGCATATTCTAGGTATACATTTGTAGTTCATGAGTCAGAGCCTTAGATGAAATAAAGTAACATAACTTTATGTGTAAAAGCTTCCTGACTTTTTTCCGTTTAAATTTTACTTTGCCATCTTTCACCATTGCTCTTAACTACATCAACCAAATTATAAAAGTTATCTTCTGACATCTTAATGACATTAGAGGATTTTAGAGTTCTGGTGAAACTTGTTGTTAGATGCCTACATAATGAAGTAAGAGATCTTCCTAGATGATCTTGTTGGAAAGCCTGCAGAATAAAGTCAGTACTCTTAACCTGGAATCTCAAAAAAAAAAAAATAACTCAGACCTGAAAAAAGAAATCTTCAATAAGTTCTTTTTATTTTAAAGTAAATGCAGTATATAAAATTCAAATATAATCTTTGCAGTTTTGTATAATGAGTCACTAAAAGAAGTATTACTTCCTTTTGTAGTTTTTTTCTGGTTTAAAAATGCAAAACTTAAGTCCACCGTGTTCATCTATAACCTGGGCATATGCAACATACCCAGTACTTCAAAGCACAGTTTTGGAAGTTATTTTATCTCGCTTGTCCACTGGTTATGTTAAGTTATCTGTTCCTTGACCTTCTCACTTCATTGTGTGCCAAAGATGTGATAACTTTCAATTTCAACGGTACTTTTTTGTGTTTCCTAGCAACTTATGGGAAAAAATTATGTAAGTAAAAAGGAACAAAAGGAAAGAAACCTAACCCCTAAGAGAAGCAAAAGTGTGGTTTAGGTTTGATTGCTTTGATTTTCTTAACTAGTATTCATTTCTATTTCAATGATTATAATCAACAGTGAGACAATTTGGGTTCTTTTTGGTTTTGCTTTCTGTTAGGTTGCCTTGATACTTTGGCTGCTATGCAGGACTTAAAAATGGGTGTTGCAAATACAGAAGAAGAGACTCAAGCAGTAATGAAAGTTTATTCTAAAGAAGACTACAGTGTTGTTAACAGATTTGAAAGTACGTACATACTAAAATTTTACAGCACAAGCTGATTAGCTTGCAGAACAACAGACTAAGATTAATTATATTTTTGTTGGGGTTTTTTTTCTGCAGGTCATGGAGGAGGCTGGGGTTACTCAGCCCACTCAGTAGAAGCCATCCGTTTCTGTGCTGATACAGATATATTGCTAGGTGGTCTTGGTCTCTTTGGTGGTAGAGGTGAATACACTGCTAAAATAAAGGTAGGAGTTTTAGTTTTGTTTTAAACAATATTGTGTCTCAAAATCACAATGCTATCTAAAACCATGATTAGTTTTATTTCTTGATGAATGTTTTCTATATGTGGATAGCATTATGCAGGCACAGTGGATGAAGCAGAGAGCTGAGAATTACCATCCTTACTTTCATGAATTGGCCCATTCTTACCTTCACTAAATCCTATGCCATCTTAGAGATATCTTGGGCAGATATTTTAGTGGTCTGAATGGTTCTGTGAGCTATTTACACAAAGCTCCAAGGAGCTCCACCAGCAAAAAAATGGTGGTGTGGGCTTCAGGTTAAAATCACATCCCATATGATACATGATGAGCTTTTCTCAAAAGCAGAACGGGTCCTTATCAGGAGCCATTGCTTTTCACTTTCCCTGCCACTTTTTTCTCAGACTACTGTCTGGATAGCTTCTGGGCTGGGATTCTTCAACTAACAGAAAATGGCAATTAACTCTGTGCCAGATGTAGGCATGATTACAGGTGGAACATGTGTGCTGATTATTTTAAAATAAATAAATCTGGCTTTGGATAAATAGACCTCACAGAAACACACACTGTGGTGTCAGAGCTCTGGTTTTGGGTAAGTCTACTCCTATATTTAAAGATTTTGGTAAAAGAAGTTGTTATATCTGACATTTCTATTAAATGTTTCTATTTGTATATTCAGAATACGTTATTGTTGTTACTTGTCATTTAGTGCATCACTGAATTTTCTTCCTCTATTTTCAGATGAATAGGTAGTGAGGTTTGCTCTAGGAAAATGGATGACACATGCTTAGCCAGTAACATTTACATAAGTCAACAGGAGAACCAAAATAAGTAGTTGCACTTTATTTTAGTTTAACATAATGACTGAGAATTGCAAATAACTAAGCACAGCCAAGAAACTTAACTTTAGTCATGCCTTTTAAATGCTATAGGTAATACCGTTGTGATAATATTCTAATATTGTATTTTCAATTTGTTTAGGATTAGCTTATAGCCAAGATAAGATTTTCCAGTCCTGTCAGAAATGAGCTGTGTATGAAATAGGTGTTTGCAAGAGAAGTCATAGACATGTATTGTGGTCCTTTTTCAAAATCATCAAACCCTAGAAAATATTTTTAAGTAAGAAAACAAAATTCTCTTAGGTAACGTGTTGTCCCAGTCACCAACTGTTTATAACACTATTGACTGTCTCTGCTAAACTTTCAAGCAGTCCCTTTCCAGAGAAGCTGAGTATATCTTATGTTTATATAGTTTATATATTTCAGTCAGTGGTGGAAAAACATCAACTTCTGCCCAACTTTGCCTTTTTTAGATGATCTGCTTTTGTCTTGTTTGCAAGATTTAGGGAGTTTCTCCACTTAAAATATATCTGGACATAAGGCTGGGAGGTCAGTGTCAATTGCTATTTCTTAACAATTAATGCCTGACTTCCAAATGGGGTTTTGCCTGTCAGTGATATTAAGTAGTAGTTATTTTTGGGAAGGAAGAGTAGTATACGATTTCCAATATGCCAGACAAGAAAAAGTGGTATTAGGAAGTTTCTAACACCTAAGACATAATTTTACCTTTTTTCTTACTTCACCAGTTGTTTGAATTGGGTCCAGATGGGGGAGATCATGAGACAGATGGAGATCTCCTTGCTGAGACAGATGTCTTAGCATATGATTGTGCTGCCAGGTAAGATGTTTAGCTTACCTTCTTATACCTGCTTCTTGATCTTTATTTTTACTTCCCTGTACACATTTCAGTATTACTTTAACTATCAACAGAGATGGTCCACATCATTAGAATTTTGTAGCAAGTCATGTAAAACACTTGAAGTGTGTAGGGAAATAGTAAAACACTAAATACATCCCTAAACCGTTATGGTATTTAAATTAAAATAAGAATAATATTCAAATTCTTCCTCTTGTATAAATCCAAGTCAAATCCCATCTTCCTGTGTTGAGACCACAAGACAAAATATTACAGCAGCTCTTTTGTGCATATGGTTGCGGTTAGCCATGTTGTAGCTGCTTTTTCACTCCCTGTAATGAAATAATTTAAATTTCAAATGATATGTGATTAATTCTCAGGTTTAAGTCTTACATATCAATCCCCTAAATATGTCGTTTATTAATTTCTTAAATTCTTAGTAATTACAATAAGTATTAATGTATAACTTCTTGTAATCTACAAATATTTTCTGAAATCAATATTATATGGTATTTTGTAGTTAATACTTTGCTTGCAGTATTATATATTAAATATAATTGGGTTTATGTGTGTTAATTTAACTTAATATCTCCTTACTGCGTTTGGCATTGTTATGATTGTTTCACAATACAAGATCAAGCGCGACTTAGGCATTTTTAGGTCCTTCTGAATTATTTTTTTTTTTATTACTACAGTATTTTTGGATTAAAAACTTTTGGGCTTTGAATATAAATAGATATGACTTAATACCATTACTTCTCACTTTCTTTTATGATTAGGGTGTAATTTGTTAAAAGTTAATATAAAAGATAATTCACATCTAACGTTTTCCAAAATTTACTTCTCCCAGAGAGAAATATGCAATGATGTTTGATGAGCCAGTACTCCTGCAAGCTGGCTGGTGGTACGTAGCCTGGGCAAGAGTGTCAGGACCTAGCAGTGATTGTGGATCTCATGGACAAGCCTCTATTACTACAGATGATGGGTATATTGTTTTCCTACATTTTTAATTGGAAAAGGAAGAGATCTAATAAGACTTGAATAATAACTGGGATATTTCTCTTTCAGTGTTGTATTTCAGTTTAAAAGTTCCAAGAAATCAAATAATGGTACAGATGTGAATGCAGGGCAGATTCCACAATTACTATACAGGTAATACTTTAACCTCTGTAACAATTTGCAGACATTTTTTTAAAGTAGAAATATTAAATTAATTATAACTGTATTTCATGAAAATATTATTGTATTAAGCAAAGGAAATCAGTATCTGAAAAATGTGGGGAAAACTTAGTGTCTTTGAGAAAAGTAATGAAATTATACCCACATTTACTTCCTTGCTATTTTTCTTGCCGTCGTTCTGCATGAGTCTTGAGATTTTCATTTACATCTGTAGAACCTCAGGATTTCATATAACATGAGTAATATTTTTTGCTAATTGGGAAGTGCTCTATTTGGTCGCCCTGAGTTTAGGAACTGTGTACTCTTGAACAGACGATGTTAATGAAACAAAGCCAAAATCAACAGTGAAATGTGCTTTACAATAAGTTACTATAAACTTATCATTGCCATGATAAATGTTACGTGTTTTAATAATCAGGATCTTTAACTGTCTTGATAGTATATTTTACAGATTTCCTCAGATGTATACATGACATAATTTTTTTATTTTTTGTGTGCATATAATTCCCCCAGCCTCCACACTGATTCTGAAACCTAGAATTCTTCCATACCAGTTCTCTTGCTGTGTCCCTTCTAAGCATGTCCTTTTGAAAGTTCCTTCACTTCTGCCATTAAGCTTTCTGTATGCCCTGTCCCTCCAGGTGAAGGTTTCATTTTGATGTATATGAAGTCCTAGCATGACAAATTCATCATTTAGTTGATTTCTATGGAGAGATGGCTGTAGCCAAAAGGCAAATGAGCCTTGAGGCCTCTGAAGACCAATGACTGGCACAAAAGAGGAGGTGCTGCAGTGATAGATGCTGTGTCTGTATTTTTAACCTCCACATGTATTTTCCCTTCACAAAACCAGTGTTCTTTTAAGGAATAACATTTCTAGTTTGATATCCTCTAAGGAAATAGTAGCTACAAGTAGATACTTGCAATAATTGCATGTGATTAAATCTCAACCTTATTTTCAGTGTCACAGTACTGCCAGTTGAGCAGAATTCGACATACCTGGTTACTGGTCAAGAATGATTAGGAAACTGGAGAAAGTTATGTTGAAACTGAACTTTTTTTTTGAGAATTAAAACTTACCTTCACTTTGTTTTTTTTTTTTAACCCACTTGAACAATAAAAGCAGTAAAAATATAAAAAGTAAACAACAAAACACCAAACCCAACCCAAAACTCTACTAAAAGTAAAACCTGGCAATTTCGAGTTCTAAAATTGTTCTTCCAGGTTGCCAACAAGTGATGGCAGTGCATCCAAAGGAAAACAGCAAACTAGTGAACCTGTACATATTTTAAAGAGATCTTTTGCCAGAACTGTCTCAGTGGTGAGTACTATCAAGAATCTTCTGTGTTTCCTGCAAGTTCATACACAGTTAGGAAACTGAAAGATATAGATGTGGAAACAACAATGTTTTTGTGCTTGCTTTCTCAAGCAGAAGTTAGGTACACTGATAGAATATTTTATTTTTTTACTTTTCCTAAAGATTTTATTTTGGTGTTCAACACCACATACTTTTATTTTGCTCTCTGAGGTACAACTTCATGAAATTATTGACCACATACAGTAATAGTAGAAACAAAACTTTTTAAATCGTCAATTTTTTTGTGATCATGTGTTTCTGTTTAGCTTTCACGTACTGTAAATGTCATATAGTGGCTATGGTCCTGAAGATCATAACTGTTTAAAAACCAAGTGAAGACAGGCCTGATAATACTTTATGATAAAATATATTATGACAGAAGTTGGTGTTGCACTCTTCTGCAGATAAAGCAAGTAAAGTTTACTGAAAAATCGCCATTACAGGTGAATGTATGTGCTAGTTCTTAACTGAGAGGCTTCCACACATAATATTCAAATGAGGTTATAGATAGATTTTATCATGGTATTACAGTGAAGTGTGCCCTGCATTCTCAGTGGTTTTTTATTAAAAAAAAAATTAGGACTTGTGTGTTGCATGGTAGATGTGTTTTCATAATGAACATAGATATAGATGCTATTTGCCTTTTGTCTAATACTGATGCAACACAGTGATTTCTTGTTTTCTAACACTAAATCTGTCTTTGGTATCCTTCATACCTGGAAATAGGAATGCTTTGAATCTTTACTGAGCATTCTTCATTGGAGTTGGACAACACTAGTTCTGGGAGTTGAAGAACTTCGTGGGCTAAAGGGTTTCCAATACACTGCTACTCTTCTGGATTTAGAAAGGTTGCGTTTTGTGGGCACTTGCTGCCTGAGATTGCTGAGGGTCTACACCTGTGAAATATATCCAATATCAGGTATTCCTCTCAGTTCACTTGTTTCATATTTATTAGTCAATAATCTACAGGGCATTTATGATTTGAGCTAAGTGTTCATGTATGATATGATATAAAATAGATTTGTTCACACAAATGGTTTTATTGGAGCAATTAAAAGACTTGCCTTCAGGAGCAGGAAATTTTCAATTATCTGCATAACGAAATATCCTAGAACCACATGTTTACACTGTAACCCATGTATTTTAAAGTTAATTTCCTGTTTGACTTGTTAATTGAGTTGTTTTTAGACTGTTTGTGTCTTCTTTTTTCCCATTTCTGAACATAGAGTTTGCTGTGGTGGTGAGCACAGTGTGAATTTGAAAAATTGTATGTGTTTTTCATGCCTGTACTCCAACAATGCTCATTAAAATGCAGTAAAAATTATAAAAAATCAGAAAAGTGAGAGTTTTTAATACTCAGGTTTCTTTAATTGAGTTTAACACACTTTCACTGTTTTATTTTTCGAATCAACTTCTCGGAATATAGATTCAACAATGTTGCTAAATTCCCAGTTTTTGTATTTGCATGTAAAATGTGCATTTTAACGTGAAAATATTTCATTATTGTACATTTAATGCTTCTGTTTGTGTAATCTTCTAGCTACAGCTAAGGCAGTTGTAGAAGAAACCAGCAAACTAGCAGATTGCATTGGAAAAACTAGGACCTTGCTGAGAAAAATTTTATCTGAAGGAGTTGACCATTGCATGGTGAAGTTGGACAATGATCCACAAGGATATCTCAGTCAGCCTCTCAGTCTGTTAGAAGCTGTTCTTCAGGAATGCCATAATACATTCACAGCTTGCTTCCATTCATTCTATCCAACACCAGCTCTCCAGTGGGCATGTCTTTGCGACTTGCTGAACTGTTTGGACCAGGTATATTACAATGGCAAAAGTAAATACTATAGCTTAGCTTGCCATTTTGCTCAAATTGAAGCCCAGTAATACTTAAAACTTATTAATTTTTTGCATTTATCCTGATTTGCAACTTGAGTTCTGTTGTGTTTTGGATTTTTTTTTTAATGACTGGGTATTGGATTTGTTTCTGGTTTTGTTTGTTTGTGGTGTTCTTTAAATGTAGTTCAGTAAGAGCCTAGGAACTTCATCTTCTTTAGCTTTTAAGATTTTCTATGGATCCGTGAAGAAAATTTGTGGTGCTGGTAGCTGTCAACAACTGCTTTTTCAGTGTTGAGGCCATGCCTTATGTGTGCTTACTCTTGCTGCATGTTGCCTAAGAGCATCCATGTGGTATTTTTTATCACTAATACTCGAGTAATTCCTCATTATTAAGCATTACAACAGTGCTCTGATCCAGCCAAGTACGTGAGAGGCAGCTGGAAATACTGTTGTATAATCAACAGCTTTCTTCTTTTGCTTACTGTGAATGAGCATCCCACATCAAACAGTGTAGTTGGTTGCCTGCATTGCTTATGGTGAGATGTAAACAGTTCGCTGATTTGCATGAAAACTCATTTAGCATATACAATTTCAAGGAAGAATCTGTTCTTTAATGTATTACTCTAATTTAAAGTTGTTTAATTATAATTGTTAATTATAAGAAATCCTTGTCTTCAAAGGATACCATCATTTCAAAAGTAATGTTAGATGGCTTTGTTATTTTAAAATATGCCAACTGAGATATTTTAATTACTCCAGTTTTGAAGATTTAAATTCAAGCTTATGAGAGAAGGCAGTGTATAATTCATAGGAAAGCTTTCTCTAAATTATTTTTATTAATTACAATAAAGCTGGAAAGTTCCTTTCAAAAGTAGTTTCTCTGTTGTTCCAGTACAGCGGTGCCATTCTGTTAATTTCTTTTTATGTCCTAAGGATATCCAGGAAGCAAACTTCAAGACCTCCAGTAGCCGTCTCCTTGCTGCTGTCATGTCTGCTCTGTGCCACACGTCAGTGAAGCTGACCTCCATCTTCCCCATCGCTTACGACGGAGAGGCCCTGCTGCGCTCCATGGTTAAACAAGTCAGCACCGAGAACGACTCTGCTCTGGCCCATCGCTTTCCTCTTCTGGTTGCACACATGGAAAAGCTGAGTCAGGTTAGGATGTATTCTAAAAATTTAATGACTTATTTTAATTTGCAACAAAAAGCAGTTACCTACCTGCAAGGTTTTGCTTGATAAAGATGTAAATGAATTTGCCTAAGTGTTTTCTTTCTAAAAGTCTGAGTTCAGAAACTTACTATTTTTTACAATTTTCAAGATTATGTCTGAAATATTCCAACAGTTTCTTCTTTGGAGAATGTCTAAGCAGAATGGTTCTTATCTTGGAATATTAAATTGGAAGAAATATCCTTTGGAGCAGTATTCTGTTGCATAGTGTTTTCTGCAACGGTTTTTTAGCTTTTTCATGTGATCACAAGGAGGACCATATAAATATGTGTTTGAGGAAGAGTCAATACAACTTTAGTAATAAAAAGTAATGTCCCAAACAGAGTTTTTAAAGGGATCAATAGAGGAATCCCAGTTCATACTGTTCTAGCAAAGGTTATGAAACAATTTCCTAATCAAGAGCTCTTTAATGCTGTATTGCTGCAGTTCTGTTATTTTAGAATTGATTTACAGGAATGAGAAGGGTAAAGATAATAATCAGGGAAATTGGACTAATAAACAGTATTCTTCAGTTTGGAAGACAACAGGGGTAAGAAAATATAAAATTACGAATTATGCAAGAAAAGTAAATAAAGGATAGTTGTAAAGTCTACCATTACCAGAAGTTTAGAGAAAATATACAGTCAGAAGTTTTCTGCACTTCATAAAATACACAGTTAAGCTGTAGGGCATACTCTTGTAGGCCATTATTGTGCTAAAAAGCTTTCATGGACTTGGAAAGCACCTGTACAAATTAATGAAGGAGAAAACCACCAGGCATATTAAATGCAAATATAATATTTGTGTCTTGGATACTGCAGCCTCCTAAATGCAAAAGATGGAAAAGTGTTCTGTACAAGTTTGCTTTGCCTGATTGACTTCCATATTTGTTCACTACTTTGCTATTTTCTTGGGAGACAAAGGGGTGAGAATTTGGATTTTTTGGATTTTCATCAATAGAGCTGATTTTATTTTTCTTATTGGAAATTATATTCAGCGTGGATGACACTGCTAGGCACAAGACACAATAGATGCCTAAACTTAGATTTGTTTCATAGTTTTCATTCAGCAAAGAACAACTATGTTTAGAATTGTCTCACCACTGGTTTTGTTTTACCTCTTTGCATAGAAGATTCTTTTTGCTAACACCAAAACAATAAAGCTTCTAAGTTTCTTTTTTAGACACTGCAGAAGAAAATGATATGAACAGTTTCAAAGGTAGCTATATATCCACTGTGTTTTAATATATGCTTTTAAAGACCTCAGGTTTTATGGCTGTATAATAGACAAAGAAGAGACCTCTCCTGGGAAGGACACCTGTATATGACATCTTTCCAGTGCAATGAAAAGCTTGTCACCACCTCATTCAGGAAATTAGGGACATGAATCAATTATTTTGACAAAGGATTACATACTATGATAGCTTTGAGAATTTTAGGTTTTTTTCCACCTTCTAGACATTGCTTATCTTTATGAAGTCACAGATACTTCAATTACCTAATACTTATAATATGTGAAAGTTTGTGTTTTGGTTTTTTTAATAACCACGCCATTTATCATTGTTTTTGTTCGTAATGCAGAGTGAAGAAAATGTTTCAGGGATGACAAGCTTTCGGGAAGTGCTGGAAAAGATGTTGGTCATTGTTGTTTTACCAGTACGGAACAGCCTGAGAAGAGAAAATGAACTTTTCTCTTCACATCTGGTTTCTAATACCTGTGGGTTGCTTGCTAGTATTGTGAGTGAGCTCACAGCATCAGCATTAGGATCTGAGGTAAAGCTACTTTAAAATAATTTTTAGAAGTCTTTCAGGACAAACATGCTATGAATGTGATACAGGCTGAGATGGGTGTTTTAGAGGTGTGCACACATTTCAGAGATTCTGGAATTCTCTGTTTTGAGTAGTGTAGATGTTTTGCATAAATTTAAAAGCATATATTCACTGTATTAAGGAAGGACCGTTGATAATTAGCTACTTCATTAGGGCTGCAGAATACTGCAGATTGTGTAAAATGGCGAATTTTTGAATACTTTGCTTTTTGCCTGCATATTTGTGTACATACACAATCCTTTCAGGAGGCTATAACTTCGTTAAGTGGCAGAAAGGTGTTTGACTTTGTTTAAGGCGTGTCACTGTCTCTGTGCTATCAACAGGCTTTTATCAGAGAAAGAATCAAGCTTTTGATAACATCTTGATTCAAGTTGTTTTTACCATTATGTAACATCTGTTTCTGTCTTATCTTAATCTTGACTGTACCCAAGACAGAAATACTTAACCTTCCTTTTAGTACAGCTAATCTGTATTATTTGTTAATTCATCCTATGAAATATATATTTAAATACCTTAGAAAACCAAGTTGGATTCTTAATTATTCCTTCTAATTATCAGAAATACTTTCTTTTTTCTTCAGTCAATATTAACTAAAAGGCTAAGGAGTGGCATCTTCTGTGGTTTTTGAGTTGACTTTTAAAATTTACCCAGTTGAAAAATCTCCTAATTTAATTCACTTTAATTTATTAAAGTTTCCTAACATTTAGCAGTTAATATTTTCTGACAACTGTATTTAACTTTCCACAGGTTGATGGACTGAATTCTCTCCATTCTGTCAAATCCACTCCAAATCGATTCACTAAAACAAGTCAGGGAAGAAGCTGGAATACTGGGAATGGATCCCCTGATGCAATATGTTTTTCTGTTGACAAACCTGGTGTAGTTGTAGTAGGATTTTCTGTTTATGGTGGAGGAGGAATTCATGAGTATGAGTTGGAGGTATTAGTCGATGATGTAAGTACTGCATTTGGGAAAACAATTTGAACAAAAGTAACCTCAGGTTTTTTTAGAGTATGTTTTACAATGTTATATTTTCATATTCTTATTCAGTCTAGGCTACCAGTAAAACAGTGCACTGGTTGTAGGGTTTTTTGCTTGTGGTGAAGATTTTTGTGTTACCATAAGCTTCATACCATATATAGGAGGGTCTTCATCTTTGTTACTGTCTTGAACTCTTCTTTATTACAAGTAATATTTGAAGTATCGGGGGCTTTTCACTTTCTGGAGCTAAATGTAAATTAGTACCAATTACCTCTGTGTAAACCATGAATGAAAATAAGAAATCAGGTTAAAACCAAACATTGAAGAAAAGGGTAATGGCCTACCAGCATGATCAGGTTGTACCTACAGCTGTTTCATGTGCTGTTGATGTACTCTTAGAAGCAGCATAAAACAGCATTGTGAGTTCGTCTAATGAAGCAAAACTTCCTTTTGCACACAGTTATTCACTATAACTGATGATTCTGATCTTTTCCAAAGGACAAGCATAGGTTGCTATGGGAAATAATCCTCTCTGCTCAGGAACTTCCACTTTAGGGGAAAGGCTTTACTGTTGACTCTGAGAAGGTTTTTCATCATTTTGTTTGTATTGCCATGTGTAAAAATTGATGCAATGAAATACAAGTTGCACAATTGCAACTGTGTGTCGTATATTAATGTTATAAATGTATTAAAATTACTTTGTTTCTTTGAATCAGAGTGATCATACTGGAGATGCAACTCATTCTCATAGATGGACCTCTTTAGAACTGGTTAAAGGCACTTACACCACAGATGATTCTCCTAGTGACATAGCTGAAATCAGACTTGACAAAGTTGTGCCTCTGAAGGTAAATAAAATAAAAGCAAATCTGTAGGTTTCATACAGCTTCTTTAGATAACAAAATCGAAGTGGTCAGTGTAAATTGTTTGGGTTTTTGGGTTTCCATTCACAAGTTGATCTTGACATGTGCAATTCATAAAGTCTCAGTTTCAACCTATAAATTAAAAATTCCAAATCCTGTCAGCTAGAGGAAATTAAATCCCAGTTTTTATAATTGCATAAGATAGATTGTAGTTGCTTAGTAATTTTAGAATATTTTTGAAAGTGCAACTTTTTTTGTGCAACTTGATAGTTAATTTTCTTGAATATCTGCTTACTCTTCAAGTAATTAGTAGTAATTTAAATTATAGTCCATAGTTTGGGAACATGGAAAAGCTCTCATTTTTGTTAAATGCTGTAGGGTTTTTTTTGTTTAATTTCATTTGTAGAGTGCTTTGAAGGACTTTTCAGACTCTCCAGCATGAATATAAAATAATAACTTTCATATAGCATGAAGTCATTAGATACTTGTTATATACTGTAACTTCTTTTTACTGTCCTTTTTAAGGAAAATGTGAAATATGCAATTCGTTTGAGAAATTATGGAAGCCGGACTGCCAATGGAGATGGTGGAATGACCACAGTTCAGTGTCCAGATGGGGTAACCTTTACATTTAGTACGTGCAGTCTGAGCAGTAATGGCACCAACCAAACACGAGGACAAATCCCACAGATTCTTTATTACAGGTTTGTGTGTTGTAATGATTCATTTCTAGGAAAAGTGAATGAAACCATCACAGTGCTATTATACCACATCTTTTTTTGAGAAGTGATAGAAGTAAATGCATCCAGAATGTGTTTGTGGTGCCTCTTCCAGTCTTGTTGTAGGTTCTCTGGATTTTATGACTTGACAAATAATGTGATGGTTGACTTCTTACAAGGTCCATTGTTTATTACCTTAAAGCTCTAAGTATGGGGAACTCATAAAATACATTATTTCAATTTCTGTTTTTTCTATACCACAAAAGGTATCTGAGAGATTACTCACTGGCATGTTTATCTCTCCAATTTATTCAGTTCTTCAGTTTCCAAAAATAGTTGCATGAGGTTAGTGAAGCAAGGTCTGTTTATATGGGAACTATTTCCTCTCTTACTTAGAGTTGAAAGGTATAAAAAGAGAAATTGCAATTGCCTGAAGAAAATCAGCTGAAACATCTGACTGTCCTGCAGGGGAGCTTTACTTTACATCCTTTCAGGATGGCCATAGGAATTCCCTTGTGGTAATGCTTTTGCAGAAAGCATTGCTTTTGTGTTTGGGGTGCTTACCCTGATTTGTGCAAAGACATGACTTTCAAACTGGCAGTACAAGGCTGATCAAGAGAAGATGGAAGGAATAAGCAATTCAATGAATAATAATTTACTTTTATATTTGATTGTGTGAGAAGTACCTACATGATAAAAGATGTAGAAGATATGAAAAAGTAATACTACACGAACTGATGTATTTTAGACTAACAAGCACATGAACATATTTCTCTTAGGAAGGTTTTAAAGAAGGTGAAATATGAAGAAATAAAGTGAACTGCAAAATTATAATAATAGTATATTAGAAGATACAAGATAGCGCTAAACTACTTTAAAATATGAAATTGTGCTCAAAGATTCAGCTTGGCAGTAAAAACAGTAATTGTCTGTTACAGAATGGAATTGCTGTGGTGCAGATCATGATACTTTAATTGATTTAGTCTCCTGGAATCTTGAACTTAATAATAAAGTATCATAATTGGAAAGTATCATTATTAAGAAGGATGAAAGACATGGAAAACGTCTATTTTCACTCCTAGATTGTCTGCTTTTATACAGGCGAAAGAGAAAATAAAAGAGAAATAACAATTTCTTTGATTTCAGAAAAGCAAAGGACATCATTTCAGTAATGGAAACTTCAAGGCATTCAAACAATGTTAAATTAACATATGAAAAAAATTCACACCGAAGTTCTGTCTTCAAATCAGAACAGTCTCAGTTTTTTTTGTTTCAACTGATGAAATTCAAAGAAGCTTTCGAAAGACTAGTGGTACAAGTTGGAAGTGTTAGAGAATAAATTGTGTTGAGAAAAATTGCAGCTGTTCTGTAATCACAGTGTCTTTTATAGTTTGTATGGACAAGATAAATTTAATGTTTTCTGATGTATGACGATGGTTATGGATTTAGTTTGAGGACTCACTGTTTGATATGTAGTGATTTGAAGTTTTGATTTGCCTACAGCAAAGAAACAATTGTTCAGTCAACGGTTATAGAACAGCTTGTAACAGTCACACTCCATTTTGTTTGGAGGATTCTCAGATACCAATAGAATTGTTTCTTAGGCATATGCAAAGAAAGGCCACATACAGAAGTTAACATACTTTCTGGTAAAGGCAGAAAAGTTTTGGAGGGATTTGTTGGAAAAGGATTCAGTTGAATTGCACCTGCTATCAGTGGCTAAAAAATTGAACTGAAAAAGGCTTGAGGCTGACAGCAATTCTAGATGCTTTGAAAAAACAATATATTTGAAAGAGTGATTGACTCACTTCACAGAGAAGGAGAGATATCCTTGGTCACTGAGCTACTCAAAGTAAAATTTCTGGGCTTTCTGAGGCACTAGTCCTCAGAACACTACTGGACAAACATAAGATATCCAAAAGAGAATGGTAGGTTTTGTTTTACATGTTGACTAAGTGATTTCATTTCTCTGTGCCAACACTTAATCACTGTCATACTGAAGGCTTGAATTAGTTTGTAATTGTCATTGATAGCTTTGAAAAAGCAAATTGAACCTTATTGAAATAGTTTAATGTATAATGTTGTTTAGGAGAGTCTAATTTGACATACAGAGTGGATTTAAAAGAAAGAACTGTTTGTTAAGGGTAAGCCCAAGACGGTATTTCAAAGCCATAATTAGGGAGAATCTTTGTCTCTTATGAAAATGCAGAAATATCCATGAATAAATTTTTACTTGTTTCTGTGAAGCAGAACATTGCTTTGTTTTTGCCAAGATAGGCAACTGGCTTTGGAAGAGCATAGCAATTAATACATTTCTGTGGTTTAAAAGGCATCTAGAGATAAGAAACATTTCAGAAAAATGCTTTTTATACTTTTTTCCAAACAAAGTTCTTGCAAAGGACTAACAGTGAGACTTTCCCTCCAGAATATCTTTCGTGGTTTCTTTGGGTGTATTTGCTTTATCATAATTTTTTTTGCTTATTCTATGCCAAAAATTAGTCAGTTTTTTTTTTTAATGTGATTTTGTGTTTGTGAACTTACTTTAACTTAATCCACTATCCAGGAGTGAGTATGATGGAGATCTGCAGTCACAACTGTTGAACAAAGCTAATGAAGAAGACAAAAACTGTAGCAGGGCTCTTTCTGTTGTGAGTGCTGTTGTACGAGCAGCCAAAGACTTGTTGCACAGAGCTCTTGCTGTAGATGGTAAGGCTTGAGAAAATTTACTTTACTTTTCAAAACTTTTTACTGTGCTTAGCAAGCCATAATAGTAGAATATCACCGGAATACAAAAGCTATAATGTTTCTCTTTTGCTTTCCAAAGAATATTTTTCTAACTTTTCATTCCTGTAGGTATCAAATTGTGAGTATGAGTTATGCTTGTGATATCAGTCAAATACTTTGTATAAATTTGCTCATCAATTTAGCAAGTGTCATATTAAAGCTGGTAAGATTATTTATTTCCGAAAGATGTTCCATGATGGGTTAGTTGCAAATTTCATGAGTGTTTTGCACAGAGGTTGTAATCAGTAGGACTGAGAAATGTAGATATATCTGCCATTGTAGCCAAAATGTCCAGAATATTACGTAGTGCTACAAAATTAATTTTTAAGGGCTGGGAGGACTGTCTTGCTAACTTGTATACTGTAGAAAATATGAATGCAGCTTCACAAAATGACAAAAGAATGCAATAAGTAATGCTCTAAGAGAGCGATATTTTTCAACAGAGACCTGTATATAATGACACATTTATCTTGAGTGGAGTTGGCAGACTCAGAATTCAGCAGTGCCTAAATAATGAAAACAATTTGAAGTAAAAATAGTCTAGGAAATAGAAGTTTAACTCACAAGGGGCAAACCAGAAAAATAAGATGGGCTTTGAGCCATAGCATTTATTTATAATACTTCTCTTCTAATTATCTTTATTTAGCTGAAGACATTCCAGAAGTACTCAGCTCTTCCAGTCTGTTTTCAATGCTGCTTCCCCTCATCATAGCCTACATAGGACCAGTAGCAGCAGCTATTCCCAAGGTATGTTCCTCAGCAGAAATTACTGAAAAAATGTATGAATGTATGCAAGAAAAAGGTTTACTCTGAAAATTTGAGCACCTTGATTTCTTACTATTTTTGTGAATTAGTGATTTCTATTTGATAACGACTTATGAGTCTAAAATTTTAAAAACATGTAATTACCTTTTTTTTAACTTGAATTGAAAACAGCATAAAAAATACCTTAAGGAAGCAGAGAAATATGACAGGCTTTAGAAGCAGGAAAAGATAAGGAATGAGAAGAATGTCATTTACAGCTCATTGATGAACATTGATGGGATGAAATAATTTAATGAGCAAATGTTTTTTCTCTTTATTGTAAAAATAAAATTTATGTATCAAAAAACTAAGATTATTTCTCTCAAATTTAGAGTTTGAAATATGTCATCTCTAAATAAAAGAACATGTCTTTCTAGTGCCATGGCATTTCTTGCATGTGCCTGGTCTGGGACACTCTTGAAATCTGTTATTAGATCTGCAAATGTCAATAATGCTTAGCTAGTAGACGCTATTGCCTTTTCTTGCTTTTTCATGAGCTGTAAGATGTTTTCTGACTTATTTTTAAAGGAGGAGGAAGTAGAACTCATCACTTAAAATCTAGCAGATGTGTTGTGAAAGACAGTATCAAATTTTAGTTACCTTGTTTCTTCATGGAATTGGGATTTGAAACAACCAAGTGTTTTGCTGTAGAAGTGTTCTCTGCTTAGAAAATGTAGTAAAGATTACAGGGAACAGTGCGATGCTTAAGGTTTCATTAAAATATTCATAAATATTTTCATATATTTATATTTTCAATATTCATTAAAATATTTCATTTCATTAAAATACATTGGATATTTGAAAAATCCCCCAGTATTAATATGGCTATAAAGTGTAACTGAATTATAACTTTAGTATTGTATTTAGTTTCTGTGGACTTGTGCTTACTGTTTGTTAATGTTCAAGGCTTTAGTAGAAGCTATTTTGGAGAAAGGATGTCACAGTTATATACAGATTCTTGTTTTAGCTTTGGCCGGTCTCCAAGAAGAGATTTATGTACTGGTGCTTTTTCTGTCAGGATTGTATAGATGCAGAATTGGAAAATGACTGAATGAATTGTTAGTGATATTCTGAGAACGTTCAAACAACCACTGAAGAGAAATGGAAGTATTAGAGTTTCGTTCTGGAAGTATTGTTTTCACCAAGTTACAATACTTTGTAGTAACCCATGTGATGTTATGTTACAGGTTGCTGTTGAAGTCTTTGGCCTTGTACAACAGCTACTTCCTTCTGTGGCAGTTCTGAATCAGAAATACGCCCCTCCAGCTTTTAATCCAAATCAGTCTACAGATAGCACCACTGGAAACCAGCCAGAGCAAGGGCTTTCAGCTTGTACTACCTCCAATCACTATGCTGTTGTAGAAAGCGAGCATCCCTATAAACCTGCCTCTGTTACACACTATAAGGTGAGCACCATTTCTGAGTGCACATACTGGTCCTTATAGGCTTGACACATGAGTTTTCTTGAGTCAGCATTTGCTCTCCGAAAAATTGTCACTGTGGATGATAATTAATATTGTCTAATATTGAAGACAGTTCATTATATTATTGCTGTACTGCTTTCTGGACAAAACTCTACATCAAGTATAGTGGAAAATACTGAAGTTGTAACCCCATAATTCAGGTATCTGCTCTAAGTCCCTAAATTTGCACAGTCTTGGATTTTTATGCTGTCATACAGCATTTCTTTGCTCTAACTGTACAGATGGTAGAAGTTCAAAGTCTTTACATATAAAGTATATAACCACATATCAGACTTTCTCACCTAATGCTAAAAAAATGTTTTGTAAAAATACCTTAAGTCAGTTCTAGTCAAATTAACATCCAGAAGTAACAAACCTATAATCAAGAGCCTGAACAGGACATAAATTATTATTCCACAGTTCCAGTGCTTGTCCTGTGAGACAGCAAGACATCCACTGCAGAGAATGTAGTTACCATGTGATCATCCTGATGCAATAATGCTTACTTTTGTCCTAAAATTTTATGGAGCGTGTCTAAGGCCTTGGGTTTAGTAGTTACTGCATTTGAGTTTCTGTAGCTATGTATAGTACTGCAGGCCACATTCACAAGTGGGATTCAGCTGCTCTGTACTTTTCTAGGATTGCACAAAACAGATACTCATGTTTGTTGAAGTTTGAGTTTGAAAAATGTATCTGAGAGTTCAATGTTTGTAGTCGTCTGTGGTTGTTTTGTTTACTGAACCTCTACAGAATTCTTAAAAACAATCACAAGTGGTGCCAGTGCAAATACTTAATCAGAATATTAAGTTATAATACAGGATTCTAATTGAGTAAAGTGCAAAGCATGTCAGGTGTACATGCATTTCAAAGAATAAATTAGCTAAATGTTAATTTACCAAAACAATTGTGCAGAATTACATAAATAAATCACGTTTGTAGACTAATTGATAGTTAGGGCCAAATGGAAATGAAGAAGTAAATGTAAAAAAAAAACCTCCAAGAATCCCTTTGACATAATTAAACTACTGCTTTATTTTAGGTAACTTTTCCTGAATGTGTCAGGTGGATAACAATAGAGTTTGACACTCAATGTGGCACCGCTCAGTCAGAGGATGTCCTTCGTTTACTAATTCCTGTCAGAATTGCACAGAGCCTGGGATTTGGACCAAAGCATACCTCTGTTCATGAAAACCTTAATTCATGGATAGAACTGAAAAAGTTCTCTGGATCTTCAGGATGGCCTACCATGGTGTTAGTATTACCAGGTAATAGAAGGATATTGATGTGGTTACTAGAAATGTGAGTAGTAACTCACAGTAGTACAACAATTAAGGGAAGTTTGAAGTTTGATTTTTCTGCAGAATTATCTTGGCAAACAAAGTTAAAGAAGGGTCTTTATCCAAGCTGGCAAGTTAATTATGTCTGTAGTAGGTTTCTTGCTTGAAGTATTGATCTTCTTGTTTTTCCCATGGTTTTAATTCACATTTTACATACAAAGGCTGGCTTTCATATATACTTATGTAAAAGAAACACAAGAAAGGAGGAGGAATATATTATTTATTTAATTTATCCTTTTACTTCTTTAAGGGAATGAAGCTCTTTTTTCTCTGGAGACTGCATCAGACTATGTAAAAGATGAAAAAGCTTGTTTTTATGGTTTCAAATGTTACGCAATTGGATATGAATTTAGTCCAGGAAGTGATGAGGTAAGGGAAAAAGTGAGGTAGTTATAATTGCTGCACCTAATAAATTCTTTGAGGGTAAAAAAATTGTATTTCCACTTAAGCCTAAGTGACATTAACAAAATATTTTTAGATTAATTTTATGAAAGTTCTAACATTTGTTGTTAAAGACATTATTCATTTGGAATTCTTTAATCGGGGTATTATTGAAATGGCTTTTCACATGGCTTGTGACACTCTGCAAAAACATAGTGTGATCTTATCTTGTATGTCAGTGGGATATAAGACTTCCTGAAATTCTGGCCTACTCTTGCATCAAAGATCCAATGGTGTGGGGCTCTCTACTGTCACTGCCAACTGAGTGACATACTTACATTATTTACAGTGCTCACTTACACAGAACTCTCAGACTCCTTGGAGATGCTGTGATGCTGTGTGCATTTAGGCTGCCTCAGGTTTTTACCCAGTGGTCTCCTCATTTTGCCTTTAATGATGTGAGTCATTTCCACCACTGTTTATTGCAAAAGGAAGATCAAATTTCTTCATGTCCTTGACCCAGTTCTTTCTTTTGGCTTATTTTAAGAGATTACTGAAAATGCTTAGTATGTTTTACAATAAATCCAGAAAACTAAGTGTTCTCTTATCCTGGGAGTCGTTGGGCCTGTTGCTTCCTGTGGACTTCACAGCGTCTGCATCTTGCTTACACTATAATCCTCATAGAAGATTTACCCCATCTTATTGCTGGATTTTGCTCAAGCTAAATCATGTCTTCAGGTTTTCAGGAATTCTTTGGAATTTCTTTACATATCAGATTAAAAAAAACATACCTTAAGATTTTTATCTATGGTGGTCCCACTGGTTTTCAGCAAAATCATATTTATATTTCCTACAGATGCTCTAATTAGTGTTTGAATAGAAATAACTTCTGCTTAAGCAAAAAAAAGTGTAGATTCATGGCATTCTTTTTCTTTAAAGCATTTACAAACAAAGCTGCTGGCATGTTTTGAACACTCAGTATTAAAATATGCTAGCCGGTAGCTTAAGTCTATAATTTAAAGAAAAGTTTTAAGTAACTGGTTTCAAATATACTTTTTTATTCTAAAAATTTTGGTACACTGTCCTGTGTCACAGCAAAACATGGGAGCAGCTATATGACAAGAAATACATTACTGAGAAACTTCAAACTGGGACATGCGGTTTTTTTTAAGATAAAACATAGGTAAATGTATTTATTTTCCTATTTTTTGAGACACTAATTTTGTGTTAATTTTTTTTTATTTGAAGGGTATTATTCAGCTGGAGAAGGAACTGGCAAATTTAGGAGGATCATGTGCAGCAGCTTTGATGAAGAAGGATTTAGCGCTTCCTATTGGTAAGAGCAAACTTCATTATTTCATCATTGTCCATGTTTTCTGAATTAATAGTACATTTAAATCTTATTGTTACTTTTAATTAGAGATAATAATACAAAATGGAGTCTTCACACTGAATTAATCAAACAATAAAGTTGTCAGTATTTTATGCTTGCTGTTTTCCCTTTGTGTTCATATGGGGAGGAGAGAGGCCTGGTCATTTAAATTTGAATGAACTCACACCATCCACAGGTAGTGTGTGACTGTATGAACTGTGTCCCACAGTTTCCTCATGCTACTCCATAAATGTGCAGGTACCATCTTTGTATTTCTCTTTCACTGTTTTTTTCTCTCCACACTTCTCTGAATGAAAAAATACTTGCAGCATTGGATTACAAAATCTAAAATTACTGTTTTAAAATTGAAAGTGACCATTTCATCTAATAGACCTTATCACTAGAAATATTTCTACTATGGCTTTTTTTTTACAATTAGAAATAAATCACATAATTTTAGAGCAGATGCTGCGAATAAAGGTTTCTAGTAACCCAAATGCATTTTAAAATGTAAGGAAAAATGAGCTTGTGGAAATTAATGGATATAGAGATGGAATTAGAACTTCTAATGATGCAGCTATATTATGAGTAACATAATTTCTCTTAAAGAGCATCAGCATATAGGAAAAATGGGTTCATAATACATAATAGGATATCTCTCTGATCATTTTAATTTAGGATCACACATCAAAGCTCAGATACTGTTTCAGTGGAAGCGTGATTTATGAGCAGGAGAGCACCAATCAGTGTGGAGTTACAATCACAAAACCTACTTTGTATTTTTAATTCAGTATTCTGCTTGCGTATTTGGATGGATTGTGTAGAAATTTCTTACTTTATGTTTTAAGGAGGCACCTAAGTTGAACTAATAGATTTATATTTTACTCTCCAAAGTGCAGGCAATTCTACAGGTTAAATAAGGCCCTCATCTCTTATCCCCTAAGCTCCTTAGTTTGTTGGCTTCACTTGGTTTTTGCTCTTCTTCTATACAACAATAACAAAAAGATTTAAATCCTCGTAACTTAATCTCCCATATTTTACAATACCTTGTACTTCTCTCTTGGGAGCTTTTTATGTTTGTTCTGTTTAAATGCCTAAAACAAGAAAGGTGACACGTAGATTGGTTTTATGCTATGCCATAGAAATTTGAAATAAAATATGCAGTCAAGTTACCTGTGCAGTCACATCTGCATATAAAAGTGGTTGTGTATGATCTGCAAGAGAGGAGGGATAGATGCATTGTCTATAAGGAGTTTCCTGATTACTGATCTAATGGCAATTGATTTGTCTGCCTGTTCATCTAACATAAGCTCAAGAACTTGAACCAAATCTGTTAATGTTGTGGGTAAGATTACAGTGCTTGTGCTATATAAGTGTATTGTTTCTCTACATGACCACTGTACCCTCTCAGTAAACAAAACTGATGAATTATGGTCAACAGTGATACTATTTCCAAACAGAAACTACTGTGCAGCCTTTTAAGATGGTTTTCAGTTGTGTGTAATTTTGCTTTGTTTGAGTGTTTTGCCTGATGTCTCAGGAAAACATCGTGGCAGAAAAGGAGGTAAAGCTGTGGTTTTCTAGAGCAAATTTTAAATGCCTTAATATCAGACTTCTTTTCTTTTTTCTGTATCCTTGGTTATGTATCTTCTATCTTTTGCTGCAAGTAAAATGGTTCTTTAATACTGTCATTCCTAATCTGCAGAGCCCTGTCATCTTGTGGAAGTTTCCCTTAAGAAAAACCTACATATAATAATAGAATCTATAGAATCAATAATCATATAAAAGACTTTCTTGCAATGCACAGACACAGGAAGGCCCTTTTTAGTAGACTTTTTATATTTTGTTATCATTTCTAAAGTTTTACTTTTTAGTAATTATTGTAGTTGGTATATTCAGTGTGCAAGTAGTCAAATATTTGTGTGAGTATTCCTCTAGAAATATTAGGAAGAAAAGTGTTTTGACCTAACAGGGTTAAACCTATTTTGCTCCAAAGGAAGATAGACCAGAAAGTGATTTTTTTTTTTTTTGCATATTAGGAAAACTATCTTTGAGTTACACCCAAATACTGTTCATGTTACCAGTGTTCAAAAAGTTGTTCTTCCTTCTTGCTAGTTAAAGACTTAAATTTAAGATGCTTCTTCCCAAGAGAGAGATCTGGTCTATGTCCAAGATCTGACTTAACAGCAGTGTGAAATTGGTCGATGTATTTAACATTATTACATTCTTAATTGTATCAGATTTGGTAGTAGTTTACTTATGAGGTCAGTTTTTAGAGGTCTTTATTTGAATTTTAAAAATTGCCTTGGGGCTCTATTTTTCTTATTTCTCTTTCTTCTGACTAGTAGAATTGCCTGACGTATTTTTAAAAGAGAGTAGAAATATGGTAACCTTATCTGTTTCACTCTTCTGTTAAAAGACTGTGTTTGGCAATTCTGGTCACCCTAGAATCAGACTTTTGAATTGTATTTGTGAGAAATAAATACTGTGTAATAGTATGTATTTGAGCTTTGTGTTTTAGGAAGAATCATAATTTATAAAATTGTGCAGAGTTTATCAGGTTTTCAAATAATTTTACAAAGGTAAGCTCTTAAAAGGGAGCAGCTGTTGCATACTTAGAGATACTGCTTCCCAGAAACCATCTTGACCTCTCAAAATCTTTCTGAAAGTATCTAGTCACATCCAAAGACTTGCATACATACTGTCTTGGCGATAAAAAGATAAGAACCAGATTTTTGTCATATGTAACTTACGTTGTTCATTTGTGTGTGCATTGAACTACACAATACTGCATGCTTACTTTGTTATTTGAAAATATTAATATTTCTGCTGCTGATTGAACAGTATGACACATCATTATGCAAACTTGAAATATAAAAGGCTTCACAAAACAGGATTGAATCTCATATTCTGTAATATGTTGATAACTGCCTGTATAACTGTTACATTTTTCCAGCAGGTAGTGAATTTGAAGAGGATCTTGAAATACTTGAAGAGGCAGCCTTACAGGTTTGCTGCAGCTTTTTATCTATTACAATGTACTTAAGCACATAATTGCATTGAAACTTTCTACTTGCTACAGAAGAAAATAATGTGTAAGGTTTTTATAGTAGAATGGAATCCAGCTTATTAGTTTAAGAAAATCATACTGAATGTTAGCATTTACATGAGATCATTTTTTACAATGAATCTGCTTGGGAAAAAATGCATAAAATATCACACAGAACATTAGATGACTAAGTGTTTCAAAATCTATTTGGCTGAAGTTGCAGTTTTTGGCAAGTTTTAAATGTTACCAAAATCAGTCTTTTACATGTCTTTGTAATTAGAGAAATAAAATCACTTTTTTAGCTGAGCAGTGGTGTTAATCAAGTCCCAAGTAATGATTGCAGTTGTTCTGGTTTGCTGATGGCCTTTTGTTGAGTACAATGGAAGCTAATGCTGAATCTCCCTCAACTAAAGGTCATTTAACCTCTTTTGGTATAAATTATTGTTTAATAGACTGAGATGGCTTTTTTCAAGGCTTTTATCAGAGTAAGGTTTATTCTTCTTGAATGGTTTAAAATGCCCAAAATATTTGTATCAATTGTGTCATGTTATGTGAAAATGTCAACATGTTACTGAAATGCTGTTCTTATGTCTCTTTTCACCCTCAACCTCTGCTGGGAAAAAAAAAAAAAAAAAGGTGTGCAAATCTCACTCAGGCATTCTTGGGAAAGGCTTGGCACTATCTCACTCACCAACCATTTTAGAAGCTCTTGAAGGAAGTCTTCCACTGCAGGTACAAAGCAACGAGCAGTCATTCCTGGAAGATTTCATTGCTTGTGTACCAGGATCAAGTGGTGGACGACTTGCAAGGTAAAACTGCACTGTTGCTTGTCCTTTTAACTGGCTACAGAACTGTCATAATTATTTGAAGTATTAGTTAAATAAAACTATTTGGCTGTATTGTTTCCAATAATACATTAGTTAAAACCATATAGGCATTCAGATGTTCTGTTTCTCTTAGCTGTATGTCGCATTTGTACAGATTTGTATGCATTTGTTTTGGAGGCTGTAAGAGATTTTAATGTTAGGTGGTTTTCTCTGCTGTAGGTGGCTGCAGCCTGATTCATATGCTGATCCTCAAAAAACATCATTGATTTTGAATAAGGATGACATCCGATGTGGTTGGCCAACTGTTATTACAGTACAGACAAAAGACCAATATGGGGATGTTGTTCATGTTCCTAATATGAAGGTAATTACTGTAATCTTGGCTGTTCTGCTTCATCTTGCTGGCTTTTAGTTTTTATTGTAGGTGTTCAACGAAATACTCTTGTGTAGGACAGAAAGTGGCATTCATTAATTCATTGTAGTCAGACTTTCTTACCTCTAAATCCACAAAACTGCCAAATTCTGTATTATGCCAGCACCATTTCATGCAATTCATAACTTGCCTGTTATCGACTACACATGTGTAGTGGTATAAATAATCAGTGATAAGTGAGGCTTGACAATATTGATGTATTAAAGCGGCAAGAATCCATTTTTTAATTCATAAGCCAGGAAAGGGTATTATAGGCCATAGACTTTGTAATGGAAAAAAAGAATCAGAAGCACAATGATGGAGCACCTTATAGTTACTTTATTTTAGACTAGAACAATACTCTTCCATTTTCTGTTTTTATTACTTGGAAGTTTCTGTAGTCCTTGCAGTTAGTAAGAATAACTGGCAAAGACTGGTATTCATGTGTTTGTCTTCAGCCTCTTCAGTTAACGACTGTTTTTCAGTACTGGAAAGGAGACGAGGTGTTCTTGACAGCTTTAGGCAGAGTTTGAAGAATTTTGTGCATTTTGGGGTAAAATGTATGTGGAATGTATAAATGTGGGCTGCTTGATTTGAAGTAGTAAAGCAATGCAGACAAAACAAACGCAAAATGGTTTTCATGTAGTTCTAATGAATTAGGTTACTTTTGTGTTTTATAGCCCACTACTACTGTGGAGTAGTTGGTTTTGTTCAAGCCCAAGTGTAGATGAAATACCTTTTACAAAGGCATGATTCCTGTGATAAAAGCTCTCATGTCTATTCTTTGTATATGATGTAATAATTGAGAGTTGTCTTACAGTGCGCTGTAAACCTATTAATGAACAGCAGTTCTACAACAGTAATACAAGAATCAGCTTAGTCACAAACACTGCTTGAGTGAAACTTGTATGATTACTGATTTAAGTTAGTGACAGAACAAGTGGAAAACTCACTAGTGATTTTATCTTACTATCAGGAAAAGGATATGTCAGAATATTATCAAAATTATTGCTGGTTTTATTATTTAATTACTGTTCGCAAATGTATTAAAGTGACAAAAATCTTGAATCAATTTACTCATTCTTCTGGACTCATTCAGTGTGCAATGCAGTGATTTAACTTCTGGTAAATTAAGTCAAATTTTGATAAAACTGTGCGAAAACTGCAGTATTTAAACATCTGCACTTTATTGCAGATTTCAGATGAGTAACACATAAACTTATTTTCCAGGTAGTCTGTCTGTCTTTCTCAGAAAATTGTGTATTGCTAGCTGTTACCTGCACTAAGGGAGATCCATGATACCTCTGTGGGAAAAAGTCAGTTAAAACACGCATTGAAGAGCACAGTATAAATGTGCAGTGCTGGTATGAGGTGGCAGAGCCGGCCAGGATCCAATCTGGCCACTGCTGATCCAGATTTAGTGGCCATGATGATTATCTCCAAAATCTGTGCACTCACATGGAAGGCTCTTTTTCTACTTCATTGTACTTTTCTGTTCTGGGAAAACTTCCCTAGGCACACCAGACCGTGTGCTGCTTCCCAGGAAGTGCTGTGGGACTGTCAGAACTGACAGCAGCCTGTGCTGATGGTGTGCTGAATCAGTTGGGTGCCTCTCCCCGCTCATTGGCATCTTTCCAAGATGCTGTGTTTGGCTTTACAGATGAAGGGTAGATACTTTGGGTCTTGATGCAGCTGGATTTACAGGGAGTGCTCTAAGCACTTTGTCACTGCACTGCATCAAATATAAAATAATGTATATTTTCTCACTAAATCATATTCCCCTCTTCCACATCGTATTACAGGTAGAAGTCAAAGCTATTCCTGTTTCTCAGAAAAAAACTTCTTTGCAACAAGAGCAGGTTAAAAAAGTACAGCGGATACCAGGGAGTCCTGCAGCAGCTATTTCCCCTAACAGTGATATGACCTTTGGAGGACTTCCTTCACCAAAGCTTGATTCCTCCTATGAGCCAATGATAGTAAAAGAAGCTCGGTATATTGCTATAACAATGATGAAGGTAAGTTACTGAAATTTTGGCAATATAACTATAGAATTTAGCGTTCAAAGTGTGTAAAGGTATGCAACAGAGAAGGAAAAATGTATATTTACTTTTGGTACCAGTCTGAAAATATATTGAATGAAAATAACTTTGTTTATATGTTAGTTCATCAATAAACTAAATACATCAAAGGGGCCAATTACTTAAACTCTAAAGCAGTTAGATTGGATTAGCATAAAAAGGAAAGTTGTCTTTGATTTTGATTAGACAGATTAACAAGTTAGTCTGAGTCACTCAGGAGAAATAAAACCAGATATTGAAATGGTGAGGGAAAGTTAAACCAGTATATTTATTTATATGGAGTTGGAGGGTTGCAGTCAATACATATTTAAAACTAGAACAGGTGAACATAGTAAAAGATAAGAGCTCAGCATAGTAAAAAAAGATACAAATGATTTCTATATCAATGCATATGTCTTAAGCAGCATCTCATGGAATGAGCCACTGTTAAATGGATCAGCTCAGACGAATTGCCAGGAAGAGTTTTAAAATAGGTGAAAACTGAGCAGCTAGTGTTGATTTGACTGAGTATATTACAGCACATGCAGTAAATTTACGTATGTGTACCATACTGACCCATTTAAGAGATGTGACATGTTGTGTACAACCAACAGTTGCACAGCTTAATGAGACCAGATTAGCCAGGAGGGTAGAGAAGGATAATACTTAGCATAATCAGTAGGGATTTACTGGAGAAGGCAGAACCAGCAAACTAGCACCTTTTAGAGGGTATAGGGATTTTTTTGCAAAGGGTAGTGCTGCAGTGCCTGTCTGTAAATAGTGCAGCTGGGTACAGCATAGTGTCTTAATAGGTCAATGAAAAAGTTATTAAATCAATGTAGTGTACAACAAATGGTTTAAGATCTTGCTAAATCATGTGCATATCAAAGTGTGGTTTTTGGCATTTTTATTTGGGCTAATTCAAACATCACTTTGATGCTTCTTTTAAAAGTGACTCGAGGAAAGGCAGAAATACATTATCCCTAAGTTAGGGCTGAGATGATATTTCTGATAGCCACTGTCCACAGGTACTTGCTGCTTCTTTTCCAGTGAGAGGTGTCAAATCTCCTCACACAGCTCTTAGGGTGGTATATCCTGTCATGCATGAGATGCTCTGGGGTAAATGATGGTGGTGCAAGTGTAGGGTGTTCAAAAACTCTTATAGATTTTATGAAGTGAGGAGTGCTTAGTATCAGCTAGTTAATATATAATAATTTTTTAATTGAAATAAGGCTAAGAAAAATTAAAATGGAAGGGTTCATTTAAAATCCTCTTAGAAGATAATAACAGTATGAATCTTCATCAAGATAAAAGTAAAAAGACACCAAAATAAAATTTTAAAAGTGCCTCTTTGTTGAAACATGCTTGATTTACATATTTAGTGCTTTTCCAGATAATCTTCCCAAGATTGCTTTCAAGTTAAGTCCTTTCCATCCAAAACTTTATGAATTCAAGGCATTGCAAATATTCTGTTTTCCTGCCTGCATTATTAGGCACACTCATTTCAGTGTAAAATGCAGACGTCCCCAGATATTCTCATTTTACATCAGCCTGCACATTGTATCAGTACTTGATACAAACACCTAAATATGATTACAAAATCTAGTTTCTTACTTCATAAAACTATATAAATAAATTATGACATGTTTGAGGGACTGATACCCAAAACTATATCCTTATATAGGGACCGAAAATGGTTGATCTGCATATATACATGTTCCAATGTTCTTGTCCTACCTTGTGTTGGTTTTGACTTAACAGGGGAATTTGTTAACTCAGCAGCTATTGCAGGCCAGAGAGATTCTTCTGAGGGGCTTTGTGCACTTCTAGGACTAACTGGGTTTTCTTATGGGGCTTTTCAGAACAGTGATTTCACAAGACACTATGGAAGTGAAACAGGTGTTTTGTGTAGTGTAAGTCAATGGAAGTATCACCTCAATGTTGAGGGAATTTCATCTTCACTTGGAGTTGAAAGAAAAAGGATCTGAAATTTCATTGATAAAGCCCTTGGGCTGGTTTGCAGGTTTTACGTGCAACATACTTGCTTACTTCTCTTCATCTGGTCTTCAGTGCCTGGATTCCAAAGGGTTTCATACAAGTCAGATTTGAAGAGATTCGAAGGCTTAACAAGGTTTTTGCTAGTAGTAGCAATCTTTCTTATCTAAATAATGGTTGTTTAATGAGACGGTGAAGATACTGTTCCGTGTGTGCATATATATATATATCTGTGTTTTGAAATTGTTTCTGATAGCCTGCTCAATGTTTTTGAGGTGTGTAAAGTTAGATTGATGTGATCTTTAAGAAGATGCTCTGCTTTCTTTTATTCAAGACAGTGGTGTAACTGGTAGCTGTTGGTTTTATGTTTGAATTTAATCTGTTTATAGGCATATGAAAATTACTCTTTTGAAGAACTACGTTTTGCTTCACCAACACCAAAGAGGTAAACATTAAAAAATTTGTTTTGTATATGGACTTAAATTAACATGCCCTGACACTTCTGCTTACACCCAGCCTCCCAAGTGTGACTGACGGATAATTGTGTCTGAAGGTAGAAACATAGAAGTATTATGTTTTCTTATATGTAGCAATTTTATTTAAAATCTTTTTTTCTTAATTATTCTAATGTTGTTTCCTTATTTGTATTAGCTACTCTCTGAATATGTTCTTTTATCACTTGCTATAAATAAATGTGGAATAGAGGATTATATTTTCATAGTAAATAATAGGAGCTTAGTACATTGGAAATGGAAAAGTTGTATTTAGATGATCTGCTAGAAAAAAAGACTAGTTTTCAAACTAAACATTATACTAATCGTTATGTGTTTGACATATATTATGTCCAAAAAGACAATAACTGTTAATTGATTTTAATTGTTTTGTTTATGCCTAGACCCAGTGAAAACATGTTGATCAGAGTCAACAATGATGGTACATACTGTGCAAACTGGACTCCAGGAGCTGTTGGTCTCTATACCATTCATGTTACTATAGATGGCATTGAAATAGGTACTTAATTTTCTTCATATTTAAGCATAAATTGATATTATTTCCACTTTGTATACTGACACATTTATGTATTGATGCTTGTAAGATTTAATATTACAGTTCATAGCAAAACTTAGCAGCCAAGTTTTCATTCAGAAGCCTTCTAGTTAAATCACACTTTTTATCAGAAGAAAAAACCCCTCACACTGAAATAGGAATATATGTTGCAAGTCATGTATTTATAATGTGATTAGACTACCAGATTAACAGACTCTCTTATTCTCAACTCTGTGTTGGAAGAGGAATGTCTTGTTTCAGCTGAGAGTGACAAAGAAGTATAGTTAAAGGGAAAAAAACGCCAGCCCAACACTGAATAACCTAAGGAAAGAGAAAATTGTTCCTGACAATACTGAAATGCATACTGTCATTTGTTCTGAAAAGTTGAGGACGTGTGGTCTTAAATGAGACTCTACGTGAACTCTTAATTATTTTTACTGATTTTTAAATGCTTTTGGTTCATTCCTTGCTGGAAATCTTTTAGTTATCTTGCCAGTCTCGGGGACTGTGCTGTGAGATACTATAGCATATGATGGATGGAGTGCCCTTCCAAAAATACTCTGGATCTTGAATGCTCTCACGTTAGGCTTACTGGTAACATGGTGAAGATGGTAGTAGAAACACTGAAGCTGGACCCACATCTGATAAGACAGATGGTTTGAGTGAGTTCACGAGCATCAGTAGTTCCTCTTTCCCAATACTGACCAGCACCCTTAGTAAATACATAGTGATACTCACAAGTACACATAATTCATGTAGAAATGGAGTGGGACTTGGTTTGATGCATTAAATATTGTTAATAATGATTATCTCTGTTCCTCAAATAGAGGAACATTTGCCTTCATAGGAGCCGCAAAGCACTCAGTTGTATTTTTTGCAGTGTGTCATCTCTGGAGCAGACTTTACACTGTAGCTTAAATTAGTTGCTCTTTTACAAAAGTTCTACCATCCTCAAGTACCGTGTAGGGTAAGCTTTTAGAAATTATAAATATAACTCTTAACCTTCATTATTAAACAGTTATGAGTATACTCAATACTCAGCTGTGCCATTTTTCTGCAATGGAACTTTCTGACTCAATCATTATATTAGACTATGCCCTCTGAAGCTTTCATGTACCTGTGGTTGACCCATAATTCTGTCAACTTTTGACTCCTTAAGTACTGGTAACAGTTTCTCTTTGTTTCAAACCGTTTATGTTCCTGATGCTTGTAGATTGCTTCTGTTACTGCCAGGCGTGTTTAAAAGGATGTTAGTGAAACCAGCAGTTTTATTTCTTGGTCTGGATGCTTCTTTTCAAGATGCTGTTCTTCAGAGAGTCACTCTGTAAAATGAAACAAAAACCACAAAAGTATCTACTGTTGCAGTTTGCTTTTAACAGTGATTGATGGAGCAGTTTCTTTGAAGGTTATTACTCAGGGTTATATTTGTCTATTACTTAAATTTTTGTGTCTTTCTCCAGATGTATTTACATGTATTTTTTTTCACAAACAAGAATGTCACTTTCTAGTGCCTTCAGGTTTTGTAACAACATTGGTAATTAAATATGCCAATTCTTTACATTATAGGCCCTCTCTGGTTGTATGATGTGACTTTTCAGGCTCTTAAATCTATGTCTCTCATGTAGCAATTAGCTTCTGTAGCAGTACAGCATTGTATAAGCTACTGCCTCTCCAGAAGGTTTCTCTTGCACCCCTCAAACATTAGACTTGTGTTAGCCATTCCTTGAAATATAACTGTGCAGACACTATTATGATACAAAATTACCTGGTAATGCTTTGTACATACACTGTGACAGATGTCTAACAACAGCATGAAACCACATGTCTGTAAATTTTCACATACGAAAATGTAAATGTTCAAAAATTAATACCTTGCACCATGAAGCAACTGCAAGTGTTGATTTTGGCAGACAGATAAGTAAGTGGTCATTTTGTTTACTCTGAATTGTAACACAGATGAACTTTGTTACTGTTTAACTGACATATCCCCTTATATATTTTTTTTTAAACTTAATCTTTGTTTGCTTATAGATGCTGGACTAGAAGTGAAAGTAAAAGATCCTCCAAAAGGAATGATACCTCCTGGAACCCAACTTATTAAACCAAAAGCAGAGCCTCAGCCAAACAAGGTTTGGAGAACTAAAAAAAACCCAAAACAGACAGTTATGTTTGGGTGGGGCTTTATTGTTGTTTAATATATACTTTATCATATAATAATGCTGCAGACTTAAGGATATTTGCAGATCACTTTAACATGCTGAATGGAATGAAATTAATATACTGGATAAAATGAAACAAATTCAATTAATTTTTTTCTTGTACATGAGTTCATAAAACTGCTAGAAGCTCTACAGAAACTGCCTTTGCCTTAGCTTGTCAAAAAAACATTACACAGCTATTATTAAAGCCACAGACAAAATTTTGCCCTATTATTAGTTCTATTTCTTATATATTGTACTTACTGTGAATATAGTGGTGCACTAAATTTTACAAAAATAGTTTGTATTGTCATAAGCATCTTCAGTCAATATAAAATCCGTAACCAGTTTCTTTAGTATATTTTCCTTTCTTAGAGAATGGCATGATGATGTTTTTTAAAGGCACCTTTTTTGTATCTTTTGACATCCCTGTTTCACCTTATCCTTCCACCCTGAAGGACTAAAATAGACACAATAAAGCAAGTAAGCTGAAATGGGTGGCAGTGGTATGAGGAAAATGCCCAGATGAGGGAAGTACTTTACATTTCCTCTTAGATGCAAAGGAAGGAATATTAAATGAGAAGCTGAATGGTTTTTGTTTGTTTGGGGGTTTTTTGTGTGTGTGTGTGGAATAAACCTGTATTCAAAGATGCAGAATTCTGAAATTCCACAAGGTTGTCTTTCCTGTCCTACTGAAATTGGGAAAGTGGTTAAGAATTATATGGCTATAAAAAAGATCAAGTTTTTGACAATTGCTTACCTATGCAGTGCATCTTGATCTGGTTTTTTTTCCTAGACTTCAGGATAATCCAGAGCCAGTAGCTTTGTTGTATGGTTCCCCAGTCTTTAAAATGCATCCAAGCATCTGCTTCTATTATTAACAAGATTCTTTTTCCCTGCAGCCATGCCTCAAATTAAAAATAATAAATGTACTTTTAGTTTCAATGCAACATTTATCCTTCACTGGGTGTCTTTTTCTACTTTTTCCCCAAGAAGCTGCTTTCAGACTTTCTCTCTTCTCTTGGAAGGAAGACTTCCTGATTAATTCATTATCTTAATTAGAACTCCCAATTCCTTATGAGAGAGATTTATCTCACACAACTTAATGATCATCATATGTGTTGTTTTACTGTCCCCAGGTTGAAAGGATCTGATTTGATTTTAGATGAATTGCTGAACAGAAGTTCTGTTTTTCTTTTCAATTATTACAGTGGAAATTGGGGTGACTTGTTCATACATGATAACCCTGGTTGTCAAGGAACAGTCAAAGCACTTGACAGAAGTCAATCATCTGGTCTTCTGAGACATTATGTAGTGTTTAATCATCTCCTTGTGTTGTTCTGTGTGCATTGCTCATTTCTTGTTCCAAGATTTAGTCTCTTTGAAAAAGGAGTCATCTTTGTCCTGTATATGGTGTCTGTGGAGCATGCTGAAAAATTAATCTAGACCTTTCATGGTAAATCATTTAATCTGTCATCTTTCTTCTGTCTCATAATAAATCACATAACAAATCAGGATAATTCTTTGTGTATCAACAGCAGTATTGTAAGTAATGCAGCAAGGTAATAATTATACTGTGCTCCATGTTTCTGAAGCCAAGAATGCAGATTAGACATATATCAGTCAGAGACAGTCCAATATACCAAATCATGTTTTGCTGAGAAAAAGGGCTTAGCTGAGCTCTAAATGCTTCTTCATCATCTTTGTCAGCCTGAAATTACAGATAGTTATAACCAGGGACACTAACAGTGCATTCTCAGTGATGATCTTTTGTGTCCACTAGAAACACCAAAATATTTTGAGGCACTGGAACATTCCAGTTTTGTAGCCAAACATTACTTAAATTGCAATCTGAAAATGGGTACTGTGTTAGGATTTTATATGTGTGTTCTTCATTCTCTGTTATTTGAAGTCAGATGAAAAATTTGAAGGAGACTATGATAGTGATCTGTGTTCAGCCTGGGGTATATGACCCATAAGAATTGCTGCCTCCTATTAGCTGTAAAGCTTAAATTAATGAACTTGCAGGAAACTTCATTCCACATCCTATTGAGGAAAACATTATTTTTCAAGCTATGTGATGTTATTCAGGGTAGTTGGAACCAACTAGAAGAAAATGATCCTAATTCAACTAAATTTGAAGGTGCAATACTGGTACCAGAATGATTGGTCACTAACGTGTTTCTACCATTCTGACACAGCAAGTAGCTAGTATTGATTGCAAAACCAAAAAACAACCACCAAACCCAAAAGCTCTGCTGGGGTTGGTTTTTCTCACCCCTTTGTAGAAGATCAACCCCCTTGTTAAGATTGCTTTATCCTATAGAGCACCCCTTTCTGTTGCGTGACGTGTACCTCTTTGCAGATTTGTCAAATAAGAAAGCACAGCAATACAGCTCTTGACAATTACTGTGCACTGTAGGGATGATGTACATCCTAATTGCTAAGCCTTTCTGCCCTAGTCTGTTCTTCAGTTGGAATCCAGTTTGTGTATGCCCAAGGGAAGAGCTGTCTATGGAGGTGTTACAGAGTTACAAAACCACTGTGCTATACAGAAATATTCCTAGCAAAGAGGTGCTGAATCAGAAAGAAGACACAAGTGATAAAATTTTTCATGATTTCATGGTCAGAAATCAACATGAGAGAACTTACTAATTGTTTTTTATTGTATTGTCTGTCAGTGGATCTGATCCTTAAGCAATTTCTAGTTATAGGTTTAAGTGTTTTATTGACTAGTTAGGTTAGCTGTTGCAAAAGGGAAGAAGGCTCTTTTCAGGCCTGTGCCTACTCAAAATCTGGAATATGAGTTTTTCCTCAAAATGAAAGTTTTTAATCCAAGTTCTAGTCAACTGTCATAATCATTTTCTAAAATAACATGATGCAAGGATCCCCGATTTGCAAGACTTTCTTTTTGGCTTGTCTGTGTTTAGAATGCTGTCAGCAGTGATTCAGCTTTGTACTTTTACAAGGACCTTCTTAGTTTTGTCTGTTGCGAGATTCTAAGTATTATGAGTAAGAGGACTGTTAATAAGCAAAACCTTGCACATTTTGGAGTAATCTATGTATGAAATCTTTTACATGCTTCTGGTTTTGGGGTTTTGTTGATTTCGTTGGTTTTTTTTTTAAGTAGCCTCAGAATAAATATAATTTCTTAAATAATTTCTTTAGGGAAAAAGGGTTCATGCACTTAGCTTTCATTATGTATCACTGAGTTTGTTCCTTACACGTCATTCTGTGCTTTATGTTGTTACAGATTAAATGTTTATTTCCATTTATACTTCTATCACTTTTACCTGTGGAGTTTGAAAATAACATTTCAAGAAAATGGTTTTATACCATATGGATAAAATATATGCATCTCTGGTTTTAAGAGATCAATAGGATGGCTTACGTTTGTTCTCTATGGGACAAGTGCCTGATAATGTTTGAGTGGTAAAAAATATGATAGTGAATAACAAGTGGGAGATTTTGGTATGCTGTAGTAAGTCCAGCTAATAGCAAGGAGCCTCTGCTCTAACCTTCCTGTGAAAAAAAGAACAAACTATTGAAATAGCTAATTGAAGGATGAAGTAGAAAGATCATTTTATTTTCAAATGGCTAATTAAACTCTTTAGCTAAGGAAAATATCCAAATTTTGGTGAAAACGCTAAGTAACGAGAATACTATAGTAGCACAATTGAGAAATGGTAATCCCAGGCTGATCAGTTAAGAGAAATAATGACTTTTAAAATGCAAATCTGGTGAAATTTCCAGCAGCAAATGACATGTGCGTGTTAAAAACAACAGAAGCTTGTAGTGATTATTGTAGGGTATAACAGAAATATTTCCAAGTCAGTGCATGCTTACATTATTTTTTTTGGAACATTATAATTTTATTGATTATAGAAAAAAAGTGAAGTTATACACAGCAGCCATGGGAAGCTAGCAACAAACTCTTAAGACTGCTGTCTTGTCACTGGCATTTCAGAATCTGTTAATTCTATTTCTTTTTACTCTGAGAGCTCTGTTCCAATTTTTTTTTTCTTCCTTTCTGTCTGTCTTTGCTTCTCTTAGGTTCGCAAATTTGTGGCCAAGGACAGTGCAGGGCTTCGTATCCGTAGCCACCCTTCCCTTCAGAGTGAGCAGATAGGCATAGTGAAAGTCAATGGATCCATCACTTTCATTGACGAGGTAATCAATAAGACATTTCTATTGAAAATTGGGCTAAGATGTAAAGATAATTCATGCAAATAATGGGGTTTTTCCATGTTTAGATGTTGACATACACAACTTAAGATCATAAATTGCAAAAATCTAAATTTACTAATTTAGTTTTTCAAGCTGTCATTTCCTTTAATTTACTTACTTCAAGACATGTGTAACAAACATTTGAGACGGATACAAGGAAAGAAAATTCCTAGAATTCATCTTACAATAACACCTTAAGATGTAGCTTTTCACTACTTACTATTTCACTACTTACTATAACTCTACACAAAAATTGAGATGTCCTTCTCATTACATCTTTCATTTAGAGATCTGAAAGATCACTACTAGTGTGTTAGACTACTATGCATGTATTTTTCTTACAATATAACTTCATATGCAAGGAATATTTTTGGGATTTATCAGCAATGGAAAGTACCAGTCATACCAAGTTATACCAGCAATGGAAAAATGGAAAGTGGGGAATTTATAAAGCTTATGAAGGCTTGACTTTCTTTCCTCTTTTATTTCAAAGCAATTCTTATTACTGCTTGACCCAATTTAAATTTATCTTCACACCTTGACTTATAAAAAGATATGCTTCTCCATTGCTTTGGAATTCTGATTTCATCAATATTCCTCTTTACGTCTACTTATGTTGTATCAGCATTGTAAGAATCACTGCTTCTTTGCTGCTGTTGTCTGCCTGAAGTCTGTTAATCTTTGCTAGCTACAGAACAGTTACAGGAGGGCATGGCTCGTTCTTGTTGCTTGTTTCCCATAGATCCACAATGATGATGGTGTTTGGCTGAGGCTGAATGATGAAACAATAAAGAAGTATGTTCCTAACATGAATGGTTACACTGAAGCCTGGTGTCTGTCTTTTAACCAACATCTTGGCAAGAGCCTTCTGGTACCTGTTGACGTAAGTAAAAGGTGCCTTTGAAAAATATCCAAAAGTACACTCTATCCTCATTACAAGACTTTCTTTAATTAAGGCTGCAAAAAGGCCTGAGGTAAACGATATTTTAATTATCAGATACAACATTATACGTGTTTGCATTTTGGAGGGCTGCTGTGTAATGAGGGTGGAGTGTAGAAAGATATGAAGCTTTTTATGTTGAAGCCTCTTCTCCTAGAAGAGATACAGAAGTGCAGGGACTGCTATAACTAACAAAAGCAGAATAGTATTAGATTGTGGTCTGCACCAGGTGTTTCTTAAGCTAGCTAGGATTGTCTGTAAAGTGGTCCACTGGTGCCATGATTTCAGAAAAGGTTTGCAGCCTACAGTGAATCAATGTAATTGATGCTTTAAAAAAAAACCAGCCAAAAAAAAAGTTGTTTAGGCTCTGGATTTTGTGGATATTTTTTATGAGTTTCGTACCTGAATCCTTATCGCTTCATTAGCTAATCAGAGAATCCCAGGACTTCAGGACAAACATTGAATTTATAATTATAGTAAACATAATTTATTTGAATAACTTTAATGGTGATCATCATCACTACAAGGTTACACCTTTTCGGAAACGAACTGCACTTTTTTGAAAAATATGAAAGACAAAAAAAGAAAAACTATATTAGCTAAACCAATGTTTCTCAAAAGATTGATGAAAATGCAGGCCTTACTGGCTCATCTGTTTTCATGCATTCCCCTGAGTGGATGGTATCTTGTTTCCTTCTGGGCAGAATGTGAGAATCAGATCTAATTGATACTGATATTTAGATTTGATTTGACATCTTATCTGAGTGACCTGTGCTGCAATTGATGATAGTTGAGAGCTATTTCATTAAATTAATCATTGCAACCATTAATATCACCCTGTTCGTGTTTTTTGCTTATAGAAGAACTGAGATTTTCCCAGTTCCAGTGAAATTGGGCTATTTGCTAGTAGCTAAATCTGGAAATTCATAATACCCTATGGCTGTTCTGCCAGACACTGTTACATGATGTGAATAGGTCTTCTTGTCTACAAATTATTTGTTGATACATTTCTATTTATAGATTTCTTTCAATAGAATCCTCGTTTGGGAAATTATTTTAATTTTGCATTTGGGAAGAAAATTATTCCTGTACTCAGAAATCAGTCACTCAAATATGCCTGTCATTGCAGTGTTTTTCTAGTCTGTTGTAGAATATATGAAAACATGAAAAAAATTAGGCTTTGTTTAAAGTTTTGTCTTTATTTTTTTTTGCCTTAGAAATTGGTAGCCATTAGAAAATTACTATGTTATAATTTCATGAAATACTAATATTTCTGTGCAGTAGTTGAATTTTACCAGCTCAGCCATGGTAAAAGTAAATTCAACTTGACTAAGTAACTAATTTCAGTAAATAATATATCTAGATGGGTATTATAGAGTGGTAGATTTTCCTTAGTTGTGTGGTTCTTTTGTTTTGTTTTTTTTATTTGTTTGTTTAGCTAATCTTTAGTACCTTTTTACTTGTTGAAGGGAATATTTTTGAGCTCAGCAGTTGTCTGTGACTAGCAAGAACTTAGTGGTTGGCATATTTCATACAGCTCTGTTATACATGTAGCTCTAGAGAAGAGCATATACTATGCTCCTTGAGAGAAGCCTGAAAAGAAATCTCTGCCATGAATAACTGAACATTCAATCTTGACAGTATAATTTTGAGAATTCAAATTTCATATGAATCAAATGTGAAGAACAACATTCAGTTTTCAAGCATTTAATTCTCTGTGTCTATACAGTTCAGATAAAAGATTCTCTCTTGGTTTTGGGGGTTTTTAAACATTCTTGTGAATTAGTTTTGTTACCATTTAGACTATTAGAAGCAGTTAGATATGCTTGGTTTTGTTTAAGATTGACATCACATATCTTGACTGACACAGGTTAAAAGTCACATGCTTTCTTAACTTCTGCTCTATAAGTGGCAGCCAACATAGCAAAAGGATTATGAAAGCAATCTTAAAAACAATGCAGGCATTGGCAAAAAATATGTTTTGAGATACTATCAGAGAGGTTTCCTTGCAGGGCTCTCATTTTCAGATTTTTAAGAGGACTTAGCATGTCCTGAAACTATTTGATTTCAGTATGACAATATACAAGCAGTAAGATTTGCTGTTTTGATTCATAATAATAAGAGGAAAAAGGAAAAAAGGAGTTCTTTAACATTTTATTTCTTAAAGGGGACAAAACATAAGTCAATGTTCAGAGGCTGACTTTTGAATGCCTTAAGTCTTTACAGCATGCTAGTCTAGCATATACTGCTTTCTTACTAGATACTTCCTCTGCTTAGGTACTTCTTTCTTGGTAGGAAGTCTTAAAATCTTTATGGTGATTACTAGCTTGAAAATATTTAAAATTATACTTTTTTTTCCTCTGAATTGTCCAAAAAAAGGATGCTTGTAAGTTGTCAAATTTGATTCTTATGATCCTCTAGAGATGAATGACTTATGTCAAAAATGATATTCAATTAAGTAACAAATGCTAAAATTTTGTTAGATTAAATTGTGATATAATTCATATCTGCTCAATCCTGTTGTTTTGGGTAGCTAAATGACACAATGAGCAGAATGCAATAAAAAACCCTGTGATTGTGTGAGATTTTTTTGGAGCCAAGCTGTTCAACCACTTTTAGCCTAAAAGGAAGATTGGAGAAAGTCTCTTGTATGATTGAAAATGCAAAGGGAAAATCAAATGCCTAAGTTAGGCTATGTATTCCCTGTTCAAGCAGATGTCACATCTACTAGACTCCATTTTCCATTTAACTCTGAGTGTGAAGACTTGTCATCTCCAACAGCATTGCTTTTTCATGTTTAAATATACAGGCTTTTAATAATCAATCCCTTAAATAAATAAAAAATTATCAGTACATTTTGGAAAATATGTAAAAACTCCTTAAAAAAAGTTCTAGTTAGTCTGTTTCTTCAGTGTATTACGGAACAGTGAGCAGGTAGAAAACAGTACAGGTTCTTGGTGAGTTAATTGTGACCTCTTTTCATCTCGATGTATATTTTGTATCTGCATTTTATGTATGTTTATTAGCATTAACTACATACACGGAATATTGTGGATCTCATAAATCCACTTTCTGTATTTTTATCAGAGCTATTAAGATAAATGATCACAGGAAAGGAGAGATCTATGGTAGTTACCAAAGTTTTATTTATTTGAGGCCTTGTCATTTACCTTCTTAGAAAGTCTCCAGATCTTCTTCTGTTGCTCTTGTCCTTTCACAAGGAATTGCTTTACAGCCCCTGATCTGAAATTGTGCATCCAATCCATTGTAGGTAATATAATTATGAGATTCTGAATTTAATAGATCATGATTTTGGATAAGCTGTTTCCATCTCTGTAGTTATCTTTCCTTCTGTCTTATGGCGTTCTGGTATCTGTTTTTGAAGAAATACTTGTAAAATTCCTTATGCAGACAGTTATTTATTCATGCTTACACATGTAGTAGAAAGGCACAATGATACAAAACAGTGCACACTAGGAAAAAATAGAAATTTATCTTGGTCAACCTCTGGAACTTGTCTTTTAAAAAATCACTTTCTAAGTAAGTTCTCATTAGTTCATTTTAAATTTAAATATAAAACTTTTTAAGAAGGAATATTGTATCCTGTCCAGCTACAGGATTACGTTCCCCAGCCACCACAAGCAATCAAGGATTGAGAAACTGCAAGTTTTTCAAACCATTATTGCAATGGAAGAAAGTATCAAAATTGTTATGTAGGCTCCAGTGCTTGATCACAACCTCAGAAAGCTGAATGTACACTGAAGTACATTGACAAAATATTTCTACCATTGTTTTAAGCATGATGGAAAGAAATTGGAGAGTAAGACTATGTTGGATAAAACATCAAGATAGCTATTTAAGATAAATCTTGGTTTTGAAAAATAATAACTGAGGTTTTAAATATTTCCTAATGGTCCAATGATTTTTCATGGCAAAGCAATTTTTTTAATTTCTGAAACAAAATTAATTGAATAATTTATTTGAATAACTGTAATGGTGATCATCATCACTACAGTTTAAAGGTTACACCTTTTTTGAAAAATGTGAAAGACAAAAAAAGAAAACCTATATTAGCTAAGCATTAGCTATAAGCATTATCTAAATCTGCAGGTGATAGCATAAGGGCTAAATTCAAAGCTGCTGTCTAGTAGATTCTTCAGAATGAAAACTTGGTTTTCAAATAGATGCCTGATCTATTCATCTAGGCTGGTGTGCAGTGTTAGAATAGCCAGGAAATTCTCAAACTCACAGAGCAAAGGAGAGCTTCTAGTTTGATCTTCTTGGTTCTTCTGAGCCAGCATGGTCCCACTTCACTGCTGTTGGTTTCCCTTGTGTTTTACACATAGAGCTCTATAATGTAGAAAAATAGGTCTTTGAAATGATACCTAAATATTTTAGGTATGGGTAGTCCATGTTTCTCAGTGGAAGTCCATCAGAAAAAAGGAGATGTGCTGCAAAGTAATAGAATCAGACAGTTTAAGTAGGTTGGATGTCTATGAAGTACACTCATTAGGCATATGGAGGCTTTTTATAGTTGCTCTAGTTTTATGCCAAATTGATAAGCTTTTACTTTGCTTATCTTCCTAACACCTTCCCCACCTTCCCAAGTGCCCCAGAGCATATATCACTAGTACATTGCTACCTCCCTCAGTTCTGGGTAAAGGTACTCAGTTCTAAAGAAATGCTGGTGTTGTGACAATTTCCCCCTTTTTGTCAAAATGGGAGATAATTTGTATTATTGAACCTTGATGTATGCAAGCAGTATATAGTAGATCATTTGCTTCTATCATGTGATAAAAGGGTAGATTTTCTTACTTGTAACATATTAGTGCTTTTTCAAGGATTACAGGTGAAGCATGCCAAGGATGTTTTGTACTTTTTTTCTGCCTGAAAGGATTTACTGCCTTAGCTACTGTTAAATTTTAATGTGGCTGCTGAGCAGGAATTTCATTTGGTTCCCATATCAGGATGAGATGGGGAATTAGATTTTGATACTTCTGTTCATATAGATTAAATGGGTGCTTTGTCAAAGGGATTCCATCATGAATATCATAAATATGATTATTAGTACTGCTATATGTATACTATTCTTTCATTTCAGTGGAAATTTCTTTGAAATGAGTAGAAACTAGCTTATGGAGAAAAGATGCCTTCTTTTTCATGTTTTTCAATTATTAAAAAATGCTGTCCTCACTGTTTTGTGGGAGGAAAAATTAAACAGAACAGCAGTGCTTATTTCTGTAGTGTGGGCAATTGGTTATAAAATCAGTGATGTCTCTCTGGGTTTATGATCATTCATAACAAACTAGTTAATGCATTGTATGTATTACAAAACTAATGAAATCTCAGCAATTGTTCTCCATATAGCACTGAAATTTTTGGCTCTGGTAAAAAGTATGATTTTGATGTGCAAACTGGTGAAATCATGCTGTGCAAATGAACTCCTTTCAGCAACAGAGAGCTTAGCCCTTCTGCATCTCCTCAGTTCTGACTGGGTGACTAAAATTCTGTGTGCACTTGTCCTGCACTGGTTGAAATCATCTTTCAGAACAGGAGACCATCTTGCTAGAAAACTGCTTTGTGATGGGACCAGCTATTGTTTCTTTGTAACAGAAAGGAGATTTTTCTGTACATGAAGTCTCAAGCTTTTTAAGAGATGTCTGGCTCTGAATTTCAGTAAATGGCATGACACACTACATCCATTTTGAGCTTTTGACATACTAAACTGTTTTCTGTGTAATGGATGATTTGCCATGGTGAGCAATGGACTCAAGTGACTTGATTAGGAAAACAAAACTTTCCCCTTTTGCAAAACATTCTACCCGTAAATTTACTTGAGGAGAAAGTGTGCATTGTAGTACCTTGAGCTTCTTCCTCCAGTATTTCTTTGTTCCCATTTCTTTGTTGATATGTGTCTTTTTTTTTTCAAACTTTGTTGCTCAGAATGTCTTTAATGCTAGCCAAGGAGTAAGGGATTTGGACTTTTTTTCATGGACTTCCAAAGCTTTACCCCCTAAGGTGAGTTAAATTACAGGAACACTCACACTGTATCTCATGTTTTCAGAATGCACCTTATGACTCAACTTTATGCTAAATATTCTTTGAAGTCTGTTTTACTGTGAATTATTTTTATAGGAAATAGCAGATTTGCATTCAGTGCTGTATCTGTGTCTCTTTCTTCTAAAATGAGAAAAAAATACCAGGGCAGATTATTGAATTTTTATTTATTCATGAGTGGCATTCTCCTTTTTTAACAAACCAAATCAGAAATTCAGAGAGGTGGCCTATTAACATAGAAATCCTTCATTCTCCTTTAGGGCAGAATTTACTGGTAAAATTTTTTCTGTTATTGAAGGCTCCACATAAAATTGCAGTATCTAATATGATGATATTTGTATGACTAAGGCCACAGATATTTAATAAATACTCTGCCCAGTCTTAATGGTTTTTAAAAATTATTTAATTCTAGGAACAAGCTTTGTAATGTACAGTTGAGCTGTTTAAATTGACTGTAGAAGTGCTTCTCTAAATACCAGATCTGTAATGTTTTGAGATGGATTTTTTTTTTGTATGAACTTTATAAGGAAGACAGTAATGTGTTGTGCATTTTGGTTTAGAGTTTTTAAAATTTGTTTGTCCACTGATTCTTTTTCCCCAGAACAGCAGACTTCATTATGTCAAGATCTGAACAATGTTTAATTTTTTTTTCCTCAAACCAGTTTACCTCAGCTTGCATTAACTTGCTTGTAATTGACATAATTACATAACAGAATCATTTTTGTGTAAAGACTTCTTGAAAAAAACAGCTTTATTAGTCTGGACACAGTGCACAGACTTCCATACCAAAAAAAGCTGAAAACATGATAATTAAAGAGATCATTTGCATTCATTTAAAAGTAAATAACATAGCCAGAAGTTTGGTTTAAACCTAACAAAAAAAGTATTCTTTCTCACAACAGGAAGTGAATTCCTGGAAGGTGTTTTTATGGGAAATTGTCAAGGCAGAAAGTATCAGCATATTCAGAAGTAATTAAATTTCAAGAAACTAAATTCATAAATAAACACTAAAGAAAATAGGATATACCCCATAACATCCATAATAAAAAGGTTTTAAATGCTGTTGTTATATAAGAGACAGACTGGTAGTAAAGGTTTTTAAGCTGCTTCTAAAGAGCATCTCCTGTTGCTGAACACAGTAAGACTGAATGAGGTGGACCACAAGCTTCATCCAGTAGGATGTTATGTAGTTTGTAACTTTCAGATGTTCCTTTAAAAGCACCTATGACTTTCAGTATAATAAAACTTGCTCCTGCTTCTTACTGGCATTCTTCTGAAATAAATACACATTTGTTGCTCCCATCCCTTACTATTTTTTGTACAAAAGCTTCAGTTAAGCTGTTGCTGGCTGAAAAATCTATGCTAATTTTTCTCTTCTTTTAGTAACTACAACTTTTTTTGTTAAGAAATTTGAGGTGTTTTCTTCAGGCTTGGATATATATTTCATTGGCAAATAGTAGAGGTGAAATAAATTTGCAGGCCCCTTTTATTGCCGTTGTGGAAACAATAAATACACACTAATACTTACACGTGCATTTAAAAGTCTATGGTATTGCTGTTCTTCTGTGTCATAATTTTGCCTTGACTCTAAATTAACAATATATTCCAAACATGAAATCAAAAAAGAAACAGGTCGTATGGAGAGAGATAATACTGAAATTCCCTTTCCATAGCCACAGACTTTAACAAAATTTCACAAATAGAACAGGAGGAATGAATGTGTATCCTGAGAAATGTCAGTGAAGATGAAGGTTTAGTGAAAGCAGTTAGATTAATTTGTATCTAATGTTAGATATGAGCTATTATTTTTATATAAATGGTTACATTTATGCCACTTTTGCTTTAAGAGTAATGTCAGGAGTAATTCGATTAATGGTAGCTAGTTGTTCAGGGCTGCACACTAAAATTAACAATGTAACTAGGATCTCCTTTAGCTTTGAAATTCACCTTTTGTAGTCTTGAAGTATTTCTTATCTCAGTGATTTAAAGGTGATATTAATAGGTTTTATTCTGTTCTGTTTTGCCTTTTTTTTAATTTCTCAGGAATCTAGGTCTAATGCTGATGATTTTTTCAAAGACCTAAATTCACACTGCCCAGGGGAAGCAGTGATGCAAGAACAAGACATGCCATTCCTTCGAGGTGGACCTGGAGTGTACAAGGTAGTGAAGACTGGCCCATCAGGTCACAACATCAGAAGCTGCCCTAACCTTAGAGGTATCCCAATTGGAATGTTAGTTCTGGGAAACAAAGTCAAGGCAGTAGGCGAGGTATGGATCCTTGTAGCTTCAGTTCATGTCTTCATAGATACCAGTATATAACAGTAGTAACCGCAACAAAAGAATCTGCCTCTATACAGGTTTGCTTTTCCCCTCCTCGTGATAAGTACTGGCCTTTGAACTTGGTTGATATTATAACTACTAATGCAGTCATGTCTTTTTGCCTTCTTGCATTGATTGGAATAATGTTAAAATTGCACTGCAATTACATGTGCTTGTTTATTTATTTATTTATTTCTGTTACAGTATTCCTTAAAAACTTGTCTTTCTTGATCTGCTTTTTTGTCTTATTCTTTGAAAGAATTCTGTTTCATTGAAAAGTGTTTTCGTAAGACCTAACCATTTAACTAATTCCTGTTTCTCTGTACTGATTGTACTAATTTATTTAGTTGCTGAACTATTGTCATGGTTCTGGGTTGTCCAGTTGTGGTGTTTTATGGTTAAGAAGGGCTTAAGGATGAAGTGTGTCATGCTATTTCCTAAATATAATATCAGGAACAAAATTAATACTCATAAAAACCTTTCATGTATATCTTGGTATTATAATTCTCCTGTTGCCACCATCAATTAGAAAGTATATCTTGGTGACTATTTCCTTTAAGTTTTTATTTAGGCTTATGTGGACTTACTGAAGTTGTGGTGTTGGTGTTCTGCATCTTCTGAACATAAATGGGTCTAAAATGTTTGGAATAACTCCTAAATGTAAATGTGCCATAAGTAGGTTTGATACTTCATTCTGCCTCAGCCTGTGGCCTTAATTTAAGAAACTTTTTTTTAACATTCGCTTTGTAATCGAAAGATTGAAATGTAATGTTTTTTCCAGATTCTATAAGTAGTTTCTGAATCATACTACTGAATCATTTGAGAAGTCAATAAATTTTGCTTTTTTATGTGTGTGCATCAGGTGACTAATTCAGAAGGTACGTGGGTGCAAATGGATAAGAACAGCATGGTAGAGTTCTGTGAAAGTGATGAAGGCGAGGCATGGTCATTAGCTAGAGACAGAGGTGGAAACCAGTACCTCCGACATGAAGATGGCAAGTGGTTGTTTTATTTTTTTAAATTAACTTAGGAAAAAATAAGCAGTCTAAATGGGAGAAATAAAGAAGGGTCTGAGTTTTGAACAGGTATAACATTAGCTTATGTATTTTCACTTGAGTTATGTTGCACAGTCGGGCTTAAAAGTTGTTTATAAACATTCTTCAAATGATTTTTTTAAAAAACAGTTAAAATGTTTCCATATGATTTCTTCTGTACTGGTTATGGTTACAGACAATCATTTTAACCATCTTTTTTTTTTAGCTCTCTGTGTGATTTTTATGCATCTGTTTTCCAAAAGGTGTCTTCATGAAAAGCTTTAACCTCAGCAGTCATATTCTGCTGGTGTTTTTAGGTCACGCTTATTGTCAGCCTCGTATTTGTTCATTTTAACAGACTCTTCGCCATTTTTCTGGTTTTGACATTTGGTGCTGAAATTCGTTTCACATATAGATACTCTAACAATTATCATCACATTACTCTATTAGAACAAGGTGATTCTTTGCTAATATATAATTATTTTCTGTAGACTGTTGCAGCTTGACTTTCAGGTATAAAACCTTCTGCAAAGAAGGGAAGGAGCTTTTCATTAAATATATAAGTGTTTACATAATACTTTAAACACTTCTTTAGAAGTCATAGCTTTTGTATTTTTATTTGATAATGTAAAGTTCTGAGGTGCTCGAAGAGCCCAAGTAGATTCCACAAACTAAATAATTGTGAATTGGAACAGTACCTTGTTGAAAGCACATGTATTCAATAATAGGGTTGATAAATTCATTATTTTCTATTTTTATACAGGGTTGCTTGCTTTTCCAGTAGAAAATAAGTTTTCTGAAATTAATAAATAAAGCAGTGTGCAAAAATTTCCATTCCAGGGTGCTTATTTTGAGAAATACATTTAAGTAACTGGACAGTATTTTGCATTTTTAAGTAGTCTTTTCATCTTCAGTAATTGACCTATTATTTAATATCATCTTAAATTTCTCAATGTGTGTACTCTAAGAAAGAATTCACAAATCAGGAAAACTTTAAACAAGACACTTTTTGAAGGTGTGTCTTCAGATTCTTGACACACTGTTACTGAAGGACATCTTCAGATAGAGCATTGCTCTCACAGAAAAAGAGAAATGCAAGTTCCAGGCTTTGAGGACAAAACTCTGTAGTAGGATTTCTGCATACAGATCATAGAAATACCATCTTAGAAACTTTCTGATATGAATCCCATGCCTGAGTATACATTTTTAATCTTTTCTGGATGTGTATCTTTTTACAGGTAGGATGAAAATGGATATCTCTTGTGCATCTAGCTAAAGTAGTTTAATCAGTTGCAGTGCAATTACTGAGATTTTTCAATCTGTTCTAGGTTCCTAGTCCACCTCAGTGCCATGTAAAACTTAATATGCTTAAGCCATATCTGAAGGTTGTTTTAAACTGATAGTTTTTATTTGCCGTGAAATTATTGAGAAATAATTTATCATCAGTTTCAATACTTTTGCTAGAGGGAAGTAATAAGGATTTGCAGGAGCTCTAGCTAGATTTGCAAATGTCTGGTTTTTTATCCATGAATAGCACTTCTTTCACATTGCATTCATATTTTCATTATTTAATAAAATTATAATTAAATACCCAAAATGAGGTAGGATTTCTGTCAGAGACAAGGCAAAAGTCTGAATAACTCAGTCTGTAGCCAGGTATCCAGTTAAAATACTAGAGCAAGATCTAGAGTAGCCTCTGGTTAAAAAATTCTAGATGCTTTCTTTTATAAACTGACTTCAAATTTCCAGCTTTCTCCCTTATAATTTGTTTTTAACTTGAATATGTTATGTAAAGTTTGTACTCCGAAATGCAGTTTGTCCTGAAATGCATTTTTTTAAAAATTACTTTTTGAAGAGTTGTGATTTTTGTTTTGTTTAATTCATGTTAATTTTGGTACATTTACAAGAAAAAAAAATTTCAAGGTGCCAGCTCAAGCTTTTAAACCTGCATTTGGGATATTTCTTCTGAATGCTTTCTTATTATCGTCAGTTGGAATGGTATTTTTGACCACATTAAGGCAGTAATTTCTCTGTAAATCTAAATAGTCAAATGGATTCTGTCTCATTTATTTTAATTCTGCTGTAGTTTTGAATGTTATTGAACACTCTAGGTTAGTTTGGTTTGGAGATTGCTTTGCTGTCATACAGAAAGCAAAATCATGGTACTCATTTACAGATTCAAATAAATCTGTCAGGAAAAAATGCCCCATGAACTGTCGTGGTAGCCAAAATTAAATGTTGATTGACTCCGAGTTTGCCACTCTGAAAACTATCCTTTCTGCACTTTGGCTTTGTCGAAGGGATTTCAACAATTGCTGTCCAAAGAATAAACACTGCTGAATGATGTTACTGGAAAAAAACTAGTGTCAAATAATGGCATAGCTAGCAGCCACTCAGTCAAACGAAAAACAGTCTACATAGTATTAAGTCCTTTGTCTTTATATTTTAAGAGCATGAGTTTTGAAGAACAGGTGTGGGTTTTTTTATTGGTGGAAATAAATATCACTCTTTTGCTCTGTGACTCATTTTTCTAATGTAAATCTATTACTAAGAGTTCTAACTCCAAAGTGATGTGATTTTTTTACAGAGCAAGTCCTTCTAGATCAAAATGTGCAGACTCCTCCCCCAAGTCCTTTTTCAATACAAGCTTTCAGTAAAGGGACAAGCTGTAGTAACGGACAAGGGTTTGATTATGGCCTTGGAAATAACAAAGGTATGTTTTTGCACTCATATTTTTTTTTAATTATGTCTGTCTTAACTTTGCTTATACTTTATTACTCATTTTCTGCTTTTCTAAGCACCACAGGTCCTCTCCAGAGCAGTGCTGTAATGAATTGCATAATGTTAAAACTGCTTTTTTCTCTGCTTTTGTTTCACTCAGTCTAAGTATTCTGTATAAAAAGGATCAACAAAGATTTGAAAGTTAGTTGCGGATTTATGTAGCAGAGAACTGAAATGCTGAAATAAGAAATACATGTAAAAAAGGATTAGAAAACTATTTGATTTAGAAAGCACATGTTTTTAAAAAGTCCGGAAACACTTGTCATCTGTCATGATAATTTTTTTAAGTGCCTTTAATGGGTTGACATGATGAAACATGCCATTTAAAATTTGTTGTGAAATTATAAAAAGAAGTTGTAAAACTGAAGTTACCTTTCAATCACATGGATACCAGTTACAACTGCTGGGAAATAAATAAAATCTATTTTCTTTTACTGATATAAAATAATTGTTTCTTTTCACCATGGTTTATTTTGTTGGCAAAATCTAAATACATTATATAGAAATATATATAAAAGCCATCTAAATAAACTCAATCTGCATGCCTTCTGTTCATTTCTTGGTTAGTTCTAGCAGATTTAATAATACAGAAGGGATTTTCCTTGAGGCAGAGGTTCTTGAGAAATATTCCTGAAACATGGAGCTCTGTCATTGTATTTTTATATTGCTATAGTCTGTGCCACTACAAATGGGGACCTAAGGTGTGCTATGTGTTTTTTAGCACCAACATCTATTTCGTCATGGTATCCTAAATAAAATAACCTAAAACTTATTTTAAAGGAGAAAAAAATAGGAAAATAATTATTCCTAAATAGTCTAACAGCATGAAATAGTTTTATATCATTTTACAGTGTAAAATCATTTTACTGTGTAAAGAGTGGTTCATACCTGTCCATGCGTTGTTATAGGAAACCCTCTTTTTTGGACAAAGGCTAGATAAACATTTTCCCTTTGTTTTATAGAGCCTTTTAAACCTCCTTTTCCCAGTTCATCCATACTCATTTCAGAGTAATGGTGGAACCCCAAAAGTGGAAGTATCTAAGATGTGAGGCAGTATCACAGCTTGTCTCTCAATGTCTATTATGTAACAGTGCAGAAATATTATCTGTTCGTTTTACTGCAGAAACATATTAAGACAACAATTTTTTTCTTCTCTGTTGTCCAAAGATAAAATCTTAGAGAGGAATATGCTATGTTAACATGCATCCTGATTTCTGAAGACATTGGGATTCTCTTTACTATACCTTATGCAGTTTCAAAGGTGTTTCTTTGGGATAATACAGTCACAAAACATTTGGAAGCTACTCCTGGCATTGAATTCCATACTATTTTGTATGCATTATTTTCTCAACATGCCCTCAAGCCGTCATGTTTAGTGTGAATGAAAAAACTCAGCTACATGACTTTGTTCAGTGTACTGTATTTCCTTCTGAATTACCCAAGAGTGGAGAGTTGTTGGCAACTATATTGAAAGAATAATGCACTTACTTTCCCAAAAATAGAATTCTTCAACTGTGCCATTACTTTATATGCAGACTTTCTGTATTCTCAGGTCTAAGAAGTGTTGAGTTTTGAGAAAAAATTAAAAAATGGAAGGCACAGGCATGATCTCTTAGGGAGATTTCTAAAGGAAGCACTTCTTTTGGAGGAGCTTGTTTGTTAATAGTACTTCTGTAGAAATGCCCTAGTTTTGATGAAAATTCAGTCCCATCCAAGAGCGCTTCAAAATGTCTAATCAGATGTAAAGATCCCAATAATAGGTGTGTAGTTTTACGGTAGGTAATAGTTTCCGGCTGTAAAACTGTTAATTTTAGGTTTACAGTATTACCTGTAAGAAAGAAGACTTGACTTCCACAAAGAATGTGTCTGATTTAGCTATGTCTTCTCACTTCTAGCTTTTTATATTACAGGCAAGTTTTTAACATTCCTCATGGGATTGGCCCTACCCACCTCCGTATTTGATTGTTGTGGGCAGATGATTTTCAACTTCTTCTCAGATTTTCTTCCCTTTAAAATAATATTAGGAGTTAGGCATGTTACATTTAAGAAAAATAATGTAAATCACAGAATGGCTGGGTTTGGAAGGGACCTTAGAGATCCAAACCCTCCTAGACCAGGTTGTTCAATCACTTCTAGGTTTTTGAGGTAGGAATGATTGCTGCTGAAGTACAGATTCCAGTAGTTTCTAGGTATGCTACTTCCAAAACAAATAAATTTGATTCATTGATTCCTGTAGATAATAGTTTAGAAGGGTATTCCAGCTATTTTCTGGTATTTTTGTCTTCTTATTTTTTAACCCAAAATATCAAGAAAATAAATTTAACATAGGAGTTCTTAGGTAATACTGGGTTTGATACATCTTCTGGTCTTTCTCTAATTCCCTAGAAAGACAGTTGATAATAATCTGAAAATTCTGTAAATTCTGTGAATTGTAAAGTCTGTGTTAGCTGCTAAAAATTTTTACTAGGTTTTCCACAATGCGGTCAGCATTACAGGAATTTGCAGAATAAAGTGACATTGTTAGGATTTGTCTGGTGGTGGTTCAAATCTGAGGTTCTCTCAAATTCTTGGTATCTCCTACCTCATTTTACTAAGTATACTTCAAGTTACAACATGGTGTGGCCTTCTTACTGAGGCGTCATGTATTTCTAATGCTCACATAGAGTTTTTTGAAAATTGGCATTCAGAAATTACAACTCTTGTTTTTAACATGCTATTTTGTTGAAGGCCTTCATTTGCCTCACAGCAAATGTAGGTAGTTCTTCAGAAAAACAGTTGCAGTTCTTGAGTGGTACTTACAGATTTTTTAAATTTTAATTTTTTTAAATTACCTTCAATCTGACCTTCAATCTAAATCTGAAAAACAGAGTGACAGAATACTTAAAAAAATATTTGCAAAAATGAGCAAATATTTACTGAAGCGTTGGCACAGAAATACATTTGCCAAAGCCTAATTACATGTTAGCTTTCCCTTCTCATCAATTTTTCTAATGTTTTTTCTGCATGTACTGTTGCATGTGTGTATTATTGTAAATGCTAGGGATTTCTGGTTTTTTTCGTTGGCTGCTCTTCATTTTTTAGCAAGGCAAATATAAATCTCTATTTTGAAATGTTTAAAATAATTGCAGTAAAATATCCATGATCCTTAAAAAATAGTAATTTTATTGCCGTGCATGGAGTGATATTTTTATGTTTAGCCACAACCAGAGTCATATGTGGCTAAATGAAGTTTATGAGCTTTATCTATTACCATCATTTAAACTTTGAGTACCATTTTACTCTGTCTTTCTGGAGAATGACAGGTAACAGGTTGTAGTTTTGACTGTTTTGCCCACTACAGGTGACCAACTGAGTGCCATACTGAATTCCATTCAGTCACGGCCAAATCTCCCAGCTCCTTCCATCTTTGATCAAGCTGCAAAACCTCCCTCTTCCCTTGTCCACAGTCCATTTGTGTTCGGACAGCCCCTTTCCTTCCAGCAGCCTCAGCCACAGCTTCAGAGTAAGTTTGTCAGCCTTACCTGCCTCATCAGTCCGTTTCTGCAGCTTTGACATTGCTGTTCTCAGTTGCTCACCAGCTACTTATCATCCCACAGTGCACTTTTCTGGTTTTGTTTTTTTAAGTTTTTCATGATTCAGAAGCATGTGAGGTAATGCTCCCAAAAGAAGTATACTTGTTCAACTTTAATTTTTATATCGAGAGTATTTTGGGTTTGTATGTGTTCTTCACTGTAGACAAGTCATGAAGTGCATTTCCAATGTTTTATGCAGCTCTGGTTTATAATTAAGGTAAAGATTTCATGTAGTACAAAGTGTTGGTAAGTCTTTAAACGTCAAAAATGCACTGCAGTAAGTACATGGGTATTAACTTTCCTTACTTCCTAAATTCCTGTTTTTGTCGTTGCTCCTAACTTTAGGGATGTAGCTGGACAGTGGGAACAACTTGGTGCTACTCATAAGAAATGTTTTGTTAGTTTTCTGTTGGGTGCTCACAGGATTGGCATGGTAATGAAAGTTTGCTTGTTGAGGTGAATACCAGCTAACCTGATTATTGATGGAAGGACAGGAAACTGTTTTGATTAATGAAAACAAAAAGCTCAGCATTCATGATGGATAGCTGATACTACACTAAATTCTCCCTTACATGCAGAACAGTTACAGCACAGGTCACAGGAATACTAGTTTATCCCTGTCTCCCACAAATTTTCTCTCTGAGGTGCCTCAGCTCTTTCTTTGGGACCCTGTTAGTCAGTTCAATGTCTGAGTATATGCAGTCCTGCATCTCCCCAGCTCAGTTTATTGAAGTGGCAGTGAAGTCCTTCATGTGAGAACTAAATTAAGATTTCTAATCTGCTTTTACAAGGACTGTCAGAAATATTTTGACTGCAGTCTTCTGTAGTTTTGCTGGACTTACACTGACATCCTGAAAGAAGAATATTCCAAAGTGTACTCAGATAGAACAGCTGATTGCCAGTGGTATCAGCACACCCTCATTGAGAATTTGTCAAATATTTATTCTTTCACATCACTTTCAGGAGTTTTTTTCTACTGTTCAGAGAGGTAAAATCAGTTACTCAGCTTCTCATCAAAAATAACCCTAATTGTCTTGTTTCAAATTTCAGATGATTTGTCCTTAAGCATTTAGACCTATATTGTATATGAAAACAAAAGCATCATTTTTGACTGCCCAACAAGATCTTGTTCAATGGATTTCTCTGTCCAAGACGTGTAGATAAACTGTGTTCAATAAGCTACATCCATGTTTTGTGTTTTAATAAGGATCCAATTCAAATGGAAGCCTTTTTTTGTGAGGTAGGAGGGGAGCACTGGTGGTCTACCAAATAAAAAAAATGATGAAACTAGAAAATTTTTTCAAATTTGTGTCTGATTTTGGATCTTAGTATAAGGTCTCAGCCGATTTGTTTATTTGCCTTTCCAAGTGGGCAAAAATTGTCAACCTGAGCTGGTGTACTGCTGCACTGTCTGTGATACGATACAAGGACTTTTTTTTTTTCAAACAGTTTATTGCCCAGTGTCAGGTTTGATGCAGATAATGTAAACTATTCATAAAGGAGAGAAATACTAACATTTTTGTTTTCACAAAATTTAAGAATAATATGGGAAAATTTTTCATGTGTAAACTTCCTTAGACTTTTGCAAACTTTTTCATCCTCCATTTGCAAGTTCATCCAAATTCAGCATATTGTCAGGGATGCCTGTAATACTATATTCATATACTTGCTCATTTAATAGTTTTATGCAGTTATATTAGAACTGTAACAGAAACTAATTTTAATTCATTATTTCTAAATCGCTTTATAGCTTCCTGTTACCAAACATGTAATTAAAAGTTAAATCCATTAAACAACATATCTTAAGAGTCCATATCAAGTTAATTGAATTTTTGCCCTAGTTGCTTATTTTTAGGCTCCAATTATGTTCTCCATCCTTAAGTGCTTCCTGCAGTAAAGTTAGATTTTAAAATTAAAATTATGCTTATAGTCAATATGCTGTTATATTAAATGGACTAAAGATAGTCTAATACTTAAAAAAGTTATGCCAGCCTAGATTTCCCTGTCTGCAGAGGTTATATACTAAGTACCAATCTTAATTGCAAGTCAGCCTAAATAGTTCAGTCTACTATTTACATTTTCTTTTCTTCCTCAGATATCTCTACCTCTGGGGAGAAATTTGGTTTGGAATCATAATTCTGAGGAAAGCTAAGGATCCTGCTGAATGCTTTCTAGAATTATTTCCTTAGTTTAGATTTTTATAATAGGAAGAAAAATCTTGATGTGATATAAACATACTTGGTGCTGGTGACAGATTATAGTTTTTCTGAGAAGCGTTTGTAGGTAGTTGGTTTTTCAGGAGATTCTTCTGTCCTTAAGGTTTGGTTTGCAAATTCACTTAATTCACTTAAGGGAGAAGGAAAGGACTTGTCACAACCTTTTATCCTCCAACAGTGTCTGCTTATTTTTTTCAGAAATACTACAGTTTGGGACAATCACCTCCTCAGATATGATGCTTGAATAAATAAAAAGTGTCTCTGTAACTCCTTTCACATCATAAATAAGTAATAACATCGCTCTGTATTATATCAAAAAATTTGTTGCAGAAGGGATATTAGAAAAATCAAAATGGAAACTCCGTGTTCTCAGTTTTGTGTTGCTTGCTAGAATTCTGTGAAGGGCTGATTGTTCTCTCCACCTTAATTCATTTGCTAATTTTCAGAAGGAGATTGTTTCATTTTTCACAGGGACAGGCAAAATTAAGGTACTCTTGCCATTTATTTTAATTCTTTGTCAGTCTCGTGTTCAACCAGAAGGTCAGAAAAGGTAGAAGAGCAGGGAAAAACCTACCTGGAGTACAAGAACCTCTGTATTGACTTGGAGCCATAGCAAGATTTTTTTTCCATTGAAATCACAAGTTTATATATGTGTCTTCCTTGCATATTTGGCCAAAACAGGCTGTAATTGCTGAAGTCTTCTTATGCTTGCTTTTGAGAAGCTTGTAAGATCATCAGTAACAGATTTACTTGTGATTACAGAGTCCCATAGCCACAAGGTTATTACTGGTTGCTTGATTTATTTGTTGATGAACTTAGTTAAAAGCAAAGAAGACTCAAATTTCTGTTTCAGTTCTGAGTGTTGGGGAAGTGTTGGAAGCCTCAGAGGGTCATGGAAGATCTTGTTTCTCAACCTTCAGCAGTATGTGCTGGGTCATAAATCTCCTTAGCTCTCCATCCATTTTAGATGGCAGGTGTGGCTAACAGGATCTTGGCATGCTGTCCAGCCTGAATTCACCAAAATTTGACGATTGGCTGTTGAGCTCTGAAGTTAAGGAAGGCAAGTGTGAGACTTCACAGTCACCAGTGTTAGAACTTTATGCCAAGTTTCTCACACCTGAGTTCATAGTGCAAATGAGGAATGGATTTCTGGGCTAAAAAGCTTTGGACCCCTGTGCCTTCTGTTATGTTAACCCTCTTCCATAGTAGCTCTGGCAGCTTGCTTGAGTTGCTGCTTCCTGGTCCAGGCAGAAGCTGCAGTGCTGAGCTGCTGTTCAATGCAGTGTCCTGTCAGGCTGTTTCCTTTCCAATCCATGCTGCAGAGCTGCAGTCCAACCATCCATTGTCAGCTCCTGCCATTCTTGTCAGGAGTTCCTTGATAGATCCCTTCAGTATTGTGCAATCAATTTCTTTTTGGTTTTGTTCCTTTCCCATCTAGGTGCTGGTGAAATTGCATTTAGAACCATAGTGCTTCTCTGCATTTTCTAAAACTGTAGAGGGCACACAAAAGACCAACACACATATGGAGCACATAACATGTGCTTCTTGGTAGTGTTTCAGTAAAATGAAGGGAGATCAGGCATGGTGATCTCTTCTGTGTGTGACTTAATCATCATTTAAACCAATGACAACTGGTCTAATTGTTTTTTCAGATGCTGCTTATTACCAAGGGAGGATTCCTGAAAATTTAAGATAAATCAAATAGTCTCTTTAAACTTAGGCTTTTCAGGTTCTATAGGCAAGGGTACATATGAAAAGTATTTTTGGCCAGGTCAATCCAAAACCATCCTCAGTGGGCTGGTATGGTAAAGGTTGAGGAAAGAGTACAAATTGTGTCAGGTGTTTTTTTAGAACTAATTTCCTCATATCACATCTTCAAATGTTGTAGTTGCAAATTAGAGAAGCATAGAATTCTTTTTATCTACCTTTCCAGCACAGCAATGTTTCTTTCACTTAATAAATGTATATGGCTCAAGTGTTAGTGTTCCAAACCCCTGGTACACCACTGGTATAGAAAATTGCTAATATTTTTCTCATGATACCATATTTCAACTTTTGCTTTAATGCACTCACTCATACCCCTACTTTAACCATACTAAATACTTCTTACTTTTTTTAATATTCAAGCATTTTTTTTTCACTTCAGTGCATTTTTTTTATTCATGGAGAAACAATTTCTAAAAAAATGCAAGTCCTGCTGTCAGTATGACATTTGGCATTTTCAGGAGGTGAAAAAAGATACATTGATTTCAGTGCTTGAGGAAATTCAGCTAACAGCTGTACTGTAGTTTCCATGTCAGTAAAAGTGAGTGAAAGAAGTGTACAGTTTTTAAGAGGCATCCATTGCTTAGGCAACACAGCAAAGGTAGGTCAGTGCTTTCCTTCATCATGATGCAGAAAAGCAGTGGCATTTCAGAAGACTCTTGAACTTATCTCCATTTTACAGTTATATTTTATGTGTTTGTTACAGAGTTTGTTTAAAGAAGACTCACATGAACCAGTTAGTGGTATGCCTTGCTTCCTAGGTTTCCTCAGAGGAAGTAGGCACAACTGTTAAAAGACAGGATCCTGCTATAGAAATTGAATTGCCTTGTATGTCTCCGTATGGGATAGCTTTTCAAGCTGGAGCTATTTCTATGTTGAAAGAAAGAGCGTTACTAAAGGCACACTGTCATATTCGAATGGCTTATGAGACAGGCCTTGCCTGCTTTATATTTCAAGTCTTTATAGTCTTTGAGGATGTTTCAGAAAGAGGGAGTCCTGATCAAAATGTTGGTCCCTGAGTCTCTCCAGTTATCCTGGATATACATAGATTGTCATGCTCTTGGACCCTCAGTCCCTTTGAAATTATTTAATAGTAGTAGTCCATCATTCAACACTAGGTTACATCATAAAATGTGTTCTCAGACACAGAGTGAAGAATGAAATATAAATGTACATTCATGAAAGTGGATTTCATTAAGATTTTCCTTTAATTATCCCTAGAGTGGGATGTTAGTGTATCAAATTGACGGTTTTAGGTTTGCTGCTTCTGCTGTTTTGTGCTCCTGACGTTTGTCTGCCTTTCACGTTTAAAAATTCACAGTGACATGCTGTTACTCAGAAGCTATATAGTTATTATTGGATCTCTCCAAATCATTTCTAGGTCTCAAAAGTAGGTAATACTGGTGTTAAATCTGTGTTGATACAGTGTTGAGAAATTAAGGATTAGTTTCTTTTTTTAAAAGAATGAAATTCTTACTTCAAACACCTTCTCATTGTAATTTCTAGAGCCATAGCTCATTGCATAAGGTAGAAGGCTTGGTAAACTGATGTGTGCAAGTTAGTAAATGTATTACCAGAACAAAAAGGTGGCTTAAATAGTGTAGGATTATTTCTTTCAATACAACTATCTTACTCCATTTGTACAAAAGGGTGTATCTAAAACAGAGTGTCTTCTAACATGCACATTCTCTTTACAATTATTACTTCAGTAAGAATTTTACTACTGTATTTTTCCAAAGGAAAGAATAAGAAATAGAATTAGAAATAAAACCATTTAAAAAATAGAAAAATAAAATTATAGACTGAAATAAAAAGTCCATATTATTTTTCTACAAGTTTGATTTTTGTAGAGCTGTACTTCTACCAGATTTGGTGTCAGTAGACTCTACTGAAATTATCATGGATGACATCAGAATTTTTCTTCAGTCAAAATTATTTTAAGAGGCATTTCAATTTTTTTTCATGTACTGTTGACACTCATCTAGTGCTAGTTATGTCTGTTGTATTGAGGAGCTCATTATTACATAAGTGAAGGTTATCAAAACATTGCTTTATTGAGATGCAATCCCTTTTGAAAACGGAGAGTTTTGATGTGGGTGGGGTTTTTTTATTCATTACAGTGATTAACGAGACTCTAACACAAATAGATGTTCTCTGACTTCCATGAAAGAGTATGTAAATTGATCATCTGGAAGGCTATATTGACATTCTAAAGAATTAATTCCTAAATTTAGAGATTAAATTTTAAACCTAGGTTCAGTTCAAAACTAGACACTGCTGGTTTTATACCATAAATCTCATCGGCCAGCCCCCATATATTACATTTTTATATCCTAGAAACTAATTGAAATTGCAGCATTTTTAGATCAAGGAAGCTGATCTACTATGTTCTACTACAAACTACTGTCTGTCATTCAAAACTAATGTAGGAATCTAAGCACTGAATTCAGAATACATAAAAAAGAAGATGCGTATCATTTGAAATGCTTGTTTTTATCTTTGCTGCTTTTCCATTGAATCTGTGCTGCTTCTGTGCAACTGTTTTCCACTGTAGAAACTCCATCCTGCTGCCTTGCTTCTCGTGAGCGTATTTACAAAACTAGTGATGTAGCTGGGCCTGCCTCTGCTATTTCATCTCTCTCTCACAAACTGAAGGGTGGGTATGCATGCCAACATAGCAAGGTTATTCAGATCTTTTACCTGCAAAATGTTTTGGGTTTGTTTTTTTTTTCCTTCCATTCGTTTTCATTTCATTCATGTAATAAAATAATGTTTTGAAAGCAAATATTCAAATTTTATATTTGTTGGGAGCTCATCTGATATAATCATTCAGTGTTGCCTTCTTGAGTTGCAGCAACTCCATGATACACAATCTAGCTGTCTCTGCTTTGTAAAATGCAGAAAATTGTAAAATGGAAAGTGACTGTTAGTCTAATTACACCTGTTTTCAAACAATAGACAAAAGAAGTGTATATGAAGAAACAGGAAATAAAATCTGGGAAATTTTTTTGCTTACCAACAAAGCAGCTTGGTATTTTATGTGGTTTTTCCTTTGGGAGATTTTTCTTTTTGTGCTGATACTCTTGAATGCTACTTAGGATTATTTATCGCTGTATGTACAAATCCAAAACTTTGGTTTTTTTAAGAAACAAGATACTTTTGTTGTTGGAAGCCATTGTTAGACTATACCTTTCATAAGCAGCTTTGTTCTGGAATGTTTTCCTCATTGGTGTTTGCTAATCATGCATGTACTTTAAATTGGATACTTTGCTGAATGACTTGAAGTGTTCTAGGTCCTCTAAAATGATTGTCATCTTTTCACTTTTTTTTTTCTCTTTTATGAGGTATTCTGTAAAACTTTCAATCTAAGGTATTTTCTCATCTGGCAGACTGGGAAAAATGTGTATAAAAGTAATTCCAATTTGCATTTCAGAATTTATGTATCACAGAATAAGCAACTCAGAATAGCTCATCACTAAAACTGGTGAATAACTAAGCTGGAATGGTTGAAATGCTTGGACTGATATTTCTGAAACTTCTTAGATTTTTTTCTTTTAGCAATAGCAGTAATTTTATAAACCACAATGTACCATGTTATTTCTTGCCTTCCTATTCCACTTCTCCCCTCCAAGTGAAAAACAATTATAGACCTTGTAAAAATAAAGACAGGTGAGAGTCTCAAAAATGATTAGCATGATAAATACTTGAGATATCCTCATTATATTCTAGTGCTTACATTTGATGTATTATTCCTGAATATAGACACAATATTTCTTCTTGGCTCAGGAAAGTATGAACTTCTGGCATGTCTTGGGAAGGCAGGAGAGTATTCTAACTTTCAGGCTTGTTAAATATTCCAATATAATTATTTACCTTCACTTTTTGCTGTTGTTGTTAATTTTATTATAAGGTGTTTAAATATGGAAATAGCATATAAATAATAATTTTTTGTAGCCTGAGGAAGCGTCTTGATTGCTAAATTTTGCTCAAATTTTTTCTAAATTTTTCTCGGCATTTTTTTAATAATGTGAGAGATAATAATAGGAAAAACTTGCATCTGTATATTTTCTAGCATAAGGGTAAGGGTTGGTGATTCAGAACTGCATGAAGTTGCTTCAGATCCCATAATGCATAAGAAAGCAGACACTGATTTCCATCTTCTAATACGGAAGGTACTAGATAAAAGGTGACTGTCTATCCTGTTACCATTAGAAATCAAGGCTTAAATTTTAAATATTCTCTGATTAATTGAAATTTTATTTTTTAACAAATAGTTGCTTTCCCAAAAATATGCCCAGACAAATGCAAATAACCTTTCAATATCTAGAAGAGTAAAATATTCCTAAGTACTGTGTCCTAATTCCACAGGCCTTACTAGGGAAACACTTCTCATTTTTGGCTAGTGAAAACCCATTTAAATCAAAAGTATTTAACTCTGCATTCAAGATTTTGCAGTGTAAGGATTTGTGGAGAGACAGCTGTATTAACTGCTGCATTGCTTGCCAGTAATTTCCATATTGCTTGGATTAATTTTTAAAATACAATTCTACCAGAGAGACTTGGTTGACAGATATATCAGAAGCAGATTGCCTTAATAAGCTACTTTTTGCATATTCTTGTTTTGTATGTACTTGCACTAAGGTACCTGTAGTTCTTATAGCTGCTGTAGTCTTTCAGCTCTGTAGATTAATATATGTACAAAGTCAGTGTGCATAGGAACAGTCAATTAGTGCATCAACATAGGAGGACATAATTGACCAGAGCTGGCCATTTAACTTAGTGGTTAAAAAAAGTTGGTTTATTTCGGGGCATTTTTAAAGTGTTTTGGTAGAAGAACATGGGTGGATTGTGGTCTTTAAAAAGTAGATTCTTCAGATTATAAATTTGAGTAGCTTTGAGTATATTTGCAAGCCTCTTGCCCAATTTGCTATATTAATATTGTTTATTTCCTACAATTCCTGACTTTTGAGCATTAAAGAAAATAAATCTGGCTCTACATTTGATCTCTATGCAAGTATCCTGTTGCAGTCAGCCTGTCACATGTTGAGATAATAAATAGCCCCTGGTTTCTGTTGCAACTTTGGTAAACTTGGTTAACTCCTGGAATTTTACCTAAGGATTTAAATTGTGCTTCCTTTACTAGTGTTTTGTAGAAAGAGTGTACTGTGCTTTTTGATACCTCCATAGTAGTGTTTTCTCTGTTAAAACTTCCTAACACTTGTTTCTGCGTATCTTCAGAAAAGAAATGTATCAAAAGTATTCAGAGGGGAAAAAGATCCTTCATATTTCCTCTCATTTTAATGTGAACAGAAGCATGTGTTCGATCTTTATTTTGTGTTCAGGTCTTTAGTCCTTGTTTTGTAGTATTAAAGGTGTCACTGTCAATATGTAACAATTCAATTATGAAATATTACACAGGTGACCGAATGAATTTCACAGGAGCTGCTAGACCGATTTCTCCAGCAGGAAAATCAGACATGTCATCAAAGCACAGAGCTGACTGCAGGTCACCCAAGCTTGATGTGCGAATGAACAGAGCTGCTGCCGAGCAGAAGAAACCCAGAAATACGGACGGCTTATCAGCCAGCGAGTGCCTGATGCTGAAATCAGATGCTGCAAAGTTGCGGTCAGACTCGCACAGCAGGTCTTTGTCGCCAAATCATAACACTTTGCAAACACTAAAAACTGATGGAAGAACAACTCCTGGTCTGAGAGCTGAATCTCCAGGCCCAGGAACCCGGTCGTCTTCTCCAAAGACAAAGACGCTTACAGGCATTAGATCTGGTGCTAGTTCTCCACGGTCCTCATCACCCCATGACAAAACTCTACCTCAGAAAGCCTCATCCCCTGTAAAAACAAAACTTGATCCTCCTCGAGAACGCTCCAAATCAGATTCTTACACATTAGATCCAGACACCCTTCGCAAAAAGAAAGTGCCACTAACAGAACCCTTAAGGGGGAGGTCCACTTCACCCAAACCAAAAATTATTGCAAAAGATGGAAAGTCTGCACCAGAAACTGAAAACAGAGCTCCTTCCCCTCATGTCGTACAAGAAAATCTTCACAGTGAGGTAGTTGAAGTCTGTACTTCAAGTACTTTAAAGACTGATAGCATTACAGATACCACCTGTGAAGACAACACCGAATTCAGAAGTTTGGATGATGGTTCTAATAAAGTTCATTTCAGCATTGGAAAAGCACCACTGAAGGATGAGCAGGACATGAGAGCATCTCCAAAAGTGAGCCGTAAATGTGCTGGCAGGCACACAAGACCCAAAAAGGAAAAATCCAACTTCCTTTTCAAAGGAGATGGATCAAAGCCCATAGAGCCTGCCAAGCAAGCAATGTCACCTTCTGTTGCAGAATGTGCTCGAGCCGTATTTGCCGCATTTCTTTGGCATGAAGGAATAGTTCATGATGCCATGGCATGCTCATCTTTTTTGAAGTTTAATCCAGAACTCTCCAAAGAGCATGCACCCATACGAAGCAGTCTTACTCAACAACCTGCAGAGGAAAAAGAAACCAAGTTGAAAAACAGACATTCATTGGAAATATCATCTGCTCTTAACATGTTCAACATCTCACCTCACGGACCAGATATCTCTAAAATGGGTAGCATCAATAAAAATAAAGTCCTCTCAATGTTAAAAGAACCACCTCTGCATGAAAAGTGTGAGGATGGAAAAACTGAAACTACCTCCTTTGAAACATCCAGTCATCACACAATGAAATCAAAGTCTCCTCTTCCCTTAACACTGCAGCACTTAGTAGCTTTCTGGGAAGATATCTCCTTAGCAACTATTAAAGCAGCTTCCCAAAACATGATTTTTCCAAGTCCTGGGTCTTGTGCAGTGTTAAAGAAGAAGGAAAGTGACAAAGATAACAAAAAAGCGAAAAAGGAGAAAAAGAAAAAAGAAAAGGTTGAGGCTAGGCCAAGGGGAAATCTTTTTGGTGAGATGGCCCAGCTTGCAGTGGGAGGACCTGAAAAAGACACCATCTGTGAGTTGTGTGGAGAATCTCATCCATATCCAGTGACTTACCACATGAGACAAGCTCATCCAGGTATGACTCTGTATTTTTAATTCCTGTGTCCATCCATAAAGTATATTTCACACACGTTTTGGTGTTTAGTTACTTTTACAAAAGTGTGTCAGGCTATCCTATTATATACACTAAATTAAAAGTTGTACTTGCGTACAGATTATTTACACATCTTTGTGTATAATTTTAAGTAGTTAAAGATCTAAAGTTTCAAAGTCGTTTGAAACAAGATCCAAAGAATGCTCTGACTTTACAGTAGCTCTTCAGAAACATGCCATGTTTTACACTTAAGGATTTGAAACTGTGCTGAGAAAATTGAAAATAAAAAATTAGATTGGTCAGTTAAGAGTTTCTACATTGACAGAAGTTTTCTGATACTGTTCTACTGTCAAGAGTAGAAAACTTCTGTCTGCTGTGTCAGTACTGGCTATCAGTGACTTAATATTTTTGGTGTACTTGTTGGTATGTACTGTTTTTTAGCTCTGTGTGTGGAAAGTTAAAGTCCTGAATCTTTCTGAGGAGCTAATCAGCAAAAAAAATACCTTCCATTCCCTCTTAAGTTTTGTTAGCTAGGAGGCGAGGTTTTTATGTTTGCTAAATTACAGATACTGTTGGCTAACTTGCAATACTGACCTTACCATAACTTAGCTGTCTGAATAGGGAGCTGTTCATGCTTCACACAAGTTCTTTATAAAACTTGAAAACTGCAGTGCATTTCTATTCTTTGAACAGTGGTGGGACACGTGGACAAGAACAGACAAGACCCTTGTTTTGTAACCAATCCAGACATCCAAAAAAGTAGAAAATTAGGCCAGGAAAAACAAGCATCTTCCTTCCTCCCCTCTTCATCCCTCTTTTGCAGCAATGATAGAATAAGGATCCTTCTTTTGAAGTAACTTGTTCTCACCTTCCCCCGATGTAGGTTGTGGCCGCTACGCAGGTGGCCAAGGTTACAACAGCATTGGGCACTTCTGTGGAGGATGGGCTGGGAATTGTGGTGATGGAGGCATTGGAGGGAGCACGTGGTATTTGGTGTGTGATCGATGCAGAGAAAAGTATCTCCGTGAAAAGCAAGCAGCAGCAAGAGAGAAGGTATTTTCAGCTGATATGTTTAACTTTCTATCTACTTAATAGTGCTGTGGTTGTAATGGGAATACTACTAAAGTTTTTCTTCCACTGGGTCTTCAAGGACTAAGTTCAAAATCTTGCTTAAAGTATGCAAATATGTTGATATTAATGAGTCAAATGTCAAAACTATCAGCTGTTCATTAAGTGTTCGCAAAGGTAGGAAAGCAATAGAAATATATAGAAATAGCAGGTAGAATTAAGCAGCTGTATTATGAGCTGGGTTGTCAGATTTTCCTGTGGTGAATTTAATTATGCCTTATTTAAATTTACCTAGATTAAACAATCTAGGAGAAAACCAATGCAAGTTAAGACACCTCGTGCCTTGCCGACTATGGAAGCTCATCAAGTGATTAAAGCCAATGCACTGTATTTACTGTCACTGAGTAGTGCTGCTGAGCCCAGTATCCTCTGCTATAACCCTGCAAAAGCATTCCAATCTCAACTGCCCAGTCTCAAAGAAGGAATTTCTGAAGACTTTCCCATTAAGATGCCATGTCTCTATCTACAGACATTAGCAAGGTAATTGAATGAAATGTATGAATATTGATTTTAGCACTCATATGTGTAGAGTATTGGATAAAAATGTGTATGTAAACTAAACTAAAACTTATATAGAAAAAGACGTATTTTCCTAATTCTTCATGATATTTTTTTCTTCTGTTTTGATCCATGATCTTGTTCAGTTTTTTAGGTTGGATTTTCTCCTGGAGTCAGATATGCTCTGATTAGCTTTTGGATGCCAAATATTTTATAATGGCTCCGTTTCTGTCCAAAGAATTCAGAATTTCCCAAAGAATTTAATTTAGTGTGTTAGTAGCAGACATATGTGCTACTTTTTTCTCTTCACAGTTAAAAATAGTAAAAAGGAAAGCAGAAGATTTGTGCTTTCTTGGTAATTCTAAGTAAATTTCACTGTAGTGTCTCATGTTTATGTTGGGCAGATGGACCTAAAATACATTGTGGATCTACCTGATGGAAATACTAAAAGATAGAAAAGGGTGATCCCAAATATACATGTTGGTTGAGAATGCCACTGTATCTTCCATGAACACTTTAAAATCACAACTTAAAAGCATTAATAGGTGAAGAGTAAGTGAATAGCATTGGCTGACAAAGTGTAGTATGTGTGTGTTTCAGCAATTTTTAATCTTTAATCCTAATTTAAAAATCTCATTTGGTGTAGGCATCATCATGAAAATTTTGTTGGGTACCAGGATGACAACCTCTTCCAGGATGAGATGAGATACTTGCGCTCCACTTCAGTACCTGCGCCGTACATCTCTGTTACTCCTGACGCCAGCCCTAATGTCTTTGAAGAGCCAGAGAGTAACATGAAATCTATGCCCCCAAGGTACTTCCTTGTAATTCTAGGTGCTACATACAAATGTTAAAGCAGTAGCATTACACCAATTAAAAAAATAAAAGGAAAACATGGCTGCAGTTAAGAAGCTGAAGTATCAGATCAGTTTCTGAAATGGCAGCATAAAAGCCAAAACCATATGAAGCTGTAGTTAGGAAATTTTCAGTGAATCATAGCACATCAGGTATATTTTCAGTTGTTAGCAGTGGAATGTTTGAATATGTAAATGTGCGAGGAATATACAAATCAAAACTGAAACCTTTTTACTGTACTACAAACCAGTTAGATCTTCTCTCTAGAAAGATCCTGGGTTTACAACCCAAATACAAAAAAAATTTGTTCAGCTGATAAGGACTCTTAGCATACAGGGAAATTTATCCATAGCCTCTACTTCAGGCCTGCTTATTTCTCCATACAGAAAAATTTTCAAGAATCTGAAGAAATGATCTAGAGATCAATAATCCAAAGACTGTAACTGTTGCAGACTCCTTGAATATGTAACAGGTTTCTTGGACTGTATATCTGTTCTTTACCACACCTGATTGAGTACAGATTAATGGCCTTTTTGAAAGAAAGTAGCTGTTGTTCTCCTTTCAGAATTTCATTCTATAGGGAGGTTTGAACAGGAGGAAATTCCATTACCTTACATTTTTCAAAGTAGATGTTGCTGTTTTGTTCTGTGGGATATACAAATGTCACTGAAGAAATGATAATGCTGTCTAGGAGCAAGAGTGCTAGATGGTTTCTGCCAGGTTAAGCCACTTTCTTACCTTGTTAAGCTTACTGTGATCTAATTCAAGCAGGTATAAAAATTTTTGTTTCACCAGGGAAAAAATGGCTCTATTAATAATAGTCCAGAAACTACTTAGATGCTCAGTGTTTCCAGATGTCAGTGATTCCTCATATTATAGTGAGGATGTAATAAAGAGAAAATTTGCTTTTAATCTGTTTTTATTTCAATTTGTTGTATTTCATACTGACTGCACAAATAGTTTATTGGAATACTACAATCTATAATGTAGTCTTTTCAGAAATAGAACTTTTCTAACAAAACTCCTTAAGAGTGCATCGTATTGGTATATTCCTTTATTAAAACTGTGGACACCATGGTCTCCTGAGGCCTATAGGGACAGCATAAGCTGGGAGTCCTTCTGCAGACTGTAAGAAGTCCACTGAAGGTAAGGAGTAAAATATGTCAGAGGTATAGCTGTAGCAATTCAAATTTGACTTTAAGGCTAATGATATTAGAAACTATTACTTCACATAAAGTTCTAAATTTCAGTTGGCTTGCGTATATTAAAAACTCACTTCATAGATGTTTTCACATGCATTCTCAGGAGAAGTTTGGTCTGAAACTTCAATTTAGGCATGAGCTGAATGTTTGTATCTCTCTAAAAGAAATACCTAAATTCTTGGAACTCATCATGTCCATCATTACATTTGTTTATAAAGCACTTGCATGCTTTTTCACCATGTGTAATTCTAATACGTGCTCCTTCTTTTCCAGCATTTAAACAGTTATTAGGTACATAAGACAAAGTTTCATGCAGTAGTAACATTGTGATTATGAAATGCATGTATCCTTATTAATTATTGGTGTATAACTCAGATATACTCTACATATTTGTTAAAGGGTGTATTACTTCACTGATTTCTTTGTAGTTTGGAAACCAGTCCCATCACAGATACAGATCTTGCAAAGCGCACAGTCTTTCAGAGATCCTATTCAGTTGTTGCATCAGAATATGACAAACAGCACTCAATTTTGCCAGCACGTGTAAAGGCAATCCCCAGGAGACGAGTCAACAGTGGAGATGCAGGTAAGAGCACAGAAAACCAAAGCAAGGAAAAAATTACTCAAGGATTTGCAATTCTTCTTGGAGACTGTAGACAAATACATTTTTTATAAATACATAAATAATACTTTTTTGTCACAAAACAGAATAGTAAACATTAGGTGCTTGGTAATCGGCACAGAATTAGCCTAAAATTGGATTAGGATTTACTGTAATTCTAAAATTTGTGGTGAATCTTCTGTACCTGATTTGAAAGTGAAGGTGGTATTTTATTTCTCAATTGAAGCATCATTTTTCCATATTGCTTTTTTAATGCAGTTTTCTCTCAGAAAAAAATATAATTCTAAAAGTACTTTATTGCCTTGCATTTTTACTGTGGCTATAAAATTGAAATGCACAAGGAATCTAATGTATGCATATTTTTATGCTTTTGAATAGAAGTGGGGTCCTCTCTCCTGAGACATCCATCACCTGAACTTTCTCGGTTAATCTCCGCCCACAGCTCTCTTTCCAAAGGAGAGAGAAATTTCCAGTGGCCAGTATTGGCATTTGTAATCCAGCATCATGATCTGGAAGGACTTGAAATAGCAATGAAACAAGCCTTACGGAAATCTGCTTGCCGAGTCTTTGCCATGGAGGTATTCATGTACTGATGGCTCTTGTATGATTAAAATTAGATGGTCGTAAATTCTGTCTTGGAATTTTTTTTAAGATTATGCTATGTTCCCTGTGATATAGTTGTCATGTTAATAAACTGTTTTAGCTACAGAGTAATAACATCTTACTTGAAGACCTTTGCATTATTATTTGCCTGTCCAAATCATCAGTGAACCTCCTTACATAATTTGTTAGGAAATGGTTTTACTCTCGGTTTGCTTAACCAATTGGTAACTCCTTGTATGTAATTTGTTTTAGGCCTTCAATTGGCTTCTTTGTAATGTCATTCAAACAACTTCTCTTCACGATATTTTATGGCATTTTGTGGCTTCCCTGACTCCTGCACCTGTAGAGCCTGAAGAAGAAGAGGATGAAGAAAATAAATCAAATAAAGAAAATGCAGAACAAGTAAGTGAGGTTTTGCTGATTTTGTAGGTGGATGTGAAAAAAAAAATCCTTAATCCTTCCTCTGTGAAAAAAACCCTTAAATTGTAGTTGAATTCATTTTGTAGACATAGACTAATTTTTCTTCTGAATCATCACTTTCTATGTGCTGATGAATCATGAGGTCTTCTAAAGCATTATTTTTTATTATTCATGGGAAATAAAGCAACAAAATCACAAGCACCTTGCTAATCCATTAAAAAAAAAATTTGCTTTTTATTCCTCCTGCAACAAGAGAGAAGAGAAAGTATTTTTAGAAAAGCTTTGTAGTTTGGTTTACTATATCTTTCAGTGTTCTAAGAAAAGTCCATAGTTAATTACGAAAATGCATAGTTATATATATATAAATAATTAAATAAGTAATTATATGTGCACTAGGTATACTTAATTTAGTGATTTAAGAAAAATCTGTAATTCTGAAAATGCAAAATGGTAACGTGTAACATATCATACTTCCAAAAGATATCTTCATACAACTTCTTCTAGACTTAGCTCTGATTTAAAACATTATCATGAATAGCTCAAAAAAAAAATCCTGCTAGTGTGGTCATTAAGTCAGGATAATCTTTATCACTTCAAATCTAAACCAATTTTGAAATTAGTTGTCCTGAAATTTGTCTTTACAGCAGTGTAATCTGGTACACTGCTTTTCTGATACTGACACACTGTAACTAAGAATTATTTTCACAGCTCTACTGAAGTGCAGCAACTGATAACATTAGCTTAATTACCAAGTTTGCTATGGCTGGATTTTGCTGCTCAGATAAAGTTGGTTTCAACTGCTGTAATATTATTTATTTATGGTTTGTTTGTTTTCAAATTACTGCTGTGTAATGTTTCACATCTTTAAATTGTGCGAAATATGTGGCATTATGCAATATACTTCGCAAATATAATTCCCAAATTTGAGGCTCATGTTTAACTTACTGTAAAAATTGACAGGAACTGCATCAAGTTCACATTCATTGCAAGATTGTTGCAGTTGCTCTTAAAGCAAGTAGCAGAAATGTTTTTATTTGTTAACCTGTTGTCTCAGAAAGTGTGTTAATAACACGCGAATTGCTTTGCTCTGTAGGAAAAAGACACACGAGTGTGTGAACACCCTCTGTCAGATATAGTGATTGCTGGGGAAGCTGCTCACCCCTTACCCCACACTTTCCATCGCCTTCTTCAGACAATCTCTGATCTTATGATGTCACTTCCCAGTGGTAGTGCATTACAGCAAATGGCCTTAAGGTAAGCACAAATCAAAACAACTCCTGAAAAGGCTGGGAATGTTGAAGAATTGCAGATTAAAAGATTTTGCAATGTAAATAGGATGCTTGAAAACTTTGTGCAAGAAGGAGCACATCTATCTTTACCACTAGGAAGAAATACACAGAAGACACTTAGATGTTTATGCATATAAATAATAGTATAAAAGATACATGGAGAGCAATGTACTTTCTTTTAAATTCTATGTGGTGTCCACTATGAAAAATAAAACATATTACAGAATAATACAGTAGGATCTGCATGTATGTGCATGGTAGTGTAGTGCCCTTTGCTCAGAACTCTGTCACTTGGATGGTATCTTTAAACTTTAAGATTTTTTTTCTGTGTATTTGTCTCAAAGACACAAAAGGAATAATAATGGTTGCATTTACTATTAAAATTCTAAGAAACGTTTGTTTCTGCTTTCCTCAAAATGATGCACTAGAAACACTTGAGATCCTGCAAAATTTGAAGTTAAATGTTTATAGAAAATACTTCGAGAAGCAAAAATGTAATTAATAGTTTCATGAGTAAGTTATGTCTTTTGCCAACATGAAAATTGCAAAGTCAGCTAAATGTGTTTTCAGGTGCTGGAGTCTTAAATTCAAGCAATCTGATCACCAGTTCCTGCACCAGAGCAATGTGTTTCATCATATCAACAATATTTTGTCTAAATCTGATGATGGAGATAGTGAAGAGAGTTTTAGTATCAGCGTTCAGTCCGGTTTTGAAGTCATGAATCAGGCAAGTATTACAGCTCTGGCTCCGAAGCAGGGATCATTTGTGAACAGTCTGTACTTTTGGTGATTATTCTCTTTAAATTAAAAGATTCCTTACTGCAATATTGTATTTCCTTGAACATAACTCAGTTTGGGATCTTGTCCCTGCTATTTCGGCTCCCATATTTAGCTTTAGAGGGTCAAATATTGACCCTTAGCCTGTATATCACGCAAACCTATATTTTGGTGTAGTGCTTGTGCTTGTTTGCAAGTGAAGATTTTGGGGAATGTCATGGAGTTGGCTAACTTTTTAAATACTGTGTACTTCCAGTTCTTCTTTGCTTGCATCTTTTTCCTGCTGTTATTCCAAGGAGCATGAATTAATACTTCTGTTTAATATTTTTTAAATGTTTTCTCCCATTGACTAATGTATTTAGGCATTTGCTAATATATTCAGCTCTTAGCTATCAATGTTTCCTTTGGTTTAAAGGACTGAATAATTTGACTCAATAAAGCACAAATTTCTTGGAGAGCACATTCATCAAAACAGAAATGCCTGTGCAGTTTTAAAAATTGTAAATCATGCCTGTGTTTGGGCTTACTCTCAAGTATTTTAAAAATTTCCATTTGTTTTCACAGGAACTGTGTATAGTAGTTTGTCTGAAAGACCTAACCAGCATTGTTGACATTAAAACATCAAGCCGACCTGCCATGATTGGTAGTTTAACAGATGGGTCTACAGAAACGTTCTGGGAGTCAGGAGATGAGGACAAAAACAAAACTAAAAACATCACAATTAACTGTGTAAAAGGAATCAATGCACGTTACGTTTGTGTTCATGTAGACAATTCCAGAGATCTTGGGGTAAGAGGAAAATGAAACTGTCTCTCGTTGAAGGTGCATAGTCCAAGCTGTATGTGTTTATCAAACAAGGAGCGCTGTTTTCTTTGTCAGTTGGTAATTCTAATTTACAAGTTCACATTTCAAAGTAAAGTGTCTTAAGTCCTGTGATTTAGAAAGCAGGAACTCTTAGAATCAGACCAGTCTATCTGAATTTGCAGTTGCATCAAACTGAAACCCGGAAACTTAATTCTTAATGGCATGTTCTATTTCAGACGTATTTTCAATCATTTAATTATTTTAAGCTACGTTTCTTGCTCATGGTTTCTGCAGAAGCATTGAAATAAGGAGCTGTCATAAAATCCAAATTTTCTAAACTTTATACATTCTTTTTTATTGATCTGTACAGTAATGTTACATAGATATCTGTATTTCAACTACAGCTTTTAATACAAAGAGCAGACTGTGTTAGAGAGCTGTATTTTGGAATTCTTTGTCCTTGCTTTAGATCATGGAGGGTTTTTTTGTGATGAAACAATTTTTCTTTTTTATCTGTGTAATTTCTTAATACAAAAGAAGTACTCAGAACTGTCTAAGTTGAAGTGTTTCATTCTTATTTTGCTTGTTTGTTGCAGAACAAAGTGACCTCCATGACCTTCCTAACTGGTAAGGCAGTAGAAGATCTCTGCAGAATAAAGCAGGTAAACATTTTAGCAGTTGACATAGAAAAATTGCTGTCATTTTTTTGTGCACATACCAGAGATTTTTCTGAGCAAATAGTTTCAATTTCTTATGGTAGATAAATTACTTTGCAAAATATTAGACATTATAATAAGCCCTGGAAAATACTGTACTGACTATTGATCAAGCTTTTACTTTTCTACTGAAAACAGAACAGGGTTATGTAAAATGTTCCTTAGATTAATTTAATTATAATTACTATATGGTAACTTATCCTTTCAGCTGTAGGTTTCTAAAAAAGACTCCCAGAACACAGGTAGAGACTGATTCAGCTTTGCTCTCTCTTTGCTCTAACATTTTTCCAACAGTTTTTTACCTTCCAGCATACCTACATACTATATCCTGTCTCATGGTATTAAAAAAAAAAGTTAGCCTTGTCTGCTGCAGCACAGTTCACTGTAGACACTGAGAATTAATGCAGAAGTGAGAAAGAACAAATATTAACTTAATTATAAATGAGCCCATGCATAAAAAGAGAGGGCTCACTTGGCTTAGGGATTGGGTTTTTCTGAGTAGTGATGTGAGGCACTGCCCCCCATCAGTGCTTGGTTTCCAGTAGTGACATTGCAGTCTCATATGAAATACATGATTTCATAGAGCATTATTTATATCCTCTTTTTTTTTTTTTTTTAAACACTACATATTTTAAAATAAACTTAATTTGATACAGTTCATCTCCCTTTTTTACAGTTAAGTCCTGCATGTCTTGGTAAGGGTAGCAAATCCTGACTTCCACGGAGTAGCAATTTCTTTGGCAGGGGTTTGCATTAATAGAGATGAAATAATGTATCTAATGATAATTGTGTGTCATATTTTCAGTTAAATTATAGAGGCTGTTTTTTTCTTTCTTCATAAAAGTAGTGACTAAATACTAGTTTTAATAGCTGGTTTTTTTTAATACATGAACTGTCACTTTGAGGATAAAAGAGATAGGTAGGCCAGTATTTCTAATCAGTTTTACAGATAAAACAGAAATGGCTAACCTTTTAATCTGAACTCAGGAGGTTGAATATTTTTATAATTAAACATAAGTCTTACTGCTCAGGTTGAGATTTTCATTACAAGCATAGTATTTGTTACAGTGATATATGATGGTAGGTGACTTTTTGTTTGATGTAATGTCAGTTTCTAACTTTTTATTCCTCTCTAATAGGTAGATTTGGATTCAAGACATATTGGCTGGGTAACAAGTGAACTTCCTGGAGGTGATAATCACATCATCAAAATTGAATTGAAGGGTCCAGAGAACACACTAAGAGTTCGACAAGTAAAAATTCTTGGATGGAAGGATGGTGAAAGCATTAAAATAGCAGGCCAGATTTCTGCAAGTGTGGCTCAACAAAGAAACTGTGAATCTGAGACACTGCGAGTGTTCCGACTTATAACATCCCAGGTGGGATTTTAATGATGTATTATACAGTGAAAGTTACTGTGAATTGTCAATTCAATTAATTATCATTGTCTTTCTTCCAGGTATTTGGGAAACTTATCTCTGGAGATGCTGAGCCGACCCCAGAGCAAGAAGAAAAAGCACTATTGTCTTCCCCAGAAGGAGAAGAAAAAGTACACAATGTATTTATTTGTATTCTATCAATAATACTTTGCTGAAAAAAATGATCCAGGATGATTTTCTGTATTTGTTCCATTTCTTATGGTGCATAATTTTTAGATCAAAACAGAAGTAAAATGTCACAATTGCTTATTTTTAAAATATCATAGTGTACTTTTAATAGTAAACCATAGTGTCTTTTTTTTAAGTAAATTATAACTGAGGCATATGCATTTAATGGAAACATCATAGTAATGGTGATGCAAATGATGCCTACAATTGCAGAAGTACTTAACACCTGTAATAATGGTCAACCTGAACATCCTGCCTATTGTCTTTTGCCTCAAGAGAGGCTCTGTTAATATGCAGAGAAAAAGTATGGAGAAACTGCACTCCACTTGTTTTGCTTGTTATTTCATTTGATGCTTAAATTCCTCTTAAAGAGAGAAAGTTAATACATTGTTAATACATTGAAGAGGTATTTATAAGCATAGTTAAATTGATCTTGCTTATATTTCTTCCTGTAAAAGAAGCTACTAAATTATAAAACAAAGTTTTAAAACAAAACAAAGTTTGTTGATACATTCCATGTTAATTGCTACAGTAACTAGGAAGTGTTCTTGAAACTTTTTTCTAATATCAAGTATGCTTTTTATGAAGGCAACGTCAGATGCAGACTTGAAGGAGCACATGGTAGGGATCATATTCAGCCGGAGCAAACTGACAAATTTGCAGAAACAGGTTTGTTCCTTTTGAAATTATTTCGAGATTAAATATTGGTGTCTTGCAATAAATAAGCTCATTTTCAGTGAATATTACTATGAAGATGTTGGCAGTAATAGAGCTGTTGATTAATTTTGAATTTTTTTAGTTTAGTAAGTTATGCAGAGTCTACTCTTCTGTCACTCATCTTAACAAACATTGTAGTCTCCTAAAAATGCTTTTTACCATGCTATTGTTTCTAAAATTTTTTTAAGCTTTCTGATGATTAAACTGAACAAGAGGCTGTTTTCATAAGTGCTTTTTATTTGTGTGTGTTGAGTAAAGGTATTTCTTAAGGGTTTTATGCGGAGTGGTTTTTTTAGCCTGAATTCTATGTAAAAAGTAAATTAAAAGGCAGGATCTGAAATAAAATAAAAAATAATTTCAATTAAATTTTCCAGAATAAAGATGAGCAAATTCAGCATTTTATTTGTCATTTGAATTTATGCTAAAAATAGTTTAAGTACTGGCCGAATGTCACAGGTTTCCTATTTTAGCCATACTTACAATGGTACCTGAACCACAACATTTTGCACTCGCTGTGTTTCTCAGAGCTGACGTGTGTTTGGCTTGTGTTGGGGCAGGTGTGTGCCCACATCGTGCAGGCCATACGGATGGAGGCGACGCGCGTCCGCGAGGAGTGGGAGCACGCCATCTCCAGCAAGGAGAACGCCAACTCGCAGCCCAGCGACGAGGACGCCTCCTCGGACGCCTACTGCTTCGAGCTGCTCTCCATGGTGCTGGCGCTCAGCGGCTCCAACGTGGGCCGCCAGTACCTGGCCCAGCAGCTTACTCTGCTCCAGGACCTCTTCTCCTTGCTACACACAGCTTCTCCCAGGGTGCAGAGGCAGGTCAGTGCCAACCACCCCTCCAAGGTCTTGGTATTCCTAGAAAAGAGTCTTCAAAATCATAAAATCACGTGCTTGAAAAAAATGCAGAATTTCTTTTGAGAATTGAAGTGTCAGATTTTAGGGTAGTTTTTTTTTTTTTTTTTTAAATAAGTAGACCACAGTAGAAATATGTGTCAGATGAACAGCACAGTGCTTTTTCAGTATTTCATATTATGTGTATATAATGCCCATGTTGCCTGTAGGCAAGACGAGAGGTTTTTAATTTCCAGTCTGTTATGGATCTGGCATGAGTCCTTAGCATCTGTGTCTTACACTCAGGCTCCAAGTGTAGTAGTGTGCTAGACAGCTAGAGCTAGGCAGCTCCTTTCTACTCTTGGTATCCTCAAGGTGAGTTTTAGTATCTCTTTCTTTCTGAATTTGAATGTTGTCTGAGTATATATATAGTTTTGTGCACATAGTATATAAACACATGTTATATATAGATAATAATAACATATAAACATATAAAATACTCGTCTTAGTGCAATTCAAGCACTATTTGTTGCTAGGTGCTGTGCCTTCTTCAGGTGGATTTTAAGTTTCTCTTGCAGAAGTTTTTATGTCTCATACTCTTTATTATTCCTTTTACAATTTTTGAACTGTTTAAATCTCACATCTCAACTTGCCTGCAGGCAGATACTTAGTAAATGTGATACATTGCAGAAATGCAATAGCTTTTCAAGAGAACCTTGAGGGCTTGCAACATTACATATGAAATGTTAAGTCCTTAAGCTTTCATCAGCTTTCATGTTGATTTGGACCAAACTTTGCATGATATGTGCAATTTCAACCCCATCTTCACCAGTTGGTAAGGTTATGTCATTTCAAGACAGCTCTTGTTGGGTCCAGAGCTATTGGCAGAGCAAAAAATTCCAGTTAGACTATCAGAGAAACAAAGGAAAAGAGTATTGTAATTCTCAGTACCTCCAACAAAGTACTTCGTTTCCAGAAGTCTAAAGTGTCTCTAACAGTCCTACCACAGTTTCTGACATCTCGATAATGCACGTGAAGTGTCTGCACCATGCAAGCAAATCAGAGTTGTACAAACATCTGTATCACTGTTACCTTAAGTCCAGTACCAAACATAATTTTGTTATTATGTGGAAACTAAGTATTGTTTGAGTGAGATCAGTTTTAAACTCTTGGGCCTTGTTTCACTGCTTACATAAATAAACACTTCATCGTAAGATAGAAATATTGCAGAATTTCTTACAGGAGTAATTAAGTACAGGAATTAGATTGAGTCCTTCTAACCGAAATAACTTGTTAAGAAGGACTTTATTTGATTTTGCTTGAAAACTCCAGCTGTCTTGGTAAGAATTGTGGTGTTCTGATTATTTTTTCCTCCAGGTAACATCATTACTGAGGCGTGTTTTGCCTGAGGTAACCCCCAGTCGCCTCGCAAGTATTATAGGGGTGAAGTCTCTTCCACCAGCGGATATAAGTGATATAATTCATTCAACAGAAAAAGGAGATTGGAACAAACTAGGTATCTTGGACATGTTTTTGGGATGCATTGCCAAAGCTCTCACTGTACAGCTAAAAGCCAAAGGAACTACTATCACAGGGACAGCTGGCACTACTGCAGGCAAAGGAGTTACTACAGTCACACTTCCAATGATCTTCAATTCCAGGTTTGTTTAAAAATATGTAACAAACTACAACCTACTGTATGCTGAGTATGTACACTATTTATTTGTGCTGGATTTTGACAAATCCTAACTAATTACTTGCGTTTATTTCCATTATATATATTATATGAGTCTATTACCATTTATCCTTTGCAGCTATATTCGGCGAGGTGAAAGTCATTGGTGGATGAAGGGATCAACACCTCCACAGATTTCAGAGATCATCATTAAACTCATTAAAGACATGGCAGCAGTGAGTGTCTATCCTTCAAATGTGGATGATACTAAAATATTTCTGATAATAAAAAGTACAACTTTTATTACTTTTGTTAGAGTTAATAGCAGATTGAGCTGTTAAATGTGAGTTGGTCTGAAGAAAAAAATCTCATACAGTTTTCTGGATAGAGTCAAGGGTTAAGAGCAGTAGCAACTGAGTTCTGATTCCACTAAACAGAAATCCAGTTTTGAAATAAGCTTTTTAATAAGTTGCTTATACTAGAAATTTAAGAGGTAAACAATAATTGGGGGTTATTTTCTAACATTATTAACTTTAAAGTTTAATTTTTAAATCTTAAGCATTCAGAACTTCAATTGACAAGTAAAACTTACCTGTGAAGTAAAATAATAGCATTGTTTACATGTAACTGTATGTAGACTTACTGTATGAATTTTCTGGTTGAGATTGACTTCCTTCAGTTACTGGAATCTACATTTATAGTTACTTGTTACTTTATTTATTTGGGCTTAAATTTTCCATAGTTCTGCTTCAGGTAATTTTTTTGGCAGAAAAATTGATGAAAAGTGAATTAGCTATTTCCCAGAAGCAATACTGAGAAAAGAAAAAAAGGTTTTGTATATGTTTTTGGGAAAGGAATTTAGTTGGGAGGTTGTTTTTGTTTCCCTTAATTCTGCATCTATTTCAGTGAGATGCTCTAAATGACCCAGATTTTTTTTCTGTGAATACTCTTTGAAAGGTTTTTCAGTATCTTCAAGATGAGAGTCCTATTTTCTAAACCATTCATTGTGTTTAGATTAAGGAGGTTCCTTCTCAAAGTTGATAAAGCTGGATGAGAGTTCTCTGCAATTGCTACTGTTGATTCTGATAACAAGATTTTAGAATCTCACAATTGAAAAGACTTACAATTCAAGTCTGTCTGTGTTAGAAAACTTTTGAGGCTTTCTAGAGCTGCTAATTATCAGCAAGGTGGCATCAGTCTAACTATCCTCTTCATAAGAATTACAAATGTGGTTCCTTTCACATAACTTGTTCACCATTTGCAATGTGCAAGTACCTGGATCTGAGTTAGTCACTGTAGCTTCCTTCTTAGAGTCCAGTGGATCTCAATTATGTGTCACCTTCTGCATGAAGTTAAAACTTTAGAGATAACGTTAAGAATTGATGGATGCAGCAGCCTCTGAATCAGAAACTTGAGAGTATGAGTCAGTGCCATAGACTTAGAATATTAAAGCTTGGAAAGTATGCTGTGGTTCTGATGTTTGCTGTGTACTCCTCTTTATTTCTTTCTAATACAGGAACTGTGGAGTATATTCAGGAGTCTGAGCTAGGCACATGAAGCTAATAGGAACCCAATTGTGATCTGTATGCTGGTTACAGTCACTTACCCCTGCTCCAGCTTTGCATTTTTCTTTCTCCAGTGGGGTGGGGGTACACTTTAGCAAAAGGACTTTCTGTTCTTCAAATCGTATGCTGTCTACCTATTCCAAGTTAATTATTCCAGTAGTTGCTCAGAGACAGCCTCAATCACTTACCTCAGTATTTGAGGGTTAATTTTTACCAGATCTGTCTGATTTGCAAATCAAGGCCAGGTTAGATGGGACTTTGGGGAACCTCATCTAGTGGAAGGTGTCCCTGCCTATTCCAAAGGTGTTGGAGCTAGATGATCTTGAAGATCCCTTCCAACACAAATAATTCTGTGAAAACACCTAATTTATCAAAGTCATCCCTGATTTTCTCTTTCTCTGTTCTAACTTTGAGATACTAACCTTATGTTTTGTAGCAGTTCTAATTACAATTTTAGTTGCTCTTAATATTAATAAGAGCTGTAGTAAATGGAGTTTCCTCTTTAACAGGGTCATCTGTCAGAAGCTTGGTCACGTGTGACAAAGAATGCTATTGCTGAAACCATCATAGCTCTGACCAAAATGGAAGAAGAGTACAGATCACCTGTGAGGTGCATTGCAACAACCAGAGTAAGAACTTCACCAAACTTAGCATTAGTTCATTGTAAATGTGCAGCAGGAGCCCATTCAAGAACCTTCTTGTATGTCAGAAATACACAAGTCAGAACTGAATTAGAATTGAATGTGCATCTTTGGAATCTCAGAAGTAATGAGGAATAAGTGTGATGCCTGCATACATTTGGGGGTTTATTCTTTAAATAATTCTACTTGAAGTTTGTCACACGTGCCTTACACTAAATCTGAGGTCATCTTTGTGGAAAATTGCACTATATGTATTTACTATAAGTGGTTTGACTTCTAGGTAATCAGCTGCCACATCTCAAGGCTATTAAGAAAACACTGTAACAGATGTTCTCTGGGACAATTAAGCTAAGCTTCGCTGGTGTTTGTCTCAAAAAATATTTGCTGAGCCCATTATTACTGACATGGTGTAACCTGGTGGTTTTCTTTCCTTGCTCTTTACTTTGTGAATATTTTATAGGAGCTAAAGGACTACTTTAACCTTAACAGATTGCTTGAAATACTATGAAAAGCATATTTGTAAATTTTGACATTCCTGCTGTCGTAAGGAGTACAGATTTTAGCTTCTCAAGCTTAATAATTACATGCAAACTGCAAACTTTTTTTAACTTTTACAAGTATTTGACACCCCTGTTATTTTCCTTCTTAAAAGGCTGCTGTTCAACCAGGTGTTCTTTTCATCATTTTTGTTACTCATATGGTCTCTGCTTTCTGGAGGTCAGAGTCTCAGACTACCACTGGCTTCTGCAGTCATCATATTCGTTTATTCAGGTCTTAGAGGAGTCCTGAATGTCAGCCCAGCTGCTCCTGTGACTGACTGTAGTTCTGTCATGGAGATGTGGGCTTTCTGAGGAGAGTCCAGTAAAGTTTCTTAACAAAAACAATTTTATTCAAATCAAATGTTTCATTAAAGATTGTTCCAAAACGCAGCTGTCAAATGCCTTTCAGTTTTATTTACACCGACAGATCATCCTAATGTAGCTCATCTGTTCAGGATTTCACTGTAGGTAGTGGAGAAGAAAGAAAAGCTTCCTTGGACTAATTAGCTCAGAACCCTTTTCTAGGTAATGCCAATTGCCCTGTGCAGTGAGGAGGGAACAGGGAAACCAGTCTCACTGAGCTGAAGTTTTTGGATGGCTGTTTTTGGGGTTGATTTTGTTTTTATTAGTCTGTGTCCTTGAATTTCTTCTTCCCCAAAGCCTGCAATGTTTGGGAGCAATGTGCAAGTCTTTATTTGTCATTTCTTCATAATGTGCTTTGGTTGACCTTTCTCCACTTGTTCTTTCTTGTGCACTGACTACAGTATTTATAATCACAAAGTGACATACCTGAAAGAAAAAAGGTAGTTGCCTAAAGCTAAATAAGCTTTATTGTGTTCCTGACTTATTTTGGAAAATCAATATGCATTGTATGAGCAGGCTTCAGATAATAATAATAGAGTTTGCAGATAATAGTGATATTCTTATATTAAAAGTTTATCTTTTCAGTTTGATTTTAATTTGATTTGATTTTAATATGTCTAAGACATTTAATTCTACCTTGCCTTTCAATAGTTGTGGCTGGCCTTAGCATCCCTCTGTGTACTTGATCAGGATCATGTTGATAGACTATCCTCAGGAAGATGGATGGGGAAGGATGGGCAACAGAAACAGATGGTGAGACTGAAAATCATACGGTTTTGTGTTTATTTTGATACATTCACTCATCAAAGAATTTAGAATAATGATAGAAAATGGTAAACTAGGCCTTTCTCCATTTTCTTCCATCTTAGTCTAGATAAGCACTGCTCAGAAAACAGAAATTCCAACTTAAAGCAATAATGTTGCAATTTTGCCAGTATTCAGGATGAAACAAGGCCTTCCTAACATCTGTGGGATGAGTTTTTTAGTAGCTTGACTCAGTTCGTACAGAACCCTCTATCAGAGCTTTTTCTTTTTGTCTTAATCCCTGTCGTGAAATAAAATCAATTACTTTGTGTTACTCAATGACTACTACTTTGTAATTTAGCTTCCTCTTCCCATCTCACTAGAGAATGACTACCCCAGGGAGAAACTCCCTCTAACTGAATTTAGTAAAACTACCATTGACTCAGAGGATTTTTATAAATTTGATATGGAATATGATTTTGTCCATACTTTTCAGTTGACAAAAAGCTTGTCATTTTTCATTAATACCATTTAAGAAAGAGCACAGTAATGAAGCAGACCTCTGTATATCTTGGTTCAGTGGATCCATGTGGGAAGCAAGGGAAGGGTGTGCAATAGCAACCAAGCATAGTTAGAGCAAAGAAGCATCCAAAGCAGTTCAGTGTAGGTAAAAACAGAATACAGGAGGCATAGAGTTGCAGCAACAAGGAATAAAACTCTGCTGAGAAGGAAGCAAACACAGAGGTTTCTGAGGTGATTAAGAAAGTCAGGGGTTTTGGAGATGTCAGAGGAGCAGCCAAGACATTGTCAAGCAGGTATTCAGGCTGCTGAAGCCAGCCTGAAATTCCCCAATCCTGTTTCACATTAGGACATTCAAATGTTGAGGTGAGCTGTGTATCTCCTTACCAGAACTGCTGTGAAAGATCTCTGTTCTAAGTTGCATGAGAGTATCATGGAAACTACATGGTCTGGTATTACAATGGAAACTTGTTCTTGGACATGTGCATAGTCAAAATCAGTTGTTGAAGTCTATTTGTGGGGATATTTTGAATTGCAAAACACAACCTTGGTGAATTTAAAAAAAATTTCTATCAGTAGAGCAACTTAATTTTATGATGTATTTTGAAGTCTGTTACTTCAACCATACTGTCTCTGAGGTATGGATGACCTACAGCTTTGTTTAGATGTTTGAAAAGAGTAAACATACTATATTAAAGTAATGAAGGGTAAATATCATGCCTGTTGACTGACGCGAGTACTCATGTCTCTGAACTTCCCTGTTAACATGCCCATAACCTATTGTAACCACATCAACCTCTTCTCAGACTAGTTGAAAGTGATGTCTCAACTCTGTTGTTGAAAAACACATTTTTGGTGCATCACACAAAATATGAGATGAAGAGTATCAGAAAAACTGATGTCATAAATTGAGGGGGTTTGTGTCAAGGAAAAATTGTTCAAATACTGATTATTTTAAAGATAGCATTAATAGTCCAAACAAGCTCTTTATCTGCTTTTATAGATTGGAAGGGAGGTGTGGGGGTGTGTGACTGAGGGGAGAATAAAAACATGCTGAAAGGAAGTGAAGGACTTAATAAAGTGGAATTACTTTTTTTTTTCCTCTCAGCCAATGTGCGATAACCATGATGATGGTGAAACTGCTGCAATCATTTTATGTAATGTCTGTGGGAATTTGTGCACAGACTGTGACCGATTCCTTCATCTCCATCGGCGAACAAAAACTCACCAGAGACAGGTAGAGTATATACATGGCCCCGTGTTGTGTGCCTTGCATCATTGTGTCCATCTCCCCAAATAAAATATAACCAAAAGGTAGTAGCAAATACTGAATCTGAAAAGGGTGTTTTGTTTTATTTTGGAGACAGGATAGATGGGCTTCCAGTTAATTCTCTTTAGTTGTCTTTGGTTACATTCTCCTGTCCTTTATCTTTTACAAAGATTAGAAAATCTTGCAGTAGTTCCTAGTTCTAGTTCTTACGCTACATCAGCTTTTTCTCTCTTGTTTAACATTGCTTAGGAACGCTTTCTTAGAAGAATTTAGAAACTGCATAGACTTTCTTAAGTATATGTTGATTCTTTATTCGTTAAATTTTATCTCCTTTGCTACTTCTGTCATACGAGTCAGTGTTTGTCAACCCTTTCATTTCTAATGTATGTGTATTCCTTTTTAATATCCAGGAAGATAATTTGACCGCAAATATTCCTACTGGTTCCTCTATGAGTCTTCTCTTATTTTTCAATATTCCTCTAGCTTTCACTGTGTTTTCACAGATAAATGTTGACCTATCCATAAGCTTGAAAACTTCTTTACTTCTTTTGGGTTTGTTTTTAAGATTGAAACTTTGACTAGATATGAGTTTTTATAACTTGCTGAGTACTCTGCTAATTAGTATTCTTCTTTGGTATTCTTTTATCCTTTTCATCTCTAAAATTGAAACTACCATTTTCTTTGCATCTTTTCTTTTTGTCATTGAAATTAATGTTGAAGATGCCTTTACTTCTGGAATTATTGAACATTTCCTCTTTCCTGCCACTATTTCTCATTTATGGTTTTTTTGTGATCTTTTTTTTTCCCTTCCCCTCTGACTACTTATATTTGTACAAAGATTAAAATAATAAATGTCATTAATAAAGTTACTTCAATGGAACTCAGTCCTCTTCTCCCTCTCCTACAATGCATCTATATTACTTTTTAATTATGTTCAAGAATGGGTTTTTAAAGGAGATGATCATATCTCCTTAAAGTACAATGTTTTCTATTATTGAGCAGCCTTGGAGTGCATGAATTGGATTGTTTCCAGGTGAAATTAAAAGTAAATCAAAAGATAAATGCAGAGACACATTGCTAATGGTCGTTCAGCAAGGGATCAGCTGGTCTAGAGCATGTGTGATATAAACATCAAACCTTTGGTACTGAGTTTCACTCTCCAGTGAAACACTCCTCTCTGGTGCCACAGCATTTGCAGTGTAGTCTCAGCCTGGCACTTCCATGTGTGTCTATTATCTTCTATTTCTTAGCCAGACTCTTTGCAATCCTCTTTGAAATTTTTCTGTTTCATCATCCTAAGATCATTTTATGTCTACTCTTCTGTCATGGCACAGCACAGTCTAGTCTCATTCATTTTTCTGATTTCTCCTATATAGCCTGTTCAGATTACAGTTGATAAAAAGTAAGTTCTTATCTCATAGAAAACCTCACATTTTTCCTGTTAATCTGTCCAAAATAGCTACTTACCAGATGTTCCTATTTACTTCTAAAAGCATGTTTAAACTTCTGGTCTTTATTCACCACTTTTACCTTTGCATCTCATATGTTAAGCCTCTCAAACTGAATTATAATTCTGTCATGTTCCCTCTGTCCTGTTTTCTGTTTGCTTCCTGTTCGTTGTCCAACTTAGTCATACATACCTCTTTGATGTATTTTCTCTCCCCTCCAGAAAGGACAGCCTGTAAGTTACTGAGTTGTGCTTATGTGAATCCTTCGTGAAGAAATTAGGGGGGTTTTTTTCTGATTCTAGTAAGAATTAAAGTGAATTGTATACATCCGTGCCTGGGAAAATGCTAACTTTTATTGCATTGCAGGTGAAACAAATGCAAACAGAACTGCCTTCAAAGCTTGGCATAAGGAGCAAAGAAAGAGACCGCATGAAATTCCCTAAGGATCTCATGCAATTTTTTTTATTTTGCAAAAACTTTGTTTTCCTCATTGTCAAAGTGTATTTATATGGAAGTCAAAAATACTAATATTACACACTTCTATAATTGTTATTCTATAGTACATCTTATTAAGAGCCCTGTTCTCAGTGTTGCTTTGATAAACTACTAGCATGGTTATGTGAAGATATTTCTGATGTTATCTTGTGCTTTTAATGTTCTGTAGCCTACTAGGCTAGGTAGGAATTATGAAGTCCAAGTTCTGTATTTACTAAATCAGAAAAAAATGTGCAGCTCTATTCTTAGTATTGCTACACTATTGTTTCTCCACCATGTTAGATCAGGAGTTAATTTTATTCATTTTTACTTCTAAAAGCATGAAACCTTTGTCCTGCATATCCGCAATATGTACAAGTTATGGAACATATAAAAGCAAAACAGCTTGCAGTAGACAATCTCCACAGAATCTTTAAAATGCCTAGTGTAAATCCAAAGAAATAGCAACAAATATAACAGAGACACGTCCATGCTCTAAGTAAACATGCTATTTAGTATGTGTTTGGTTAACTTGACAGGTGTTCAAAGAAGAAGAAGAAGCTATCAAAGTTGATCTCCATGAGGGATGTGGTAGGACCAAACTTTTCTGGCTGATGGCATTAGCAGATTCTAAAACTATGAAGGCTATGGTGGAGTTTAGAGAACAGACAGGTAAAACACAACTGTTACTGCTTGCTTTATCCTGATTATTGGGATTTTCTCCTGCTTTAGAGCAATGTTTTTAAATGTTTGTTAATAAAAGTAAAATAGTTTAGCTGCATAAGAACCGTTGGATTTCTGGTTGTTTTCTGTGACTGCTGCTTGGATGTCTAATAGAGTATCAGTCCCTTGTGTTTCATTAGAAAATTTTTGATATTGTTCTCTCTTGTGGCCGTAGGCAAACCAACCACCAGCAGTTCTGAAGCATGTCGGTTCTGTGGATGTAGGAGTGGAACTGAATTATCAGCAGTGGGAAGTGTTTGTTCTGATACAGACTGCCAGGTGTGTATTAGCAAGTACCAATCATCATTAATTACATAAATATAAGAGATCATAGGATGAATTGGGCTTCTTATTTTGTATAAACCTTGTTTATCCCTGTAGACTGTTTAAAATCAGATCTTTCATATGAAAACGTTTAATATTGAATATTACCATTCAAATACTTCTGAGTTTGTAAATGTTTATTTTAATTACACTAATAGTCAACTAACATACTGGGTAGTTTCATTATTATCGTCAAAAGTATCTCAAGTTTTCACAACAGCCTTGCAATTATAAAGTAAAATGCACCCTGTCAGTGTGAAGTCAAATGCACCGGAAAGCTCGATAAAAAGAGTTTGCCCAACAGTCCGTGTATTATGTGAGTGTACAATATTTAAGACTTGGCCAGGTTTGTCATCTGTATCCACATATCCTGAGTGTTTGTGTGACCTACAGTGGGTGTAATTGGCAGAGGGCCAAATCATAACCAGTTTCTTATCTCACCTTAGTTATTTCTAAGTGAAGCAAATTGGTCATCTTTTTTTCTTTCTCAGCCTATGAAGACATGATATTAATGTTACTTAAATTCAGTTCAATTTGTTGTTAGCTTCTGGGTAGCTTTTATTAGTTTTCTATTTATTAGGGATGGGAATTAGAGGTAGTTAAAAGTCCATTTCCATGTAAAGTTGCTTTATGCTGATTAATGATTAGCTTATAATGTATTCTTCTTATGAGTGACTTACTTGAAACTTCTCCAAAATCTGCAGATATCTTAAAGGCTGTTAATACAGGGTCAGCAATGTTTATGCAGGAAGCACTCAATATATGAAAAGCACACAGAGGATCAAAGAACAGTTCTCTTTCTATTGCAAGTTTTATATTATGGTTTCATTAAGCCATTTGCTTTCAGGAGCAATGCAGGTAAACAAAGGAAACATTGTTATTTCAAGTACACAACGTTCAGCTTTTCCCAAGTACCTGAGGCAGCAGCAGACAATATAAATGATTCTTCCATCTCAGTTTATTGCACGGGCCAGCAGTCCTTCAAAAAGCAACACTGTCAGAACACTCAGTGGAGGAGAAAAGATGATTAACTCTTTACTTTAAATTTGCTTAGGAGTATGCTAAGATTGCCTGCAGCAAGACACACCCCTGCGGTCACCCCTGTGGAGGCGTTAAGAACGAAGAGCACTGCTTGCCGTGCCTGCATGGCTGTGATAAAAATGCTACAACTCTTAAACAGGATGCTGATGACATGTGCATGATCTGCTTTACTGAAGCACTTTCAGCAGCACCAGCTATCCAGGTTTTATGTTTGTTTCCCCTTTTAAGAGATTACTAGTATGATTGTAACGTGTAGTATGAAGGAAGTGAAAATATAAAGTCTTTCAAATTATGCTCTTCAAAATTTGAAAACAGACATCATAACAATAGTTAAGCTACTTAAAAAGCTTTCTTTTTGTCTGGCATTCTATTTCAAGAAAGCAGATTGGATCAATTTAGTCTACTTTATTAAAATACATGGTATTTTATAAAGGAGGAAAACAACTGAGGTAATTAATGGATATAATTCACATGTATTTCATATAGCTGTAGGTGATCTTGGAGTGGTTATGATTTTAATGCTCATTTTATGTTCTTTCTCGTTGTTAAGAAGAAAATAGGGATCTTCTAGGATTTTAAGTTAATATTGGAATTGATATATGTTGCCACTTAAAGCAAACTACTACTTTAGTGGTTAATGTAACTTCAATATTCACTTACACGTACTCTTTTCTAAAGCTGGACTGCAGCCATGTTTTCCATTTGCAATGCTGTCAACGAGTACTAGAAAACAGATGGCTTGGGCCAAGGATAACTTTCGGGTTTATGTCCTGCCCAATTTGCAAGGTAAATGAGCTGTGTGTCTGCCAAAGTCAAGAAACTTACCTGATACTTTGCTTTTCCTTTTTTTTTTTTTTTGTTAATACTGTATTGCTTGTTACAGTATGAATGAGTTATATATGACTTGTCGTCTTAATTCCACGTTGCTATAGAAAGACTAGTATTGATAAATCTTTTTACCTTCTCCTACTGTTCCCTGAGGTGTCCTCTTAAAAAGAAAGCATAGTCCAGACATTGTCTTAATATTGTTTTTTTCTTGTAACCATCAGCTTGAAAATTCACAGTATTTGGTGATGATGGGGAGGGGAAGAAGTAATCTTAAAGCACACAGTCTTGAAGCAGTAATTCTCCATTTTACTAACCTCTTTTAAAGCTGCTTTGCTTTTCAGTGTGAGGGCAGAGCCGAAGAATACATGTACTCAGTTCAGCTAAGTTACTAACAATTCTTCTTGTACTCTATAAAATTTAAATTGCTGTAGACAAAAGCATATGATAGCTGCTGGAAAGAAGAGCACCTTACCCCACCCTAGAAAATTTGGGAATGGTCAGGCATTCTGCATGCTATGGTTCTTCTGTCCAGTTGTGTTGTGGTAATTTATGGCAGTAGCTCGTGCTCACTAATTGATAAAGTGCCATAGAGGACTGTCAGTCATTATGCTTAAGTGCTGACCAGTAAGCCAAAAAGAACCAAGATAACAAAAGATACACAATTGGAATATTCCTGTGCTGTGGTGAATACTTCATATACTATTCACCACCTCCCTGGCTGTTAGTCTGTTGGAAGGGTTGATGTTCCCATATCACAACAGGCCACAGAAAAAACATTCATGAATACTATTTTTGCAGCGAATAGAGTGCCTTCTATGTCAGCCATGTTTTGAAATGTCCATTGCCCAGACCTGTATGTTTTCATGACATCTACTGTGCTATTTGTGCCTGACTATAACACAAATTATTGTAGCTGTTGGGATAAAGATGCAAGATACTTTAATCAGCATTTTTTTACATTTCAGAACAAAATCAATCACACAGTATTAAAAGATTTGCTTGATCCAATCAAAGAACTCTATGAAGATGTAAGGAGAAAAGCGCTAATGAGATTGGAGTATGAAGGGTTGCACAAGAGTGAGGCCATCACAACACCAGGTGTTAGATTTTATAATGACCCAGCTGGCTATGCTATGAACAGATATGCTTATTATGTTTGCTACAAGTGCAAAAAGGTATGGCGTTATTTATTAAATGTATGTTACCATTTCAAAAGTAATTTCGTAGAACATATGTTTAATATATTGTGTATGGAGCAGAAAAGCAGGAAAATATGCTTTTTATAGAATCATAATTTTAAAAATCAAGTGTTGGGCTAATGAGATGTACATAGAATCTTAGCTAGTAAAGCTCAAGTGTGTATATACAGAGCAGCTCAGAAACCAAAACCACCTTGAGTCAATGGCCACTTATAAGAAGGTGCAGTACCTACTTCCTTCAGTACCTGTTCACCTCAAGCTGCTACTTAGTTCTGACATAGGGTTCATAGAGCATCCAAATACTGTTCCAAAAGCCTTACAGTTGCTTGCATAGAGCAGGGTGTGTTGCAGTTTTTGGTCTTGCTCATGCTGAGACTGAGGGGCATTGCCTGAGTGCCTCAAAACCATGTACCTACAGACAGAGTTGAGAAAAGACCAGAATATTGGAGACCACTGAAATGGCAGTCATTCATCATTACAAATTAGTCATTACAAATTGAATTGGTTAAACTGAAAAGAACAGTTAAAAGAATAATTGTCTCTGGTTTAACATCCAATCATTTCTCTATGCAATTAAGGCATATTTCGGTGGTGAAGCTCGTTGTGATGCTGAGGCTGGACAAGGAGATGATTATGATCCAAGAGAGCTTATTTGTGGTGCATGCTCTGATGTTTCAAGGGCTCAGGTGAGTAAATAATGTCTATTAATGTTTTTACTTCATTCTGAAACTCTGAGTATCTGGGCTGTACAATAATTCACAGTCATTTGTAATTACATGTATTGTAAAATATCGTATACTATTAATATATTCTACAGAATGTAAAAGCGATGTTGTTGGGATTGTTAGAACATGGCTACTTCATTAACTGGTGTTTACTTTCCTTTGTTCAGATGTGTCCCAAACACGGTACAGATTTCTTAGAATACAAATGTCGCTACTGCTGTTCAGTTGCTGTTTTTTTCTGTTTTGGGACAACACATTTTTGCAATGCTTGCCATGATGATTTCCAAAGAATGACAAGCATCCCTAAAGAAGAGCTCCCACACTGTCCTGCAGGTAGGACTTTGACAAAGCAAATTTACCACACTGAATTCTGAAATAAGTAACAAGTTCTAATTGATATTTGCTTTTCTTGGTCATGTTTTTTTTTGTTCTCTGGCAATGTCATTGCACTCATCATTTAAGCATTATCAACTTTGATAAAGACGTTTTAATTTCCCTATACCAGGTCAGGCTCCAGATGTAGAATGATGTGTTATTGATAAAATTAACACATTATTAAGTGATGAATCGGTACTTAGGTAGCCATTATCTGCACACTGTTACCCCAGTGTCTTAGTTTCTAAGTTCACGTGCTGTATATTGATTTGATATTAGTAAATGACTTGGGGTAAAAAGTGTGATCTTTTTGTTAAGATATTTACATAAAATAAGTAAACAAATTATGATTCCTGCTATAATCTTAGAATTATTGTTTACTGCAGAATGTAACTCTGGTTCATTATTAGCAATTTTTCTCTTAGCTCGTGCAAATTTCTTCCACAGTATTGATGAGCTAAAGCTTCTTGTCTTTTTTAATTTGAATTTGATTGGTTTCAATTACATGGCAGTTTGATCTAGTCAGCAAGCATTAATCTATTCTTTTCTTTTTTTTCCATCATCCTTAAATTCACTGTAGGTCCCAAAGGTAAACAACTTGAAGGAACAGAATGTCCACTTCATGTTGTCCATCCACCCACTGGTGAAGAATTTGCTCTGGGTTGTGGGGTTTGCAGAAATGCACACACTTTTTAGACTAGCATTCTTTTTTTAACCAGAGCAAAACAGGTGCCCTCATCCCTCAAGTGTCCTGAAAACAAAGTCCAGCTGGGATGAGGATGGGACCATTCCATAACCCAGGTAAAAGGAACAATTTACAGTGCAAGAAGGATGCCAAATACCATGTACATAATTCTTGCTGTGAGATATTGACATTTTTTGAACCGAGACATCAAAATTTGTGAGGTGTTTGCATGTGGCCATTACAGTCATCGGCTAGGAAACATTGGACATTTACAAATAAACAATTGTTATTAAAGGATCTGTGTGTCTGTGGACTATGAATGATGCTGGCTTTCAGGAGAAAGAAAAAATATTGATTATTGTATACTGACTTTTTGTAATCTTGTACAATTGTAACGCATCACAAGTGGGGATGGGAAAGAGGAATATTCTGGTTTATTTCCTAGACTGTTATAAAAAAATGTGTTAGGAAGGCATAAATGTAACAAGTATCACACTGTATATAAAGGTATCAATGTTTGTCCTGTATAAGAAATATTAAATTACAACAGCAGTTTCATTTAAACTTCTGGGTTATGTTTGAGCCTGAAATTTTAATGAAGTGCAATACTGAGTGTGCCTCATATCTTGCAGCTGTAAACATAATGGAATGTACATGTCAATAAAGCCACTGTACATTTTTATACAGTGAAAGTCTAACAAATGTGTAAGCCTCCATTTTCAGAAATACTTTTAAAACAGAATGGGGGGAGGGAAGGGGAAGAAGAGAGGTGTCCTTTAATTATTTCAGCAGACTCTTGAAAAGTAAGAAAGTTTTTTGGGTAAACTGGTGGTTATGGAAATACTTAAGACATGAAACATAAGACACTGCTCCATTTCTCAACAGAAAAGTTGGGTAAAATACAGCTTCAGGTAAAAGCTTCTTTCTATAAGATTTTCTCTTCAGATTTTTTTTCTTAGATGTGTTCAATCCCCTTTCTAGCATTTCCATCTTGAGGCTGATGAAAAGTGTGTTACTATCTTTTACATTCAGGATATGGGTAGATGGCATCCACACCGACAGTCTTCATCAGACTGTAACCATGGGCTCCATCTTGCCTAACTTCAGACATCTGTAATCACAGAATCAAAGGTTGGCATTGTTAGAGACTTTTGGAGATCATCTTGTCCAACACCTCTGCTGAAACAGGTTCACCTAGAGCAGCATATGTATCTGCACTTTGAAATAGTTCTGAATAGTTCACACACCTGTGAAGTACAATTGATCTTATTCACTGTAGCTCTTCAGAGAGATCTGGATGGGCTGGATCAGTGGGCCGAGGCCAATTGTGTGAGGTTCAACAAAGCCAAGTACTGGATCCTGCACTTGGGTCACAACAACCCCCATGCAGTGCTACAGGCTGGGGGAAGGGCTGGAAAGTTGCCCAGCAGAAAAGGACCTGGGGGTGCTGGTCAACAGTAACTGAACATGAGCCAGCAGAGTGCCCAGGTGGCTGAGAAAGCCAATGGCCTCTGGCCTGTATCAAAAATAGTGTGGCCAGCAGAACCAGGGAAGTGATTGTCCCTGTGCTGGGTGTCAGGCCCATTTTCATTTTTAGAAAATTGGAGTATAGCACCATCCGTGCAAATTAATTCCATTTTTTAATTTTTCAGCCTTCTGTTTTATTTTCGATTAATATGAGTATTAACTTAGGAAATTGAGATTAGGGTGTGGAAAGGACATGATGCTGTTCAGGTTTATTTAAAATGAATAGATTGAGGGATAGGCAGGAGTGCAGAAATGATTCTCACACACAGCTGACCATCCCCTATCACCACTGCAGGGAGGCAGCACGGTCACGTGTGAGCATCAGGCTCGTGCACAGGGCTCAGCTCCTCACGCAATGGTTGAACCTTGGACACGCTGCTCTCACACTGTCTCAGACATTCACGTCACCACATCCCCCCACGCCGATCTCTGACGGTGATTATAGCAGATGCCAGCACAGGCCACTAATCAGATCAGTCCACAATAAGATTGCTGTATGCCTTTCCAGCAGTCTCACATGTTTTTCTGTCAGCTGCTGATCCACAGCCCACGCAATGGAAATAGTTCCTGTTTGCACCACCCTGTTTGCCACAGCCCACCACATTCGGCTAATTTATACCAAACTCAGCTTCTGGCCAAGGCGAGGCCTCAGTGCTCACACTTGGATCATTAGTTTAAAAATAGCTTAAACTTTTATGGGTGTATCCACCCACTGAACACAATGTGAGCAGTAAAAGTTAATAAGATACAGCTAATTAACATCACCATCGGCCAAATTAGCTTGGTCCTTACAAAACAGGTTTTGCTGATGGAATTCCATCATACTAGGCTCATGTTTCACCAAGACAGAGGCTTAGCTAGGGAGCTTCAGGCCCACCCAGTCATTCAGGATAGAACTCAAACTTGGCAAGACTTTTCTACAGCCCTCTTTCTAAGCCATGCTACACGCTGCAGGTGCCAGAGTGCAGTGGTTGTGGGGCAGATGCCTTGTCCCTCAGCCCAAGGTGCACTCGAAGGGCTGTGCTGTCACAGCCCCCACTCTCACTGATGGGGTCTGGTAGTGAGCTTGTGCTGCCAAGCGTTCCAGGATCTGGCTCCTCACCAGGTGTTCCTACAGAGATGCAGCCAAATACAGAACAACACACTGATTACACAGCAGCCAGATGCAACAGGGACTATGAGTCGTTGATAATCACCCAAAGATGTCCCCTGCCAGCTGGTCCAGGAAGTATTCTCAGGTAATACCTACCTCTGCAGTCCCTTGGGATTCAGAAGGTGCTCTCTGCTCTTGCCTCAATGTCTCATGTAGGCTGTGGGCTGCTGCTTGAAATACAATCCCTTTGGATGTACCGGGTTTTTTTCTGTGTACCTGAAAGGGGATTTGGATACTGAAACTTTGGATGGGTACTTGAGGCAGTGCTTTGGGTCATCCACTGAGCAGCACACACAGTGCCTTTTGCTATTGCCATCCATGGCATTGCTTCTACTCCCACTTATTTCTGCATCCCAGGTGATTCAAGTATCTTTAGCCCATGTTAGGTCTCAGCTAATCTAGTATTTCCACCTCCCTGTCTGTTCATTCAGTAATATTCCTTTCCTGAATGTGACTCTGTATACATCCTCCCCTGCACAGTTTAACTTCTCTGATTACTCAGTTGCCCTGGAGAGCATTCCCACTCCACCCAGCCCTGTTCCTAGGTCTCACCTCTGCCACGTACTATGCCAGAACAGCCATTAGAGGAAGGAAGGATGGCATTAAGTATGCTGGCACACAAAGGGAATGCATACTCCACTGTGGCCATGCAGGCAGCCATGTCACATTACTGTAAGAGATTCAGGTGGTTTGGTGTGAATGGGGTATGATCTACTACTAGCAGTAACTCACCATCCTAATGCCAATTCCTAACAAAGATACTTAGAAACTTGTCTGGGGGACCAGAACAACAGCTTTTTAAAAGCATTTGCCTGAGGGCAGGTTGTATCAGTGGACTCTGTCACGAGCAGTAATTGCAATAGGATGATCCAAGCTACAGAGTAAACACAACTTCCCACAGGTTTTGCTCTAATGGACATAATGTATGTAAGATGGTATGCTGGGTTTGCATCCATCTCTGTCTCTCTTTTCTCCAACACAAACAGAATTTGAGCAATAACATTTCAGTTGTTACTCATAAGATTGTTGTCTCTATTTCTACATCTTTGGGTTTTTCCATACTCCTAGTCGGTTGTGGAATGGCCTGGGTTCATAAATCTTTATTTCCCTTCTGATGGAGGCTGAGCACAACTATGTACCTCCCATCATGCAAATCCTAAATTTTGGCACATCCCAAGTGCCTTACTGCTGACTGAATTTGACATTTCCCATTAATAGGTGCCCACTGGCAGGATTTTGGATCTGTTCATCCAGCAGTCATCCATTCAAAGAACTGGTAAATAACTTCTGGGGTTTGCCTCCAGTGCTAGGATACAAGACTTAGCAACTAGCCATATTTGAAACCAGCTTTAGGGTGTCCTTGCAGGACACATCTCACACAACAAGTAAGGTACCCTCCTTCCATGCCTTGGTACCAAGGCCAATCCTAATACAAATGCTGTTTGGGACTTTTCACCACTGTGGCTTGCTAATCATATTAACTCCTCACCCACTGGCAGTCAGCTGAACTGGTTTACAAGGAGCCAGACAAAGCACAGAGAAAATTCTTGTAAAGCAAAGAACTCCTCTACCAGGATGATGTTAGACCAACCTATCAATGATCTGGTACTGCCCTTTCCAGCAGCACTGTCCTGTCCATGGATCACACCATGGCAAAGACGAGGAGCTGTCTGTGCTGCTGGGCACAGCTCAGCCCACTCTGCCCGTTTGTACGGCAGCCCTAGCCAAGGCCATGGCACGAGACTCCCCAATCTGAGGGGCTCCAGCAAACAGCAGTTTTTACTGCATTGCCTAACAAAATGGAGTGGTACAACAGCTTTTACCCATGAAGCAACCATGGGAGCCATTCATCTGGAAAGAATTACTAGAGCCTCTAGAGACAGAAACAATATTTACACAGTGAGGAACCTTTTAAAAGAATTACCTCCAGCTTCTAGTGAACCATGAGCAACGACATCAGGTAATCAGCCTGTTTCAGGCAACACTGTATCTCACTGTTGCTTATCCTTAGTTTTATCTTTTTATTTTTCTGTGGCCATGAGGCCTTAAATTGAGGCCCCCTGGTTTAAAGCTAATTTTATTTGCAGCTACTGTTAAAAAAAAAAAAGTTGAGTTACAGCTCCTGTTCTGTAAGGTCTTGCTTGTGATGGATAGAATATACTTATTTTATCGGTCTATAATACCACATTCTAACAGTATGAAAAAGTTTCTCACCACAGAAAATCTTCCTGTATATAAGAAAATAAAACTAGGACATTTCCTTAATGATATCCATTACTGAATGAAAAACATGCACTTCTTTTGGCATTGATAAAGAACAAGTTCATCTTTCCTCTGTTTTTTCTTTTTCAGCACAATCTGCTGAGAATTAAGATTGTCACAGACATTCTAGACCAGGTCTTTCAACCACTACTCATCACATTAATATTCTCCATATTTTTCAGAGCTTCTATTTTCATTAAATAGGAGTGGGCTACTCATGCCCTGCAATCCTGACATACTTTCATCATAGCTGGATCTGATCTGCTATGGTTACTTAACTCTCTTCCAACTGCTTCTGTGATTTTCCCCTCTGCATTCTTATCCTAGCCAAATGCAAGCCAGGCTTATCAGGGTGGAGCACAGCTGCTTGCTTCAGGAATACTTCAGAGCTACTTGAATATGGCCAGAAAATCAGAGTAGGAGACTTTCAGTGCTAAAAGGTGCAGCATTTGCAATCAAGACTGGCATTTGAAACATTGCCGTGGCTTCATCCGGCAGGCAGTCTGCCAGCTGAAATGAGGTGTTCTGTACAACCTCAGCCTGAGGTGGTGAGATCCCCTGTTAGACACTGGGATTTTACTGGCTGTCTCTTGGCTTTTATGTCTGTGGGTTGTTCCTCATCTTCACATAGTAACAGTGAGGGCTGCTTCACATCTCTGCTATAAGTGAGTGACTCTCCCACCAGAGAAACAGAAACTTCAGAGAGCTTCTCCTTCTCTTTTGGAAAAATAAAAAGTTACAATGCAGTTTCCTCAA